TAATAGGATCCAGACACTACTCAGAATAACTGACCAAACCTTTATGTTGGTTTTTCTCAAACCACCGAAAATAGAATCTTCTGACTCTGGAAATTATCTAAACATTAGTCGAAAGGTCTACAGTAATAAATATACATATATTATTATTCCCTTTCGTTCCTAGTGGAATAGGACTTCAGCAGACCATCTTTATTTCACCCTGTTGTCTGCAATCTTCTTTAGATAGCTTCATGGTTGCCCATAGGCTCTTGTCTCCTTCTCACATGATCTCCTCCACGTTGTCTTCGGAACCATGCTTAATTTATTGTTTCCTATTTATGTTACACTTGAGGGCCTGCAGTGCACTCAGGGTCATCCAACGGCCTCCTCAGCGTGTATCCAACCCATTTTCATTTTTGCTTGTGAATACTTACTGATCAACAAGTTGTTGATTAGTTTGTTCACAGAGTTTCTTGTTGCTAATTCTACTTGGCCGGTCATATGATCTTCACTATGGAGCCAGTGAAGGTAGCTGTTAGTAAAAGTCTACAACCTGTTGAAAATGCCTTTTTTTGACGCAGACTCCAAGTTTTGTAACCCATATAGAAGAACTGACTAACTTATCATTGATTTCGAAAATCTAAACTTTGTTCTTTGTGTTTAAGTGCAAGAGATTTCCAAACTAATTTAAGAGTGTGGTTAAGGTCTGCCTTGCCTTAACCAGCATAGCTGGTGGTTTTGACATCCTGATCTGTGGAGTCAGTTGTAGTTGAAACGATGCTACCTAGATAAGGAATTGACTTCCTTAGCATTTCTCCTATTCATAGTGACTGATGCTTGTTGCTATTGTTCGGTTGGTTATCTTCGTCACACCCGTCTTCTCTCTCTCTCTCTGTTTACTTGAATTTGTGGCATCACTGGATGTTTCTTCTGCCAGCTTGTTGGTCTGCGCATGTAAGTCTTCAAATTTATGGGACACTAGATAGAAGTCATCTGCGAACTCCATATCTTCAAGAGTCTTCTTGTTTTTTTGCAACGTATTCTTTTCTTCTCGTTCCCCACAGTCTTCAGCATAATCTAGCCTATCACAGCTAGGAATATCGTTGATGATAGTAGGTAGTCGTGCCTTACCCCTGTCTTCAATTCACCCTCTTCACTGAGTTTATTTTGTTGTGGATCACCTGACATGTGCCACTGTCATATAACTAGTGAATGAGGTTGATAGAGATTCGCGGTACTGCACGCAATAGTACTGAAGTAGTTTCCAAATTATTTCTCGGTCAACCATGTCGAAGTCCTTTTCAAAGTCTATGAAGTTGATATAGAGGTTTGAATGCCATTCTACCCTTTGTTCGACGATGATGTGTACAGTTGCTATCAATCCGCATGCGATTTGCCTCTCCTGGTTCCAGATTCTTCAAACTGGAAGAGTTCTTCATCCAGAGCATCTTCCATTCTCTCCAGAATGACGCAAATTAATATTTTGCTTGTCATTATATATATATATATATATATAAATAAATAATGTATCCTTTGCTGTCTCTGACATCAAATCTATCTCCCTGTTATTTGATGTTTTGCCCACAAACGTCTCTTTATATACTACTGATAAACCTTATCAGTAGCCGTCGCCACACTACTTTTTTATCTTTTTAATTATTTTTAGGTGTTAAAATGAATAAAAAGTTTTACTACTACGTATATTTCTACGTTAGTCTGCCATCTGATAAGTAGCTGGATTTCAGAACACACTCTCCATGTGATGATATTACATGGTTGGAGGCAGTCGGCAGGGAGCCTTGGACTTAAGTTTCGTGCTAGTTGGCACTCACCATTCAGCAAGGCGTATCTGCAACCTTGAAGGAGCCCAAGTCCCTTCTGAGTCAGAGACGCTACCACTGAGCTATTCGGGCTCGCGATTGACCTCCTGTAGGACTGTAGTGGATATTTTTATTGGATACTAGTAACTAGTGTGGTGTGTCTAGTCTTCTCATTGGTGCAGACTGAATTCTATCAGTCAGGTTGTAATGTGGCCACCACCACCCTCAGAAGGGACATGAGTTCCTTCAAGGTTGCAGATACGCCTTGTTGACGAGTGCCAACTAGCACGAAATCTCGGTCCAAGGCTTCCTACCGATTGCCTCCAACCATGTAATATCATCAAATCAACGCGCACCGTGATCGCGAGCTACATAGAATAGTGGCCACATTACAACCTGACTGATAGAATTCAGTCTGCATCAATGAGAAGACTAGACACACCACACTAGTTACTAGTGTCAAATCAAAACACTCTCTATTTCTCATAAGTATGCTGTTTATTTCACATCAGGATAACGCAAAGCCACAACAAAAGGTTAAGAAATGCATGCTATTGTAATAACTGATTACATAAAGGTTAAAATGTTACTGACCACTTCTGACTGTTACTTAATGCTTTGTAGAGGTCCAATAAATAATGCTTAACATCATTTTAGTCTGATAATATGATAAGATGTGTCTAGAGTTCCCTAATTAAACAATTTATTGCACTACAACAGTTGAACATCATCTTTCTCTCTTTCTGACTCTATGTGGTTAAAGATTGATAAGAGAAAATCTAGCTGGCCTAATTAATCAGTCAAGAGCATGAAATCAACCCGTTAATTTCCAAGTCAACCGTATACGGGAATATTAGCTGGATTCTTGGAAATTAGAATTATTGAAAAGCATTAATTTAAAATCCACACAAGTCAACTTACTATTCAAAATCAACATTTTAAACATCCTTACTAACTTACATTTAATTGTCTCTCCTCTAAAAAAATGCATTTTGATAGACTTACTGTTTACGTCCAGTAATAAAGTGTTGTACTGTACCTTCCAGTATGTTTTTTTTTAACTTTCTGTTTTAACGGGTTCACATATCGACTAGTTCAAATGGCATTTTTGAGCTCTTCTCTTGCGCTATTAACATCCATATTCTCTAAGTTTGTAAGTCAAACTCACTAGTTAGATAAGTTTTAAATCCCTTCGCCTGAATAATCTAGAATTTTTATTATATTCAAATATTCTACTCATCAGAGCATATTAATAATTAACTGAGTCTTTTAAATTTGCGTTTCGCTGTCAATACTTACTTACTAACTGGCTGAAAAGGCAGCGAAAACAGAACTGCATGTGAACACAGAGAAGACAGAGGTGATGAAGATAACTAACCACCAGTAACAGCCAGCACCAATCACCATCAGCGGTAGAGATTTAACAGAGGTTAATTCTTTCACTTATCTGCCTAGAAAGCATCGTTTCAAATACAGACGGAACGGACAAAGGCGTCAGAGTCAGGCAGAATCAGAAAGGTGAGTGAGATAAGCCTTCATCAGTCTCAAAACAGTTTGGAAATCTTCTGCACTCAGCATATGGAATAAGATTCGCATTTTCAACACCAATATCAAGTCGGTTCTTTTTTATTTCCCCCGCCAAATTTTTTATTTTCCCCCGCCAAATTTTTTATTTTCCCCCGCCAAATTTTTCTCTCGCGATATTTTTGGTGAGAAAAATATCTCGCGAGAAGGGGAAAAAAGACACAGTTTGGGACACTCTTTTCAAACACAAGAGAGAAAAAAAGTCTCACACCAAAGGGTAAAAAAAGTTGTAAAAGTTCACACAAATGTGAGGATATATATAAATAATTCAGACAAAGCGTGGGAAAAATCATTAGACAGTCTTAACATGAATGGCTAATTATAATGGAGTGTCGATCCAATTATACATAGCGAATATAGCAGACATGCCAACAAACATATATGGATATATGTCACCAAGCAACGGACTGTCAACAAACACTCATATTATATATAATATAATATAAGGAGAATACACATTATTAAAGGAGACAAGTCCATACAAGTGAAGTGGTCACAGACTAACCGAGCAAACAGAAAGAGAGACCAACATGCACACACACATAAATATATATATGTGGATACATATCAGTTCTTCAACACTAGTCATAAACTTGGCCAGCGTGTTACGAAAAGAATTTCCAACGGCCTGTTGCAGACTTTCATCAACAGCTTCTCACAATTCTGGCTCCACAATGAAGATCGAAGGGCCATAAAGAATAAGCAAACAAATTAACCAAGAACCGATCGATGAATATATTTGTAGGAGAAAGTGGAGATGGATCGGACATACATTGAGGATGCCACCGAATGACATCGCACACCAAGCCATTGCTCGAGTGAAATCCCAATGGGAAGCGCCGAGTGGGTTGTTAGTGCGAGGGTGACATGGAGGAGATAGTACGAGGAAGAGATGAGAGAGTTGGGTCGATCATGAACCCAGCTGAAGAGAACGGCAGAAAACAGAACAAAGTGCAGATAGAGACATCTGTAAAAAATTACATTTGTAAAATCTCAGCGAGATTGAAATGAGTAATTCCAACGTTTCGTTCGGCAATCTGGCCGAATTCTTCAAATTTTCTACATATGTCTACTTCTCACTCGGTGCCCAAATATTTTAGAACTATTCTGTCAAATCTTGACTACAGTTCATTTGAAAGTGGAGATATGTAATGGAGGCCCTATATTCCACTAGGAACGTAAGGGAATAATAGTAATAATACATTCAAGTTAGATAGAGTACTGAATTTTTGGGTAACTGGGTAAAAGGTATTTATTAAGAGCTGGTATACTGTAGTAAACCACTAGAGAGACTTCGAGTGTCCTTCTAGGCGCATTAGCTCTGAACATGCTGTCTAGGAGGACAATGAAACTTTCTCAGTTAAATCATTTAACTTAAAGGGTACAAAACCACAAGTAACCCACTTACTGTCATACTGCTGGTTTATATAAATAATTTATACTTCAGGTGGACCGGAAGTATTTCTGAAGTTAGATGTATGTTACATATATTCCACACAGATTGAATCGATATAACTAATGATTGTATAACCGTATAATTTAACATTTCCTCTCGTTTCGTTGTATTTATTTGTAGATATTATTATTATTGATAGTAATAATAAAATCGCTTCAGTTATGGATGATACACGTTTAGAATGGATGAAGCATATTATCTATAAAGCATTGAATCTCATCGATGATAATATATTCTTAGAATTTCTTGATCAAAATGATAATGAAAATGAATTGGAATTAGCCAAATTTTTAAATGATTCATCGAAAACAGATGATCAGCTGGTTATATTTTATAAAACATACCATGAAGAAGAGATTGAAGAGGTAGTGCAAGTACCAAAACGAAAAGGTAAGAATTATAAACATACCATTTGTATTTTCCCAGCTTCAAATGGTGCAACAGATGAAAACAATGCAGATGAACATCCAACAGTTATCAACGGGCCAGAGAGTCAAGAAGAACCCAGTATGAATGAGATTCACACTGACACCAATGATGAAGAGGCTAACAAAATGAATGGGACAGCAGGCGATGATACACTCCCGGAGACTGATGATATTTCATCAGAATATACAACTATTGTAATTAATCTCCACTTCCTCATTTGTTCTAATTTTTTTAAACAACTTTTTGTTTAGATTAATCGAAAAACAATATGGCGGACACGTTTGAACATGAAGACTACAAGTGTAGACATACACAGTTTAACCGAGGAATATGTCTACTTCATTCGGATAACAAAAGGCTATATTAATGCACCAGGTGACTTAAAGCAAACATTCAATTTTATGCCAAGTCATATTCAATGGGGTTATATGAGAGGAAGTTTTCTTCAGTCCTTACTGGATGTACTCAAGTATATTTATGCGCCATTACTCAAGGAACAACAGCCAATGTTGCATGATAGTCATCAACGTCAGAGTAAGATGATCAACTCTGAACCAACTAATAAATCGATGAATAAACATGAAGGTGAACAATCACGACTGGATAAAGATAAAAAATCCGATGGTGATGATGAAGTTCAGGCAACACTAGAAACAAGAGATGAATTTTTAATAAATACACGAAAATTTTGTCGTATAGTTGAAACAACTATTCATCAATTGGATACTGATATTGTTCTAGAATTACCAGATTTAGATGTCAGCGGTGATAACGATGATGAAATTGTTAAAAGTTCTAAATTTCTTACCATTGAAAAAACTATTATATCTTGGAATAGACAAGTAAGAGGTTTTTTGTGGAATTTGTTTGGACTCTTGATTTCTTCTTTGATATAAGAACAGAACTTATATATGATGGAGAAGATTTGTAGCTCAGGTGGATGCTTTTGGTGTGATTGTGTTCTCTGACCTGGATAGTTAATTTGCGAAGCTTTCACTGCCTTACTAGACAACATTTTCAGCGCAAACTTCAATTTGAAGCCAGAATAGAACTTGTGTACTGTGGTAGAGTATTATTCCATTGTGGATAAAATTTATTTTGATAAAGTTTCACAGTGTTATACAGTAATATTTACTAATCACCATGTTTCGAGCACAGTTTATTGCCATTCATAATCATATTAAGGCACTACTCACACAATTTTCTAACTTCCTTTATATAATTCCATTATTTTTCATCGCTTGACTTCATTGGTGGTAGTTGTATTCTCCATATTTCCGGTATGAGTGATAAGTCGTACCTATTGCACGTGTTGATTGTGGACTCGATGAACCAGGATTCGATTATCAACCTCTGCCTTTCTCCACCTACCTATATTATTTCTTAGAATTTTAACCCTCTCATAACCTATTGTGTGGTTGTGTGTTAATGTATGCAGTGCAATCGCTGAGCTTTTTTCTAAATTACTTATCTTCATGGGTGGGGTCAACCATTCATACCTTAGCTAAATTCTTATGATCTTATGCTTTATACTTATACATAAATTTGAGTGTTTCATAGGTGGGTGTATTGTTTTGATCTGACCATCCCATGTTACTTTCACTTTAAACCTATCTCAACTAACAACGGTCACGAAAGAAGACTGGTGCTCGGTATGAGTGAGAAGTAAATTGATGAGTCTTCATCTTATCGACTTATTTACCTTCCTTAACTGGCACTGTACGTGGAATCTGAATGTTATTACTTCCTTCGCTGCTCTCCTTAGGATGGGCAAATGAACAAAGATATCTATGATCAGAAGCCTACCAATTTATCAATGCAACAAGGTAGGACAGAGTGAATTCTTTTCAGTTGTCTATTCTCCAATCTACTGAGTTCAACAGGATGTGAAGAACAACAAAAAACACTGGCACACAGTCATGTCACAGTGTATCTTACGTTTGTTATGATTCTCTGTTGAACTAAACTATTCCATGTTGATTGATAGATGGTGATTCGTCCCAAATAAGTCGAAATGCTTATCCTGGATTCCACTGCTAGTCACCATCCACCAATTAACTTCTAATTACACGCCCAGACATCGTCGAAGCATCTGATAAACAAGAAGCCGACATGTCAACCTGAGACCGAGCACTTCGGTCTAATCAATCGACAGGAAAATCTAAAACTGAATTAAATACTTATCTTGTTGATTTTAATGCAGTGAATCAGTTTGTCTTTCCCGGTGTATAAGTTTCCTGGATGACTTTATTTTGTTTTGAGATTCATCCTTATGTTATCTAGTTCATGTCCACCAGCAGCAAAATTCAGAATGGATGTTTTATCCTCTTCTGAACCTAATGGCTAGATATTTCTGCACCCTCAGTGAAGGAATGTGTTCGACCTAAGACTGAAACCAGGTATTCTTCTTTTAAAATACCACAGCGTTATCTACTAGACTAATGATCCTTGACAGCCCCCTCCAGTGTACAGGTACAATTTATTAACGCATAACGCAATATACTACTGACTGATTGGGGTGATTAGTGGCATACCACTCACAGTAACCAGTAGTGCTTGCTAACCTGTTCAAAGTGATTTAAACGCTGGGCAGTTAATTTGCTTGTCTAGAGCAGAGCTCATCAGCCGCGTACTCGATCTGACACAGCTCAGACGGCTGAATCAGCGTCGGTGGCACAGTGGTTAGGACTCTCGCCGACCATGCATATGGTCCGGGGTTCGAACCCACGCCGGCGCACACCTGATATCTATGGTCGGCCTGGAAAATTTGGGCTACCGATATCCATGCTGAAAATTCCATACTTGTCCCAAAAATACAGTGTGGAATCAAGCTGTAAATCAAAAAAAAACTACTCATATTAATCAATCAGTAGTGTATAGCACCATGCAATTATGTTTGATTTATCGATTGCTATTTGTGGAATTAGGCTGACCACATATTATCTATTGAAATTATTCCTTGAATTCCTTGTTGACTGATTTTACTGTGGAGAAATGATCAGTCTCCGCTGACATGAGGACACTTAGAATATGCCTCTTGATTGACTAAATGATATTTAGTTGATATTGTGCGTTTACTAGTAGTGAAATCTAACTTCAGTTTGAACGAATTTGAAATAACAATAGATTGAGCGAAGAAATATGCATTCTTTCTCAATAAGTTCCTCATCATCGGCTGGCTCTACACTAATATGTAGTTCTTTACATCAAAATTATTTTTTCCCAATCAAGTGGTTATTTTAGTTAATCAATTTTAGGTATAGGCGGAGGTGAAATCAAGAGGTTAAAGGTCATCCAAACAAACCACTAATAGATGTTGTTAAAAAGTTTTAAAAGAGAAAAATAGAGAATAAAATATGCTTTTCAAATCCTAAGGCTAGTCAACGCCTATATAAAAGCACAGGATAAATATAAAAGGGAAGAGGAAACCGAAAATAGAATTGTGTAGACGATGGGATATTCTACATGAGAACAATAAGAATTTAATGAGCCTGGAAGGTCATAAAGAGTGAGTGTATCTATAACGACCAAAACTGACTTCTTGCGGTCTGAACACAGGGACCGACCTCTGCATCTAACTGTATAGGTGTCCGAATCTTCCTTAAGAGACTCACAGTTAAAAAATGCTCCAAAGCCAGCAAATAGACGATTTCATTAGAGAAAGAAAGACCAAATTTGCAGTATAAAATGATACCATTCTATTTCACAGGTTCTCATCAGCTGCAAACCACTACCTGAAATTACAATGGTTATAAATAATAACATTTCATACTTCATTGTTTGAAAGGTAATAGAGAAAATATTATAAGGTGACCGTATCATCAATTCATATATTACCAAACTATGAAAAAATAAAGAGAGGGGGGTGAGAGAAGACAGAAAAAATCTAGTAAACAGTGTTAACATGGCAACTCAAGAACGTCAAAGTTCATCAATTTGAAAACTCGCTTAGTGAGTTGAGCCCACTAGTGCGCATGACTAATCAGTGTAATGAAAGTTATATGGTTAACGAGGGAGTGAGAGATTGACTACACTCTCTTTCTGTATAAAAGCATAAGTTTGGTCTGAAACGTTTGATTGCAAAAATTGCTTCAGCAAATCGTAGTAGATTCGCTGTCCTTTGTATGTTTAATATTTTGAAGGATTTGGAAATCTCGACAAAATGACCCATATCCACAAGGTGAAAATCTGGTAATTGCACTTCATAAATATCTGCTTCCTTTTAAGCATAAGTTTCTCTGAATATGCTCTGAAAACGGATAGAAGCTCTTCTTTCTGTCCTTCTAATGTACTTGCTGCCGCAGGTACACGTAAATTTATAAATGCAGTCGGAGGTTACATCAGCAGGGTACTTATCCAGTTTCGATTGGCTTATAGAGCATGTATTACTGTATAGTGTTACAAGATTAGCTGCAGGTGAGCATCACTTTATTGCTCCTTTCATCCTCTTTTCAATCTTCGCGATACTGTTTCTCATTTGTATTGGAGGCAAATGAACACTTTCTTCTTTTCAACTGCTGGGTACTTCTCTTTCTCATCTCTTTCTTTACTGTACTTTAGGATAAATCCTTTTGGATACCCGTTTTCCTTAAGGCATTTTTCAAGAAAGCTTAATTCTTCTTCTACCTTATTAGGTGAACATAACTTCCTGGCCCTGTCGTACAGTGTCCTTACTAATCCCCGCTTATAGCTTATAGGGCAGAAGCTGTTGTAATGAAGGTATTATCCGGTCCAAGTTTCTTTCCTGTAGATGAACTGTGCGACCTTTCCATCGTTTTTTCTTTTTACATTTAGGTCCAGGAAACTGAACTCATCGTTGTCTTCGTATTCCATGGTGAATTTAATGTTTGGGTGGACCTTATTTAGGCGGTCGAATAATACGGATGCCTGACTCATGTCGTTACAAACAACATAAGTATCATCGACGTATAGGTTTGGTCTTTCTTTCTCTATCGAAATTTATCAAGGGAACCAAATGTCTGAAACAGACGATTATTCCTCGATAAACCTATGTAATTGTGTTCAATGGTAATAACATCAAAAACGCAAAGACAGGGTAATTTTCAAAGTACAAAACAAGTATTGTAGAACAAAATTATTTAATCAAAATTCAACTATAAGAAGTACCTGAGAATCAGGTGGAATAATCCCAACAAGGTGGGATCAAAACTCTGTCCACAAGAATCACACACTAACACTTTCTCCAGACAGTCCAGGGTCGGAATAACCTTTATTCACTCACACAAAACCACAGTGCAAAACAACACGCTATATATATATATATATATATCCACAAAGAGAAGCATTAAAACTAGATATTAAACAGAAACAAAGGTAAATAGTAGGGATCAAACCATCATGTTATACTCAAACATCAAGACAGTGACATACAGTCTAGGAGAAAAATGCATAATAACTACAAAGTTACAGGATTTCATCATGAGCTGACATTGGTCTGAGAATCATTGGAAAACCTGGGAGTACTGGACAGCTGTTTCGTCCTAGTTTGGGACTCTTCAGCAGTACGCACCCAGCGCCACCGTTTGAACCCAGGACTTTCTGGTTACAAGGTTAGCGAGCTCGTAGACCATTGAGCCACTGGGACCTGATCCAATGGCCAGCCAGCCCATGAATTTTAACTTCTGCCAATTCACGATATAGCGCGACCTCTAGCCAATGTCTTCAGCGAGTATTCGTCCTCACACCTGACCTGTTGCACCCTACTGGTCACGACTTCTCACTAGAAACCCAGGTAACTACCTACCTGAATAGGGCAAGTCGCTAGTGAACATCTCATCGATATTTAAGTGTTGGTTTGTAGGGATTTGATTGGTTACAAGATTTCATCATGGACAGTACTCCCAGGTTTTCCAATGGTTCTCTAACCAACATCAGCTGATGATGAAATCCTGTAAACAATCAAATCACTACAAACCAACATTTGAATTACAAAGTTTGAATAAAGCGAGAACAACATTGATTTGTGCAGAATAACATGGTACCATCATTTATTTCGTTGGCTTCTCGTCACTGCTTACAGCCTAAATAAATTTTCAGGTTTAAGTACAGAAACGTTTTAACATAATTGCAAATTTTACATGTTGTCAGTTGATAGAAATTTTCACAGTTAGTAAACAGTGCTCAGAAAATTGCGCTTATATAGTTTTTACACAGGCAGTTAGTTGAAGTGCCCAAATAAATATCAGTACTATGATTAGATGGCTCACAAGGGATTTTCCAAATAATTTTTAAGTAACACTATCCTACTCCATTTAGAACAGTTTTGAGTTATATGACCAACAGATTTGAATTCACATGACTTAAACTGACAGATAAAGATATCATAAATAATTGGTTTGACCAGCCTTAACTCTTTCGCAACCCAGTCTTGCCTCATTTAACATTGCTCGATGAAGAAGGCGATGTCTTGGCATGTATGGCAAGTGTCCTAGTCATCTGAATTAATGCAGCTTCATAACCTCATCGACTAACTCACTCTCCTTAGCTAACACTCTGCAACCTAACCTCTCAGTATTACTTACCACATTATGTCGCCTACCACAAAAGATGGAAGGTCGAGATCTAGTCTCTTCAAATCTTTTACTTCCGACCACTGTCTACTACACTTATAAAGAATAATGAAGCAAACAGCTGTGCTGTACACACACACACACCAAACAAACAATATAAAGTCTCCTTTATTCTAATCAAACTACATTGAATTAATTCTCGTTTCTTTTAGATTCGTCAAACTTTAGATGATGTCTTGGCGAAAACACCAAATGGTACAGGTCCATTGATTTTAATAGATTACTGGCGTGATCGAAATTTAATCCTTGGTACACTAATTGAACAGTTGAAACGTACACCAGTCATCGATTTTATCAACTACATCAATTGCGAGAAAATGATACATACAAAGCTTTGTACAGTGAAATTAACAGTTTGTATATCCAATCTAGAGATAATGTCAAGTAATTTCAAATTTTGCCATTTTATTCTATAATGACTGTTAGATTTCTTTCATTACTAGAAAGACACTTTAAAACACTGACATTTGGTAATCGATTCGAATTAATCATAGATACTATTCATCCTTTGATACAAACATTTCATATGATATGGGTTTTATCAAGATATTATAATCATGATGAGAAGATGGTACAGCTATTTGAAAGAACAGCACAAACAATTGTCAGTCGAGTTATTCGAGCTATTGACTTACCAAATATATTTCAGTAAGTTCATATCTGCATATCATCATAATTTCTTTGTTTAGATATGATTTAAAACAATCGATCCCGTTGATTAAAACAGCTATTAATCTGTTGAATCATTGGAAATCAGTATATTATGAAAAACGCGCTGAAATTGAAACTGTTGGACGTGATGCTCGTTGGGAGTTTGATAAAAACAAATTATTCGGAGCTACAGATTATACATGCTTAATATGTGAAAATTTGTTAGATATATTCACGACCATAGAAGATTTTAAGAATATTTTCAGTTCAGAATTAAAATCAGTTACATGTGATCCAAAGAAGATTGATGAGGCTAGTAAACGTGTAAAATATATCATTGAAAATTTTCATAAGGTAATTTGATTTCCTTATCTATATTTTTTAATAGTCTCCCACTTTCCTGGAAGTCAAGAAACGTTAAAATTTCCCTGTGAATTAATATCAGTTAGTGAATCGATTTCATTTGTTTATTACTTACTAAAAGAGGTTCGACACACGAAGTCTCATAGTCTGTGCTAGGGCTGGGATACTTCCTGGACCCCCACACTGATGTGGGTGAAGTCACCCGTCTCCAAGCCTTTGACTTAAATTTTGATCCGCAAGACAGTGAGACAACGTCAGTAGCTATGTTCCTAAGGTTTCCGATGATGAAAACAGGTTCATAGGCCATTCGGTTCATCCAGATTCTGGAGCTGAGGTACATCACAGTTTTGGAATCAAGGTTTTATAACTCCCTGAGGTATTGGCCAGTATGTCTGCCAGTGCATTTGTGAATAGGACTTATATGTCAGAGGTTATGAACGCGTGGCTACTTGAGGACATTCCAGGGGGAAGACCTAAGTTTGCCTACCCTCGGCCGTATCAAGTTGTTTAGTAGGGGGATTGAACCACTGAAAACCAAGCAGCGATGCACAGCTGTTTTATGCTTGTCTAGAAATTTGTGGCAGTAGTTACCTACGACTCCATCGGAGGTCGAACCCTGAATCCTTAGATTAGGAGGCTGGCCCACTGACCGTTTAGCCACTCGAGTGGAATTAAATGACACCTGAATTCTAACTTCTGTTCATTCGTGCTACCTCACCACTACCAACCAATGCCATATATTACCATCCAGCCACAGACCACAACCTCGCACTGAGACTTCAGGACATCCATCTAGTAGCCAATAATGACGTACAGATCGATATTCAGATATTAGTTCTCATTGGGATTTGGATTAGTTTCATTGGGTACGCACTGCTCTATAGTCCCCAACTAGGCTAAAACGGCTATTCAGTACTCTGCCTAGTTTTCAATAATTCGCTGAATGACGTTGGTTTGTGACAAAATCTACACAGAAATTGACCCGATTGCTTAAAAATACCCGAAATTAAGATATTTATTTATCTTATTAAACCTCTTTATTTTAGATAAAAAATGATCCATTCAATAAAGAAAACAAGACATGGTGGAATGAAGAATTGCAAAAATTTCATGAAACTGTTGAACACCTTGAACATGAAGCTAATTCCCTTATCAATGATTCATTTACACTATTACGGTCAAGTGAATCAGTATTTGATGTTTGGTGTAAATTTCGTCATATAAAAACACGACCAAAAATACAAAATTTACTAAATAGTAAATTTATTGATATTTTAAAACAATATGAAAAAGAATTATTAAATGTTAGTAGAATATTTCATGAAGGTTCAATTTTACCGCCATTTCATGAAGGTCAACAACACGAGATGATGATACGTATCCTATCAAAATACACTCCACCAATAGCTGGTTTAATTCAGTGGGAAAGATATTTGTTAAGTTGTGCTAAAAAGCCAATATTAAAATTTTTAAAAGTGGAAGAATTAATGCAAAATGATGAAGGCAAATCTATACGTAATCAGTATATTATAATTGGTAAACAGATGAGAAATTATGAAGAACAATTATACAGATATTGGATTAATCATATAGAACAAACATTTGATCAGTATTTAAGTCAGACTATATTAAAACAACAAGATTTGGCGAAACCTTCAATTCTGCCCAAATTACCATCATTACATGCAAGTTGTTTAAGTGTTACCTCGTCAAGAAGTGAACAGAATTCAAGTGAATCTAGTAAACTTGCTACTGAGTTTGGTATGTACCTTTCTTTTGTGTGTGCGTGTGTGTATATCGCACGTATTTTGAAATATTGTTTATCTAAACCGTGGGGCGAAAATTAAAATCAAGCGGGAAATCCTAAGGTGTGTGTGTGTGCGCGCGCACTGTGACTGATCTTTCTTGATACAGACTCAAATTACCAAAAAATCTAATCTATCAGCCTAAAAGTTCTGCAATTTAGTGATTTGCTCTTTCCCAAAAGTGTTTCAAACTTTTGTTTCAATATATGAATTTTTACTAGAAGGTAGTCTCAAAAACTAAGTAAAATCACTTTAAAAAATGGAAGTTAAATTAAATAATATGACAACAGACATTGGCCATAATTGAAGATAAAATGATTTCATAAAGGTTGGTAACAGTGCTAATGATGGTACAGGATGAATCGATCTGTAGAAGTTTCATCGAAATTAAGCCACATGTGAGATAGTCTGCTGTCAATGACCTTTAACATCTGCAGTATGGATTGGGATAACAAAACCGGATAGGCAAAACAGACATTCATCACTCTGAAATCAGTTCGCAGATGTGTCACAATCAGTTCCAGAAATAAAACTCGGATTTCTAACATCGGTGTTAAGTTACTTCTTCTACATATGGGTCAAAACTTGGCGTGTCATGGAAAGCATTTCCAGCAGATTTCAGACTCCTATTAACAGTCACCTTTGCTCTATGGGGAGGATTAGATGGCCAGTCCAAAAGTACTAGCAACAAGATACTCTTGCGACAAACCAACCAAGAAATTGTTGCCTAACAAATATGCAGAAGAAAGTGGAGATGGAGTAGATACACTCGAAAATGACTGCGTTACCATTTGACAGATGTACCGCCCCAGTCAAACTCCCCGCCTGACATGGTCTTCAGAACGGGTCGCACATCACATCAAGACTCAAACACCGCAATCTGCACCACGATTCATCTGACATGACCATGACACCGACACACGCAGCGATAGACCACGCATGCCAGCATGTGCTTCACACCAAAATACCATTTCGTTCCCGTTTCACTGAATAAGTAAAGAAACAATGAAGGTGTGGGCCGAAGTATGGACGAATGTTCGACAGGGTCAGGCAAACAGTTTCCAAAGTGGGAAGGACCATATATGGTCACTTCGAGATGGGGTTACGCAGACACAGTCGCAATGGCGAACAATGAGAGGCGCGTGAACGTCAGCGAGCTCCAGAAATGGATACAGCGAGACAAGCCAACGATGACGCCTGCACCAAGTAGATCAAGCCGACTTCAGTCGCACGTATTTGACGGGGGGACGAGTGTGGTGAGAGCAGGCTGCTAGCCGATTGGTTGGCACTAATCTACGTTAAGGTCTAGGTCACTAATATGGGCCGTGAACAAGGCTGAGTCAACAACCAATCACAGCGAAGTTAACGTGGCAAAATATGATTCGCAGATAGAGAACTCTATTTGTCAAGGAATCCCGAGACAACCAATCAGAAGCCTGCGTTTGTCTACCTAAACAACCAATCAGATGACTGCGCTTGTCTATAATAATGTTGTCTGAAATATGTATAAATACGTGTTGATTTTCATAATAAAACGATCTGTTGCCTGGCCCTTGTCTTCTGTTGTTACGGATGAGAAAGAAACGAGTTAGCCGTCCAAGAGTTTCGAGTGTCACATGAAGTGGATTCGTGTGAGAAGGAGATCAGAGACTGCAGGCAATCGTGGAGCCGGGTAAAAAGGACTTCAAAAAACAGGATGAAATGGAAATGTTCTGTTCTGAAGCTGTATGTTCCACTCAGGACCCGAGGGAATATTAATAATAATATAATGACACAACTACATTAGAATGTTTACTTGTAATCACCTGGAAAATGTTTTTTCTATGTGTATGGCAATAAATTATTTAATTTCTTAATTTCTGCTCATCTCTTTTATGCCACGCTTCTCCTTTTTATTTAATCAATAAATTTAAATTTTTTTTCAGCTAAATATGAATTATTAGTTAACTTTCATCCAGACATTTTGGTTGGAATTACAGAAGCAAAACATTTGGAAGCTCTAGGTTTCAAAATACCAGAACTTGTTACTAATGCGGCATTGAAGGTGAGAAAAGTGGTAGTACTGATAAAAGTGTCACCATACCATATATTCTTGAGCACTACAGTAAATCTAATCGATCAACTCTTAAACCAGTTTGAACGACTTGAAGTTCTGTTCATTTGCTGAATGTTCTCTGACAGACGAATTGTTGGTCAGGGTAATTCGTATGGTAAAATTGGTGGTGACTTCATGAATTACTACAATTACTTGAGTCAGCAATAAAACACGGCAGAACTTTGCATGTATGTATACCATTTCAAGTCGTTGTGTTTTGTGAAGTGCACGAATAGGTGCTGTGATACTGTGATAGTCAGAAAGTTTCGCGGAAAATACGAATAGAATAATGATGAGTCAAAATTGTTACAGCGTTCTACATAACAGCTGCCCTACTGTGGATTCTTTTCATAAATGTTACTATGTGTCTCTCTCACTATTGATTTTTATCATTCAGAGGACACAGGACATTTATCTTACACTATCGAATGTGACTTAGGCTAACAGCCGATGGTTTTATTCATTTGTGCCATGTTTTATTCTTTTTTTCAACTACGATCCTGTTAAAATATGATCATATGTCTTAAGCAGAATCTGTAATTGATAAACTGAGTAAAGCACGTTTGTGAGTCAGTATTTTATTCATTAGCCGCGGAGTTTTCATCTTTCCTTTCACATATTCCCTTACGTAATGATTTAGAATATATTACCTATTTGGAAGATGATATGTTTGTGAGCAAAGTTTCTTCATGAATGGTTACACAAATTATGAGAATTAATACACATGGTCTAGATACTTGTACACTACTATCATTAGAATTAAACCACAATGTAAATGTAATGCTATATGCCACTAGCTCAAGATCACAATCGAAAAAGGTGAGCTGACTGCTGTAATTATGAGTGCTATATTCTAAAAAGAAACGAAAACTAATGAAGAAACTGTAACTGAACACAAGAGACCGATCTCTACGTTCTGTTGTATAGCCGACGGAACTTCATTGAGACACGCGCTATCAAATAACGTTTCAAAAGGAGCGATAGACGATTATTATTCAACATTTTAGTGGTATGCTTAAGTTCAGCAGGTATTCACACCTGATCTGAGGTCACCCTCCTACCACCAGAGGAAACACAACATAACATTGTCAGGAATTAGGAACTCAAATATGCATAAACATTTCTTCTACATCCGCATACGAGGCTATAGGTCCCCTACAGAAGCGCAACAGCATACCAATTATGTCTGCTGTTGTGTTAGGCCTTGAGACAATATATCATTTAAAGATTTGCCTTCGAATTTGGCGGAGGAGTTTTAAACGACTCTTACTTTACCGGATTTCTTGGGGTTTATCATGGTATGGTGTGGTGAGTACCCTTGAGGAAGATAATTACGGTTGAGTTGTAAGAATTGGACTATCTCTGAATTTCCTTTACCTATACTCTGCTGCACAGTTTTAACGTAATCCCCACAAAAATGTTCCTCATTCATGATAAGAAGTATCAAACCCTCAAGCCTTCGTCTAGCTAATTCATAGCCCCCACGACGGAGGTTTTCATCTTCCATGGAAGAGGGACTATGAAGTGGCCCTTATCAAAATATGCTCTTCCTGGAACTTCATCAGTTACCTTCAAATCATCCACTGATAAGGATTTATCGCAAGAGTGAACGTCGGCGAATTCAAGTTATATATTTCTTTCAACGGATCTCTAGTATTGCATTTCAGGAGACGAAATTCGCAACTTTCCGACGGTGTCTGTTGTAATCTATCTGTACAAAAAGGACCCAACCAAATTGGGTTCTGACGGCATACGAACTCCCCCCAAGCCGCTGGTGCAAAACTCAATGGGCTTCAGGCAAATCACACCCGGTGATAAACAAAACTTCACCCCATCTATTTCTCTCAGAGGCACATCTGCGAGATGTGGCTATCCTTGGCGCTTTCTGTAACAGAACTTCTTGATCCTCACTGTAAGTGCAATATCGCTTGAAATTAAGTCACGCGTAGATAAAGGCTATCCCGGTCCAGAACAAACAAGAAGCCGGTCACTGTTTCTACGGTACTATTAATAAACAAATCAATAATTATATATACAACAAACCTTAACGGTTTCAAGAGTACAAAGCACAACGCTTGACAGAAAGCAAGGTACCGCTATCAGAGCGGAATAACGTTAAAACCAAAACTGCGAACTAGCCGGAACCAGACACGACCGTTCAGGTAAGCAGTCAGTAGAAGAATGAACCCAAGTAAGGCATGGCATAAAACAGAGAGCGTTTAAAAGAGATAGACCGAGCATAGGCACAAAGATAGAATTTAATTGGCTACTTAACCAGGTAGGAAAATACAGATGAAAACCAATAAATAAGATAAACTCGACAGAATAGTACAAAGTAAGACATGGGTCAGCAAAAATAACAGTTCACAAAATACTCTGATTGGGTAATGAGTTCAAATGTCTGACTAAACAGATCGGGGAAAATTCACATACACACAGTTCATTAAACAAGAGGGGATAGACACGTTAGGCATGGATAATTGGGTTGCAACAACGGGTCACGTTGACTTGATTCAAGGATGGGAATTGAACTGATCCTACACTCACAGTGAAAGATCTTTCGCAACAATTGCCTAGTCAATGATTTTAAATTCATCACCATCCCATAGATGAACTTCACAGGCTTTACTGAGTAAACCTACCACCTTGGTTCCACTAACAATAGTGATCGTAATCTTTGCCACCTTCAATGAAAATTCTGATCATTGCAGGGCGCCTGTCTTAATCAGAGTGGTGTCTGACCCACTATCTAAAAACGCATTCCCATTAACTTCGTTGCTACAATACCTCAGCCGTATGAGTATTAAGCCAAGGCAAATATTTTCTCTGAATAAATCTGTTTAACCACGAGTACTCTGTCCACTTGTTCATCTGACGCATTAAGAGGCTTTCAGAAGTTAGTGATGGGACTCTTTTTAGACCTCAAACCTGCACGAGCCACCAGTCTTACATTATGAAAACTTCTGACCTTTTCTGAGACAGGAGAAACATATTCCCAACTGCTTCACCTCTGACCACCTTTCATTCACAGAAAGTGCCAAAAATTCCTAACATCTAATGGTCAAACGGCCTCCTCCACACACCACACAAAGCCTCTTATCTACCCTAGTAGGCTCATCAATCCCAAAGGGCCTCAACTGTTGTGTAGAGCAGGATAGTCCTCCACTTTTCTGTCTGTTACTTGCTGCCAGTTTCCATTAATCAAACTGTACAATCGTATATATATGATTCTTAAGAAACCAGATCCTATGAGAAAATTTAACCCAGAGGTATGAATATTTATAATAACAGTGTGAATCACGGTAAAATATTTGTGATTGTAATTTCAACTTACTATCAATCTTTAGTCCATAGAATTTGTACACTTTGGACGGGAAAGTAAAATTAGTCGAATTGGCAAGCAAATAAAGCATTATACATCTATACATCCTGGGTATTATTCTGTACATAACATTCTTTGTTTTACCACTTAACACTAGATATTTAACTGTGATCACAATCACAGGCATTTTAACTACATTTCATACTATTTCTACTAACGTGGCACGAATGCGATAAATGATCTTTACATTTTTGTCAAGGTCCGTTGACTGACAGGAGTCGATCAAGTATTCTAGAATAAAGCTTCTCACAATCCTTCTTTCTTCTCAACAAGTTAAGTGAACTGATGGATTTACATGGAGGTGGGCAGACGATGGAGTCTATCCTTCACATAGACGTAGAACAACTTACGGCTTTTGAAGCTCAGCTAAATTTCTGCCATGAAGAACGTTTTACTAACTGATTTTAAACATTTCTGAAGCCTGGTTACCTTTGAATTCCTGATTTATGAAGGTGGTTTCCGTCGAAACTGAGTTAGTGATTAGTTTAGCCTGCTTATCTCTCGTGTGTTTATCAATGTATCGCTAAGACAATGATTTTCAGCAAACGTGGATTTTATGAAAGAAAATCCGTTTTAAACGCAGTCACAAATAGGAATATTTCTTATTCTATAACACAGAGAATCAATCAGGCTTCTCTTTCTGGAAAAAGATACCCTACTATAGGAACTATGGCTATCTCGATCCTCGCCTTGATAACCTCATCAGTTCCGTCAGCCTGTGGTTGAAACGATGCTTCCCAGGTACGTAGGTAAAGGAGGTTGTTTCTATCAGATTTCTCCCATTTATGCTCATTTTTCTCTGTTATTGTTGTTGATGGTCAGAAATCTTCATCATCTCCGTTTTTTCTATGTTCTCTATGAGGGGAAGTCCTATCTTTGATGCTTCTTCTACCAACTTGTTGCTTTTCGCTTGCATATCTGTCCGTGTGTGGGAAATAAGACATATATAACTGGTGAAATACGAATCCTCCAAGTTTTGTATGGGTCCATTTAATGCCTGTCTCCTCGTTGTACGCTGTCTACTGCACTATCCAGTCTGACGCGATCAGGAAAATCACTGGAGATAGTAGGCAGTCTTGTCTTACTCCCTTTTTCACTTCGAAAGATTTCGTGAGTTTCTCGTCGTGGATTAATTGGCATGCAGCACTGTTGTACAACCGTTGAATAAGATGCATAATTGTTGGCAGCACCCCGTAGTAGCGAAGTAGTTTCCATATCACCTCTCGATCAATGCGTTTCTATTATATTCTATTTTTTACATTTTCTATATTTATATTTCTCTTCAATCAACTTTTTCAACATCGTCATCTAGGAGTTCAGTTATCTACGTTACGTGGAGAAATTAAAATTCTTAGTTAAACAATGTCATGAATTATTTTCACACCTTGAACCAGTTGAATTGACCATACTAGAACCATATATCATCAATCTGAGAACAATTATGAAACCTGGTTGGGATATATTAAACTGGAAAAGTCTTGGTATTTCAGAGTATATAACTAAAGTTGAGGAAGAATTAAATCGTTTTATATCATTGTATAATTTATGCAAGAAGACAGCGACAGACATTGAAATGCGTTTGGAGGCTATTGGATCGGCGGATTTATTTCCTACACCAAAATGGGCAGATGAATATCAGAAGTCAGCGATGCGAGGATATTTCACATGCAAAGTAAGCAAGTAAATGATTTTTGTTTTTGTTTTTTAAAATTGAGTGGAATAGTATGAATGTTGGTGGTCAATAGTTGTTAACTAAAAAACAAGTACACTGAGAACTAAGATATATTTTAGCTTGTGAAACGGCTTTCTCATGCCTACTTCAATGTAAAAGTGCAGCAGCGTAATACTAATAAGCATTTCCACCAGGTTAATTGATGTTGGGCCGAAATACTGAGTCTCTGTTGACATACTGGCTACTATTACAGACGCTTGAACGAAGTCTTAGTGTTAACGTTATGCTCTTCGGTTAGATGGTTACTAGCTGTGAAACTGTCATCTTGGATTCCACTGACAGCCACCATTAACTCATATAATATCATACAAATCTTCAGATTTCATCGACATGTCTGTATTACGAGTTGACATGTCAAAGGAGATTGAGCATTCAGATTCAACGCAATCAATCAACAGGCAGAAGTTAGAAATCATGGGCCATTGGATCGGGTCCCAGTGACTCAGTGGTTTACGAGCTCGCTAGCCTTGTAACCAGAAGGTCCTGGGTTCAAACGGTGGCGGTGGGTGCGTACTGATGAAGAATCCCAAGCCAGGCTGACGAAACAGCTATCCAGTTCTCCCAGGTTTTCCAATGGTTCTCTAACTAATGTCAGATCATGATGAAATCCTGTAACCAATCAAGCAAATCCCTACAAACCAATACTTGAAAATATAATTTACAAAATATCTTGCAACGATTGTGAGTTAAGTCAACTACATAGTTCAAACTAGTAGATCAGGGGTAGTCAGATTTTCTGTCAGATCATAAGAATTTAGCTAAGGTTAGAATGGTTGACCTCACCAGTGAAGATAAATAATTTGGAAAAAGCTCAGTGATTGCACCGCACACATTATCACACAACTAAACAGTAGAGTGGGAAAGAGTCGAATTTCTAGAAAGTAATATAGATAGGTAGAGAGAGACAGAGATTGATTACTGAGTCCTGGTTCGTCGAGTCTACACCTAATATGTTCATTAGGAATGAGTTATTAGTCATACCAGAAATATGGAAAATACTGCAACCAACCAAGTCAAGCGATGAAAAATAATGGAATTATTTAAAGGAATTTAGAAATTTGTGTGTTTAGTGCCTTAGTATGATTATGAGTGGCAATAAATTGTGCTCAAAACGTCATCAGCAAATGTTACTGTATACTATATGAGACTTTATCAATATAAATTTTATCCACAATGGAATTATGCTCTACCATAGTGCACAAGTTCTTTTGTTATATTAATTTTACCAGTTAGATTTCATCATAAACCAACCTCATTTGAAGATACAACTAAAAACCGCACAGCACCGGAAGTCTGCGTTGTCTTAGTTTGGGACCTTTCAGAAGTGGAAACTCATGACCCCACTAGGGATCCAACCTGGAACCTTCGACTACGAGACCAAACTCATTGACCATCTAGCCAGCTGGGCTGCAATTCAGTTACCCGTGAATTCTAACTTTTACCTATTCATGACGTTAGCACGATCACCAGGCAGTATCATCGGTGAGTATTTGTCCACACAAATTGATGGAGGTTAAAATCCATTGAGCATTAAGTGCTGTACAAGTGGCTGAATGGTCTTCGAGACTGTCTTGATATAGCGCTGTTCATAGCCGATACCTTTGTTGAGCATACACTTTAATTTGACAAGGTAGACCGAACTGGTGACAACTCACTGCAGCTTGACGAAATCCATGTAGCAGCTACCAATGAACTGAAGGGTTATATTCAGATTATTGGATTTCCCGGGATTTGGTTTAATTTCGACTGTTAGATTTCATCACAAACGAATATTAGTTAAAGTGTAACGGAATAACTGTCTGGAAAATGCCTCCTGAACTATCTAATCACTTATTAGGACGTCCTAACCAACATTGTAATTACTTCTCTCTTTTCTCCTAGGCATTATAACATTTTCCTAACGTTTACATATCATCCATTGACTTAATCCTTATTATTTGTCTCCATCCCAGTTCAATCTCTAATTTAATGCTTCTCTTTGTGAGTTTAAAATGACATTGACATTGTGGTGTTTTTGATGTGAATCTGTTTGATTGGATCAGTTTGACTCTAACTTTGGAGTGTCTGTAAGAAACGTTGGTGTGTGATTCTTGTGGATCCCACTCCGTTGTTGGGAATATTCTACTTGATTCTCAGGTAATTATTGCAGTTGAATTTTGATTAACTAATTTTGTTCTACAGTACTTGTTTTGTGCTGGAAAGTTCCCTTACCTGCATACATACTCCATGGCACTGTTGAGATAACTTTGAATTTTCGAAGTTATTATTGTTGAATAAAACTACATAGATCTTACAACGAATAACCATCTTTTTGCTGTGACTGGAGCATTTCGTGAATGTAACCCTCTCAAAGAAGTTTTTTTAAAACAAAACATTTTCTTAATTCTTCTCCAGGACTATTTTGCTCTGACAGTTAATGAAAGACAAAAACACTTTGCAGAACTACGTCTACAGCATACATCTTTTACACCATTGATTATGAAACTTGAAGGTGCAATAACACAACAAAATGCAGGGAACAGTAAAGTAATGGTTCCTTATTTTGAATACTGGGAAAAAAAGCTATTCGACAGAATTTATGCGGTAATTTAAAAATTATTGTAATTTTTTTTCTTTTTAAATTCTTGTTAGTTGTAATTTTGAACGTCACTTGGGAGATATTGCTTTCAAGTCATTTTACGTCAGACTATTTGAGAGATTTTCAGTTTAGCCCAACAATCCTAATAGTAATGCGATGAACAATTCTGGGCTAGGAATTGTGATCAACATAGGAATTTAATCGCGGTCTTCAAACTACGATATCTTCTTAACCTCAGTCCATGTCATAATCACCAGCATCATTAACAGTGATTGGACATTAGTAACTAGTGTGATGTGTCTAGTCCTTCGTTTGGTACAGACTGTTTAGTCAGTCGCGAACCAGAATAGCTCAGTGGTAACGTCTCTGACTGCAGCAATGGGTGGCGCTGGTTCGAATCTCAGAAGGGACATGAGTTGCTTCAAGGTTGCAGATATACCTTGCTGGTAAGTGCTAACTAACACGAAACTTAGGTCCAACGCTTCCTAACGATTGTCTCCAACTATCCAATATCATCAGCAATATTCTTATCATGATGAAGAAATGAAAAAGCTGACAATTATTCATGGAGTCAAATTCAAATTGAACAAAAGAACTGCAGCAGTTTATAAAAACCTCCTTGTGACATAAATACTCTTTTATATAGCACTGCTCACTTAGAAGAATATCCTACGTTTCTCTATTTATAGTCTCAATGGAACAACATATAGAGGCATGGGAATCTAACGAATGGCTAACAGTGTTAGTAAGCATAGTAATTTAATTCATTATTTGAAGACTCTACGTTTGCAAGTGAAAGTTCACTAGAGTATACTTTTGAAACCAAAAATACTAAAATCACAATGTATTATCTGTTTAATACCATAAATGACAGTTAATACAAACAAGCGATATAGCTGAATGCATATATTAATGATTGAAATAAGTAGTGAAACGTTACTCACGTCGATTAGAAATGCTTGCTGGAATGATTGGAGTTATCTAGATGCTGCAGAGCCTTGTTTATAGAGTGTACAGAATTCTCAGCAGAATTTTTTGTATAGTATCTCTCCGATCAGCATCCCTAGGCAGAATAATAATTGATAGTGGTTCGCGTGATGAGGCGTCGTCTAACCCAAAGCTCAAACAAATCTTTTATAACATTTCTTCTTTGTCTCCTCCCAAGAAAGCACAACATTTGAGTTGAAAACCAAATAAAACTGGCGCCCATTATGGATAAGATTTTATTTTCAAGCTCGACGTGATATGATTATGAGAAATAGTTTGTGCTCGAAACGTCATCAGTTATTATTACTGTACAACACTGTGTGATTTATCAAAAAAAATCTTATCCATAATGGAGATTGAACTGAATTGTCAATTTTTCCTATCCTACACTGTATGAATCTATCATTCATGACTAATCACCACCATTGTCTCCCATTTCACAATACTTTGTAATCGATTTCAGCCCAATACGTTTGTCACACAAATCCGAGTACTTATTTTGACACCTCATAACTAATCTGTTATTATTCTACGTTAAAAATGTATCCGCCGTATGCATAACTGGCCTTTATTGTAACGACAGCAAATATTATATTCTATAATTGTAAGAACTTGAGGATTGAAAAAGAATATTCTTCTTTCAGATTGACTTCTAAGAAAGTTAAAAGGACAGTTGCAGGGAAGAAGATTTTCTTTCCATCTAAGTCATCGGCCAGGCTGCACATCAGTGTATATATCGTAAATGGGTGATAAAATCCCAGAAGTATTTCCGGTTGATGGTTAAATTAAAAAGATTACAGTTGGAGACTAACGTATAATAACAGAATAAACAAAAAGACCAAATGAAAATATGGTAGGATCACAATTATTGCGAAAACTGACTTTTTGTACATATAAGGATTGAAAAACCGTAAAAATGTCATAAATATACAGGAAATTTGATTAACAAACATAATAGGATAGTGATTATTGAGAGGAATGACTGTTTATGACGGCCATGTTAATGACAAAGGTTGGATGTACTTCTTCGGAATACATAGTTCCGGTTTGATCTTTTGGATAGCTATTTGTTTCAGATCCCTTTTAGATGTTTCACAGGATCTTTTATAGCACTTTGAAGGACTTTGCATAAAATGTGAAACTGAGCGTCCTGAATTCACCAGAAGTTCTGCTACCAAGCTGCATACATACCTACGTTCTCCCTTTGCTAGCCAGGCTGGTAGTGTTGCCGAGAGCATTTTACAGGCGAACGCATGGTAAGACCGATGAGTTCAGCCCCACAAGAGGAAACGAACTGGTATATGTATGCTGAAGTGTCTCCATTCAACAGCTTGTCTCTCAAGTGCTGGTTGAATAGTTTCTTGCGAAAACAATGTTACTCGTAAGCTGGCATCAAGGTATTTTTTACTTAGAGATTTCGAAAGCCGTCTGCTTACGCTGTATCAATAATACATTCATCTAAGTACCTTCTTTAAGCCTACAAAAGCACAAATTATTGGTTAATGAATGCATAAACTAAAATTCCTCTCTAACAGGATAAATAATGTACTGTAAATCATGACAAAATTTCTCTTATTATATTCGTTGTTCCACAGGTCTCATAACTGCTTTTAATAATAATAATAAAATATATATACATATAGTTCTGTAAATAAAGTAGTTTCTTTTAATTCGTCTATTTTTATTTAACTACGGATCCTTTAGATGGTGATCAGAAATCTTCAAACATATTTAAATCGTATTTCTCGTCCAAAAGAACCATTGTTTGCAGTTGATCTTATGCTAGCTGGTACAGATGTTGTCGGGAATCCCAACCAGCTGAACTATATAGACTAGTTATTCAGGTATGTTTGTATTCAATCATTTTAGAAGCAGTGATGATTTAGAAGTATAAATGCACACGTTTACTGAATGCTTTCCATCTCCAAATGAAACTCTGTATTAACACGGATTGATATAATTTCAACAGTTAGTGTTACATTTTCAAAGATCTATCCGTACACATGAGCTAAAACAAACCCATTTTACTCCACATAATCAGCAATATATTTAAAATTTCACTGAGAATATTGAATAGAGAATAGTAATATTGTTGAATTTCCCTACACAATGATACTAGCTGCTACTTTACATGACGTTTTTGAAATTTTGATGAGAATCCTTGTTTCCATGGTGAGAAAACACTCATTTGCTTGGATATTTGCTTCCTCTACTTAAAAGTGGAGCTGAAAGAAAGTTCATCACCATATGATTTAGTTGTGTCCTCTGAGTTGAATCGTTTACTTGCGAGACTTTCATTGCCCTACTAGGCTACATCTTCAGCTTATACTTCAATTTGAAGTGAGCTTTTAGATTTCTCCACGAGTTTATTATTCATCTCTCCTGGCGACCTTGGAAGTGATTGGTTGTTTTTGTGTGTTTTCACACCCCCCTAGGCTACTTGTATTGGTACTGATTGTTTCCTTGACTTGAAATTTGACCCTTTGTGTGTGTGTGTGTGAGATTTCCTTCTTATCGATTGGTAAATCTAGTCTACCACAATGTATCTGTTGATTGACGATTCATTGGAATACCAAGCTGCTTAAAATTATCTAGCATTCTTGGTGTTTCCTCTGTTTAATATCTGAACGTTGTCCTAGTCGGACTTATGTCCGTAGTTGTCTGTAAGCAGCAATATGAAGGAGTGGATATCATGTCTTTTGACGCCTAGTTTGTAATAATGGAAGCAGTGACGAAGAGGACGTCAAATTTGGCCAATGTTGTGTTTTACGCAGTCATTGCAACTTATTTTGTGGATGATGTTGGTTTTATCTTCTTTCTTTCTTTTTTTTTATTACAGCTTATTCCACAAAGTACTTTTTGGTAGAAGTATGGAATTTTCAACATGTGATATCGGTAGCCCAAATTTTGCAGGCCGACCCTGGACCATGTGCATGATCGTTGACAGTCCTAACCATTGTGCAACCGACGCTGTTTAGTCTTTTTTCGGCACAGAGCTGATTGAAATCATTTTGCTGGTTTGTGTACTACATGAATTCCTGAGGTTTGAAGAGTGTTGCAGGGAATTCTGAGATGTTGTCTTTTATTTTTGATAGTGTGATTTGCTTTGTGCTTTCCTTGAGGGCCTTTGATTTGATCCGTTCGCTTGGGGGGTATAGATCTTTTGATGAAATTCCGTGGATATCCACTCTTTTGAAAGACGTCCATGATATATCTTTCTTCAATTTTCCTTAAGGTGGGAGTGTTTCAGTGAGTCCTGGCTGGCTCTTGTAAACAGTGTTTGTATATAATTCCTTTTGTGCGTTATTGGAATGTTACTGTTGTAAACGAGTATTTAGTCTGTGTGCGTTGATTTTCTATAAACTTGAGTTTCTAATTCTCCCGTGGTTGTTCTCTTGACTAAGACGTTTAAAAATGGGATTTTGTTCTCAGGTTTTTCTTCTCTTGATTAATATGACTATATAACTCATCGAAAATATATTGATTCTCAGGTTCAAATAGTGATCATCGTATTCAGATGAATGTTTGCATCAAAATACATCAAAACTTTCGAATATATTCAGCCTGAAAACGAAACTAGATTGTGCTGGTTACATAGTCAAATAGATTTGTCATTCGAATTTATTTAGCGAGAATGTTTCTCAGTTCAGAGTTGAAAAGAAATTATTTTGCAAAAACGTAATGTCAATTTTAAGGTTTTTCTATGTCCAGTAGGAAAACCAATTACTCTCTGAAAAGTTATACAGAAAGGCTTTATTACTATTACCCCTTCTGTATAATATTGTTCCCTCTGGGTTCCGAGTAGAACATAGGGCTTCAACAACACATCTCCACTTTTCCAAGTATTTGTTTGTCGGGATTTGATTGATTGGTTCCAGGTTTTTATCATGAGCTGACATCCGTTAGAGAACCATTGGAAAACCTGGAAGTACCGGAGAGCTGTTTTGTCCTAGTCTGGGACTGTTCATTAGTGCGCACCCATCGGGGTTCAAACCCAAGAATTCTGGTTACAAGGCGAGCTCGTAGACCACTAAGACCATATCCACCTTCGTCTATTCTCTCCCGTCCTCTTTCTCTGACTCCACGATTGACCACAATCTCTCATCTCCTCCTCCTCCTCACACTATTTCCCCCATGTAACCCTCGTACCGACGACCCAATGGCCTGGCGTGCGGCGGCCACATCAGCGTGTACCCGATCCATCTCCACTTTCTCCTACATATTTGTTAAGAGATCAGCTCTTAGTTGGTTTGTTCCCACTGTTTCTTGTTGCTTATTCTTTCTGGCCGCCTGGCCATCTGATCTTCAGTAGAGAGCCAGTGAATGAAAGTCTGGAATAGGCTGTTGAAATCCTTTTCGTGATACGCAGTGTAAGTTTCTGACCCGCTTAAAAGGACCGACTTGAAATTGGTGTTGTAAATTCGAAACTTGTTCCTTAGACTGAGTGCAGAAGATCTTTAAGCTGGTTTCAGGTTGATGAAGGCGTATTTCGCCTTTCCGACCCTGACTGGCTTTGACATCTTCCGTTCCGACTGTAGTTGAAACGGTGCTTCCTGAGCAGATAAGTGAAGGGATTAACCTCTGTTAAATTTCTCCCGTCGGTGGTGACTGGTGCTGGTTGTTGTTGGTGTTGCTGTTGTTGGTGGTTGGTTATCTTCATCACATTGAGACCTGTCTTCTATGACTGCTTCTTCAGCCAGTTTGTTGCTTTCCGCCTGTAAGTCTTCGAGTTTATGTGACATCAGATATAAATCATACACGCACGAAATCGAAATCTTCTAGAGTCTTCTCATCGTTGATCCAGCGTCTTTCTGACTCCTCGCTCCGCACGCAAAGTTTGACGCATACTCCGGTCCGCCACAATTAAGAGTATCAGCCGTGATAGTATGCTGTCAGCTTGTCTTACTTCTGTATTTACCTCGAACGCCTCGCCGAGTTTTTCATTGTAGATCACCTGACACGTGGCATTGTCAGATAGCAAACTGCTGAAGTAGTTCTCAAATTACTTCTCGGTCAACGATATCTGTCGAAGGCCTTTTCGAAGTCGATGAAATTGAGGTAGAGGTTCGATTGCCACTTTATGCTCTGTTAGATGATGATGCGTATGCTTGCAAATTCGATTCACAGATGGTTGGCATTTCCTAAATCCAGCTTGTTCCAATCTGCAAGAGTTCTGCATCCGTACATCTTTTACTTTCTCGAGGTTGATGCAAATAACTGTTTTACTTGGCGTGGAGAAGAGCATTATTCTACGCCAGTCATTTCTTGCACAGGCCTAAGTCACTCTTATTTGATAGTTTGACAAGATGGTCCCTTTTCGAGTCTGTAGGCACCATTCATTCCTTCCAAACCTTTTGTAATAATGGGATGAGCACATCAGCCTCAGTCTCTGAGTCCGTTTTCAGTGTTTTGGAGTAGAGGAGTTCCATCTGGCCTCGCTGACTTTCCTTCTGTGATATCCTTCACTAAAACTAAGAGATATTAGGGGATAACAGAAATGATATGATTCCTTAGGCCTGAGACTCGTTATTCATCATAATTCTTTCAATGTAGCGAAAGTCGTAACAAAAGTGGATATCAGCGTAGAAATCATCACGAACCAACTCCAGTTAGAAAGTCACTGGACTCTAGAGAGCACAAAACAGCAGTTCCGTGTTTGTCGAATATGAGGCGTACACTCATCAATGACACTGGTTGACGATGACAACAGATAACAATTTAACAGAATTCGGGACTCAAGGGTCATTGAATTCAAACCCACTGACTGAATAGTGAACTAGCTCACCTCCTGAAAGCGAATGCTCTGAGTTTAATACCTGATACGGTGGTTGGTGAGCAATTTAGAAGAGCGCCAGGTGGTCATGTGATCAATTGTTTCCGATGATTCTCTCATCGATGTTCATTCGTGACGAAATGTGAAGTGGAGTGAATTAAAGTGCTTAAAAACCCAAACTTTAAAGAGCAGATATGTTAGGAGAGCTCACGAATTAATTTCTGGTTGTCGGCTTCGAAGTAACAATCGTTCATTTACTACAACAGTTATAAGACGCTGAGCGAACTTTCATGCTCATGGTTTCCTCTTAATGATGTATCTGGTTGCCTCAGTATTTATCAGTTAAGCAGAAAAATGTATCAAGTTAAACCACAGTACTTCTTTTACGTCTCTAATAATGTTATAGCACTCGTAATTCAATAGTAAAATGCCCGTCGACCACTCGGGAGGTCTGGTTTCAATTCCCTGCCGACAAACTCCCGAAACTGCCCGTTTACTAGACATCAGTAAGGCTGGGGTGAGGCTAGCAAATATATCCCGTAGAAATTAATCAGTGCCGTTGAAACTTCACGACATGAATCCCTATGTCCACTAACAATACAAGTGTTGGAAAACACTTTCTTTTACATTCCTACCACTCTTACAGTTACCGAATTACTCACTCCAGTGTGTTCCATGGATTTTTAAAGGGTTCTTACACTGTATTTTACTTTCTGCTTATCATTAAGGAATTACGTGATGCAATTGAATCAACTCGGGTTTTTGTTAGATGGTCACGTGGTTCATGTGTCACTGCTCCAGGCGTTAAAATTGATAGCAGTGAAGAGCTGTACTACTTCACATTCTATGAAGAAATTGCTAAGTCCAGTGAAATAGCTGATCTAGTTCAACAAATTGCTAAAGCATATGCAAATACAGTTGAAAAGATGAAAAGATTTCAAGATAGTTGGCGGAAACATAAAGGCAAATTTGTTGCAATAAGGTTAGTTTGATTGGAAGTCAAAGATGTTTTTCATATTTTTTTCATTCAATAAATAAAGAGAATGCAACTGTTGAAGGTAGAACCACGACCTGCTGAGAGTCAATACAATTAAGATCAATAAAATTAACAGCTTCGCATTGGATGCATTAATAGTAAATAGTATGATCTATTCAGTGTTAAGGATATTTTTTCCTTATTATTGCTATTCCCTGAGTTCCGAGTGGAATATAAGGCCTCAGCAGAACATTCCCCTTTCACTGTGTTATCTCTAATCTTTATAGGTCAGCTCCGGGGTCACATGATCTCCCTAGGACGCTCAACTTGTCTACAACCCAAATAAAAGTATTGACCAATCACATTTTTCTGCATAAAACTATATACTACTGATTGACAGAGATAAGTAGCTCCACACCACTCAAAATCAAAATGATTCAAACACCGAACCGCTGTTTATCTCGTCTGCGACCATGCTCATCAGCGGTGTACCCTTTGTGTGACTCAGCTCAGAGAGTCAGATCACTTTAAACCACCCGATTTCTGGCCAGTCGGCTACTTGGGAGAACTGGTGACAACATAAATCAAATTCTTAACTTCACATAGTTGTAGGTGAATTGCTTTTCTGCCCCCACCCTCTTTTTTATAAATGTCTGTTTTCTCTTTTATACCCTTTATTAGTTAGGTCAAGTGGAAAAATGGATGGAGACTCCACGTACAGCGATTGAAATCCATGAGAAAATTCTAGATATGAATACAAAACTGAATGATTTGTGTGAAACACCAGAAAATATTAATATTGGCTGTATACAACTACGATTGAAAGGCTTAATTCATAATATACGTGAACATAACAGGAAATGGACAAAAGCTTATGGAAAACAGCTACATGATATTGGCAAAGAAATAGTGACCAGTTTAAATGAAGAATTTAAAGTAAGTATTTCACTTTCCCGTTTGTTTCATTCATCTTTACATAATGAAAGGTGACTAAGAAATCCTTTTGTCTTATTCATACTGAAATGAGGATCTACAAGAGGCCCATAGAAAACCAAAGATCACTGGATAGGTGTTTTCTAGGTGGATAGAACTGCTAATTAAATAAACACCACAAGGCCAAGTCCATTGTTTTTTCTCACAAGGTAACAGCTTTGAAATTAAGCTGTCTACGCATTCCCACTTATATTAGATCCTAGTGTAAGGTGAATACCAAACAGTGTCATCTGTTAGTTACCGACTACAAACTGGATTTCGTTAATTCCACTGGCTAGATGATAATTTCTTTTAAAACCTTGACGAGTTGGAATAGAAACTAATTAGTCTAAAGTTATCTTCAATATGCAAAGACATCATCTACAGGACGATCAGAAACATGAAGATAGAAAAATACGGTAGTTGGGTATTCTATGCATCTGTGAGTACACACTTTCAGCTTTTGTAAATTAGAAGGGTTTTAATTCATTATTTAACTTATATCGAACGGTGATAAGATCTGTATTAAAACATAATTACGTATGAAGTCACCATACAAGTGAAGAAATATTTTTCAAGAGTTAGTAGAGATTTGATTTGTTTGTCAAGTTTTCATGCAAATTGATTTCAGTTGGAGAAACACTGAAAACCAGGGAGTATTGAACTGCTATTTCGCCCTAGTTTGGAAATTCCGGTAGATGCCTACTTCCGATGAGTCCAGAACTAGAATAGAACAACTCTCCTGCAGTCCCTGGTTTTCAATGGTTCTCTAACTAATATCATTTCGTCGTCGACCTTAAAAAATATATTCATCACTAACTTCTGCTCGTATAAAGTTATTTCAGTCAATGTATTCCACCAGCCGTTCTATATGCCGATACCTAACTCGATATGAAATGAATTTCTTAAAGTCTTGTTGCTTTCCAAGCTAGTACATCTTGTAGTGAAGATTTCGATGTTATTCCAAGCACAATCTTCATTTTTTAATTCACAGGGACCGCATCCAAGTTGGGAAGATAGGACATCTCCCAAGACATCTACAATCAGAATTGCATGTTTTCGGCACAACATGGAACTTAGAAATCAATTTTTTAAATGTTTTTATGGGTATTTTTCATTATTATATCATCGTCTCTTTACAGTCAGTCGGCATTTAGGTGGGAAGGAATTCATTTACGGATTTTAGACTGTAAGTATTCAAAGAACCCACTTATTGCATTTTTACAGCTAGGTAATGTCAGCATAGATTTTGTCACTAACCAAAGTCGATTAAAGAATCACTGAAAACCAAGAGGTCCTGGACATCTGCTTTGTCTTAGTTTGGGATTCTTTAACAGCGCGCAGTCTTGAAACCACCGGGGATCGGAACAGTTGCCCTCAGGTTACTCAGCCAGTTAGTGATAGATAATGGTAGTGCTTAGATTTTAGAAGCAGCCTGTGTTTCAAAGGAATTCCAGGTGTGCAACTTGTCATGAATCCGATTCCAGTTTAGGCGAGAACATCACTATTATGACATTTACTTTGAAGGTGGGACTCATGGAATTAAGCAGTTGGATTGTAAACAACATATCCTTTGTTCATCTCAGCAACAGGTTGGTATACCATACGATTCTATTGACAAAGTGTAACTAATAGCTCGGGAGTTGAAAACTGAAATATATTTATTGAATTGAATTCTTGATTTTCCCGTCGATTGATTGGACCAAAGTGCTCGGTCTCAGGTTGACATGTCGGCTTCTTGAGCAGATGCTTCGACGATGTCCGGGCATTTAGTTAGTATACAATTGTAATGTCAACCTGAGACCGAGCACTTCGGTCCAATCAATCGACGGGAAAATCAAGAATTCAGTTCAATAATTAATATGACCCGTTGCACAAGAGGTGGCTGTCGTGGCCCAAGTGGTCTAGTGGATAACGCTTTGGCGTTTGAAACTATGGGCACTGGGTTCGAGCCTCGGTGGGAACATCATCACTCACTGAGAAATGCAGGTACATCCAGCTGACGAGTCCCAATTAGGACGAAATGTGCATCCTGGATTCCACTGCTAGCCACCATCCACCAATTGAAATATATTTCTTATTCAATCCAATTATTCTTCTCTATTTGGTTTTCCTCATTTTCTGTATTCAGCGTCGATTTGAAGAACTTGAAGATGTACCAACAAATTTGATAGAATTAAAAGATACTCTACGTACAATCTTTGAAGTACGCTCATCAACTTTAGAAATAGAAGAAAAATTAGTCATTTGTGAAGAGTGCTACCGTCTTCTCAAGTATCATAATCTACCTGTACCAGATAGTGAAGCAGAATCAGTGAACAATTTAAGACCTAAATGGATACAACTGTTGAAGTCTGCAAATCATAAAGAAGGCACATTGAGTCGGGTGAAAGGCAAATTTGCTAAAATCACTTTAGAAGATATTGAAAACTTTAATAAGTTAGTTGTCGATTTTGAAACACGTTTTAAAGAATTTGGACCGGCGACAATGTTAAATGATTTAGATGCAGCAGTAGCAGTTGCTAAGGTAACTTTTCAAATGAAATATTTTTTTTTGATAAATTTCTTTTATTTTCAGTTTTATTGTGTTTATTGAATTCTTGTAATGTAGAATCATTCATCAGTCCAAAATATTTCCATTAAATTTGGGTGCTGTACAGCTGAAAAATACTACATTTCATAGCAAAACATGATGAGGCTGTTCTATTATGAGTGAAATCTATTTTGATAAAGTCACACAGTGTTATACAGTAGTATTTACTGATGATCACGTTTCGAGCACAATTTATTGCCAATCATATCAAGGCACTACTCACACAACTCTCTAACTTCATTCATATAATTCCAATATTCCTCATCGCTTGATTTGATTGGTAGTAGTATTCTCCATATTTCCGGTATGTGTGATGAGTCATTCCTATTGAACGTGTTAGGCGTAGATTATTCGATGAACAAGGATACAGTAATCAATCTCTCTCTCTCCACCCATCTATATTACTTTTTAGAATCTCGACTCTCTCCCACCCACCATATTGCGTAGTTGTGTGTTAATGCATGTAGTGCATTCGCTGAGCGTTTTCTAAATTACTTATCTTCGTGGGTGCGGTCAATCGTTCTTACCTTAGCTAAATTCTTATGCTCGGACAGGCAATCTGGCTACCACTGATCTACTAGTTTGGCCTATGTATTTGACTTAACTCACAGTCATTGCAAGGTATTTTGTAAATTATATTTTGTCTAAATGGGTCAACCTATAGGATCCTTTAACCTACAGAGTTTATTCCTGAGTTAGTTTCCAGGTTTAAATGCCACTCTGATACCTGATTTATTGGGAATCCTACCACGTATGGTCTCAGATGTCCCCTCCTTGTATGGTAGAACTGTAGATGCCTTTACGCCGACTCTGGCGTAGAAGAGATGTTCGACTATCGACCAAAGGGCGGGTGTACTGCTCATCAGTCCGCACCGTCCTCCTTTATGGCCAGCTGTGAGACCTGGCCACTGAGAGTGGAAGACATGAAAAGACTAGCTGTCTTTGATCATAGGTGCCTGCGCTCTATTTCCCGTGTAAAGTGGCATAATAAGGTGAGCAACATTGAAGTTAGGCGTCGAGTACTAGGTAAACAGGGGAAATCAATCGACGAAGTTGTGAAGTTACAGAGATTGAGATGGTTAGGACATGTGTTACGTATGCCAAGCCATCGCCTCCCTCGACGAGCAATGTTAGCGGATATAGGGTCAGGCTGGAAAAAAGCTAGCGGCGGTCAAACAAAAACTTGGCACCAGTCAATGAAATCCACAACAGTTGGTCTAAGCCACGTAGGAAGGTGTAGACTTCCAGGCTGGGGTCCTCGGGACGGTAAAAATCTATGGTTGGAAACAGTTAGTGACATGGCTCAAAATCGTTCTCAATGGCGCAGATGCATCCACTCCTTGTGACTTATGATCTCCAATGAAACTGGTTTGTTCTTCGTTATTACTCCTTTGTCTCACACCTCTGCTCACTGTTTCTATTATGCTTTTCTTGTACTTTCTTCTCTTGCTTCGCGTGCTACACGGAGTGTGGCGACTTGAACTTCCGCACATTTGTGCAAAGTTCTATGTCAAAACAGACAGACAGATGCCTTATATTCTTTTTTATTTATATTATCATTATTAGTTTACTCATTATTTTTATTTCGATCTTTTTTGATCTTCCTGATGAGTTTTATAAGATAGTTGTTTGATAACAACGCTTCTTCTATCTGTTACATTTCATCATTTAGGTCTTTTGTTGTACTACTTAGTGCTACTACTTGGTCTTACATAAATGATGAGGCTGTAGTTGAACAGCTGAAAACCTCTTCAGCTGTAGAACCTAGCTGTTCTTGTGAACAGCTCAGCATTTTATAGGATGAGTCTGTACGCCTGAAAATGTATAAATTGACTGTGTGGCAAATGAGTCTTTGGTCAGCTTGTAATAATTATTTCTAATTCCTGTTGTTATTGATATTGTTATTTTTATTACAATAAATATTCTCTTGGGTTCTGAGTGAACCATAAGACTTCAACAGAACATCCGCATATCACCCTATTATATGCAGTCTTCTCCGAGTTAACTTCGGACGCCCAATTTAATTGCTTCCCACTCAGGTCCAACTCGAGAGATGGCCTGGTGTGTAAAAACACTCAGTGGTCTCCTCAGTGTGTATCCAAATTCACCTCCGTTTACTTCTGCATCTCTGTTGAGCTGTAGGTTCTTGATTAAACCATTCCTAGAATTCCTTGTTCCTAATCATTTCTTGATGGTTATCTGATCTTCATTATGGATTGAAGGCAGTTGTTGATCAGAGTCCTTGAATTTGTTAGAAATGCCTTTCCTGATGTACTTACCAAGTCTCTGGATCATATAGAAGACTTTACTTGACATTAGCACTAAAAATCCATATCTTGTTCCTAATGGTGATCGCAGCAGATTTCCATGCCTAACCGCATTATTATCGATAATATTGTAACATCCAACATGACAGATGGAACATAAAACACCAGTGATCAGAAATGGTTGATCTTTTCATACACTGCAAGTCCATAGTTTGCAGTTGTGAGGCAGAAAAAAGTAAACTGCTTCCTAATATACATACTTCTTAATCGATGAGTGGAAAGAATGCAAGATGGCAATCGCTAAACAAGTATTCCTTTTTCATCCTGAAATTTTATGGACAACTGGTTCATTAGAGTAGATGCAGCGTCTTAAACAGGTAGTGAAGTGAGTACAATACAAATTTTAAGGAAGTGGTGACATCGAGAATCTTTCACAGCACTTCATTCATAGCCAATAATTCACCCGACACTAATTGATTGACCGACTCGAATTCCAATTTTAGATCAGAAATTTTTATAGTCGCTTGCACTTCAGTACAGCTGTTCTGATACTACATATGTTCCGTGTAGGCTTGGCACCTAGAATGCTCATACTTTGAAGGTAGTCATGTAACAACAGAAAAAAGGGCCAGGCGACAGATCATTTATTAAGGAAATCAACACACATATATATAGATTTTCATGTACATATTATAGATTATTTAAAAACTTCATGCAATTTTTCCCATTAATAAACTTGAACAAAGCAAGAAAAACAATTGTACCAGGATAATATGAGCTAATCTTTTATGATTTCGAGGATTCTTCTCAACTGTTTACAACGTGAACGTTAAAAAATATGAATTACATTAAAGATATGAACATACTTTTCCACGATCATAAGGAGTAATTGGTAGGAAGTCAAAGTAACATTAGTCCGGAATGATTTAACTGATTAGGAGTTACAAACACTGACTATTTATAGAATAATTAGACAATTAGGCTTGAAAACAAAAACAGGGTTGTGTATATATGTGTGCGTATAGAAACAAGGTTTAGCTAAAAAGAGCATAACAAAAAAGTAGATTACGTAACTAAAGAAAACGTCTTATCTAATATCCAATAGAAAAAAAGGACAGAAAAGAAACAAGGTAGGGTGAGTCATGTTTAGATGAAGAGTAGAGTTTTCTAAACATGAAAAAGGTGACTCATGAAAGTTGTATATTTGAGAAGAATCCTCGAAATGATAAAAGATGAGCTCATATTATCCTGGTACAATTGTTGTTCTTGCTTTGTTCAAGTTTATAGATTAGTGTTAACAGAAAAACACAGTCTTTCTGATTGGTTGTTTCTCACAGAAAGTTAACCTTGCATCTCTTCGCGGCTGTTTTTTGAATGTCAGATCATCTAAATGTTAACTGTATTCGCCTACTCATTTTTCTCACGATCAATATTGGTGACATAAACATTGACGTAAACTACTGTCCACCAATTTCGGCTAACAGCCAGCTCTGACCAAAGTCATACGACAACCATTTGTATATAGGATCCATTCAAATGTTTATCCAGAGATATTGTGGCATCGTTGTCTGACCTAACTAGTGTTAGAGCAGCGGTAAGTGCTAAAGTTGAAGCTCCGTCACTTGATTGCATTCCATTATCAAGTGTTTACATTCTGCTGTCCTGGTAGGCTTAATATTAGTAGGACGTAACCGACGGGGGAAGTGATGTCTTTCATTTATGTTTACCTGCATTCCGATGAGTTAATTCTTACCATCAGTTGAGAAGCGTTCTCAAAAAAATGTGCATAGACCAAGTATGTAGACTTAAAATGAAGTCATTAAGGGGACTGGATTCTGCATTTCTGTACAAGTCACAATCTATTGCCATCTGCCACTAGCTTCTTATACTACCATCGTTCTTGCGATGCCTATCATTTTATCTTTCCTATATAAATACAAACTTGAATAGACCATATTGTGGTATTCCGACAATGATAGGGATTCAAACATAATTTTCACTTTTTCTGCGGTTCTGTTTTTAAACTCCGTTCATTTTTTAAATGCATATTTAGTTTATATTGCATCTTAATCGTCGTCATTGGTCTCACCGATTAGTGAAGCTAGACGTCAGATTTGCTAAGGTTCAAGGCTAGCTACTAATTAATTCAAAAAGTATAGATGGACATCGGCAGCAATTACAAGATCCCATTAGATGATGAATAAAACCGCTTCCAATCCAGAATATCTGTAAAAATATTTACTGGAAAAAGCCCCCTTCAGTTCATTTTGATCTATCGAATTAGTTTGCACCTATGAACCTTTGGAGTTTTTCAAACGTGATGTCATCGGATTTCACTTTGTGTACACTGTTATTCTTCCACATATGTAAACGTTGAATAATCATGTTTACGAACCAATACCGACCTCAAGAATGGCATGTTTATGTCTATTCGAGTAGGAGATTAGCAGTTCTTACAGTTGAGTTGCTTACGTGTAATAATCAAAGGTTCTTTCATGAAATCCATTGAGGAATCAGTCATCGGATTTCTCTTGGATTGAGAAACTTGGTATATAAATTATTTTGAGGTACTCACATTGAAACGCAGATTGAGAGTAATGGTATACCTAGGTGGCTGAAAACAGGTTTATCTTTTAATGCATTCTAGATGAATGAGTTATGAACTTGGTCATGAATAGTGTTTTGGCTGCAATTTTTTCCAAAAAATCTTCAAACTTTTTGGTGTAGTTGTGTTCTCTGGGCGAGAAACCACTCAGATAAACACCATCCAGCTCAGATAACAAAACTACACTGAAATCATCCACCTGAGCTACAAATCTTCCCACATTTGAAACTACAAAATAAATGACCAACCAGTTTTAAATTGGTTTACACAGATTCTAAAAGTGATATTTATCTCATAACGTTAACTACTGTGACTTGGACTAGTAACTCTGTGATCTGAAAAGTAACAAGTTCGATGAATGGCAAAAAAAAACTTCATACTTAAATATCTTTCACAATATTTTAACCTTTTTATAACACTCACCTTGGAAAGTCATAACAAATGTCAAGTAATTTTCTTCCAATAAAGATATCCTCATAATTATTATATTATGATTACTTCATGTTCCGAGTGGAACATAGAGCTTCTAAAGCGCACCTCCATTTCACCTGATCGTCTGTGGTCTCTTTTTAACTAGGTCCACGATTGTTGGTAGGCACTCATCTCCTCCTACTCAAACAGTCTCCTCCATGTCACATTCGGATTCGTCTCCGACTCATTATTTCCTACTCGAGTTTTGTTGAGGGTTTGCCTATCTCGTGATGTTACCCAACTGTCTTTTCACAACGTCTCCGAACCATCTCTATTTTCTTCACTGTATTTGTTAAGCAGTAGGCTATTAATTGATTCGTTCCCAGAATTTCCTGTTACCGATTATTTCCTATCGGCTAAGTAATTTTCAGTGTCGAGCGATACCTTCTTACTCTATATAAATATATGAATACATTTCTTCTCTTTTAAAATGTTCTCTAAATAACTTTTCATATTTTTGTAAAGAAAATAATGAACGTAAGACGGGGACAGTATTAATTAACTTCTCCGCTTTCAAAGTGTGTCGATTGTGGTATGGCGGTAGATTACTCCCTAACTACGCTTGTGATCCAACGTTCGATCCCAAGCTGACCGACCCCTTTGCCTCTCTAAGCTGGTGATAAAACCGGTAAACAGGGGAGGTTAGGCATAAGGCTAACCACCCCATTGCTACTGAAACTTCAAGCCTCTAGCTTGAAGTCCTATGTTCCACTGGGAGTATAAAGGAACAAAATTAAAAATAAGTAAATAAATCTCCTCTTTCAATTTATTTTTTTTTCTTAAATTAGGAATATCATGTACAGTTGAATGAAATAGAAGCTAACAGAAAAGAACTGGCATCAGCAGAAAAACTTTTCAATCTTCCATTAACACAATATCCACAAATTATAAATATTCAAAAAGAGTTAAGTGGATTAGATCAGTTATTCAATATTTATTTAAAACAAAAGGTAAGCGGGATCCAATTATTATTATCATTATTATTCATGTTGATTTAATTACCTCATTTCGACATGAGAGAGAGAGAGAAAAAAAAATAGCTAAATTTTAAGTGTTTTCTTAATTCATGAAAAATCTCCATCCTGAGATTAACGAAAAACATAACACATAGTTCAGTGAGGAGTAATGTAACGACAGGAGACAAGAGTCAGGCAACAGATCGTTTATTGAGGAAATCAAGAGACATTTATATATTTTTATGCACATTATTATAGGTTATTGTTAGCAGGCAAACATAATCTTCTGATTGGTTGTTGTCTAGCTGAAAGTTAATTTGTCATCTCTTTGTGGCCATTTCTGTGAAGGTCAGACCATATATCTGCGAAGTGTATCCGCCCACGCAAAGGCCGCTGTGATTGGTTGTTGAGTTTGTCTTTGTTCGTGTTTTGTCTTCATGACCAAGATTTGGAACGTAAATATTGACGTAAATTTCTGTCTACCAATTTTTGCTAGCAAACAGCTCTCACCACAGTATCTTTTCGGAGAATTCATTCACTTAGCTGTACAACCGTAATTATATATACTTTATTTTTGTATGTATGTGTGTACATTAGAATAAAAATTAGTTAGGCTTGTTGTCTACATCATCATAATGTGATGAATAATCCAATTGTAACTACAGCGGTGTCGGTCAGTATAAGGGTATTGATGATGTGTTGTCAAAAATAGTTGTCAGTGTTAGTCAGTGCATAAAAGAAGTTTATTAAGAGCATTAGGGGGGCTGCGTAACAAGATGAATATTTTTATGAGTGAGTTTTGATTAGGATGAACATAGAAACGAAAGAAAGTGTGGAATTATGTAGGAGCCGTGAGGAAATACAACAGTCATAAGGAATTAGAGAAGCAGGCATACAGACATCAAATAAGTAGAAATCAGCACGGCCGTTGTTATGATATTAGAAGTGGTTGAATGATTTTCTTTCGTATGAATAGCCCTGGTTTTTCAAATTGAATGGTCAAGGCTTCAGCAATACAAAGGAGACGAAAGCATATTGCCTTCGGTAGGTTATTCTTCTCTTTGTAGATTACTTTGAAGGAAGCGTTTGTTTAGGTGGGATAACCAGTGTTGACAAAGTGTTCGATGATCGCACTCCTCATAGAGCCACTACAGTCCTTCTGCAACCATGTGGGATGGTGTTGCTGGATAGAATACACGTCGAAAAACCAATGCACCCAGCTCTATAGCAGTCTTATTAAGACGGGCATATGTTAGACCAACAAGAAGATACTGGACCATCTAGACTTAGAGGATGATTTGTATATAATGTCAAACAGTCTCGAAGACCTACATGCAAAAACCGTCAAGCAAACGAAAGGAACAGCGAATACAGGACTTCAAGTAAACATAGAGAAGGTAGTGGCAGTGAAGACGCTTAAGAAACAACACCAACAATAAGCATAAATTACTGTCTACCGGGGAAATTCTGAAGAAGGTCACTTCTTTCATCTGTTTGGGCAGCATCGTTTCAACGACAGACTGTACGGATGGGGATATCAAAGCTGTTAGGCAACCTTAACAATCTCTTCTCTGCCCTCTGCACTCCTTTCCACCTATTTGGCTTCATAATCTTATGCTTATTATTCTTTATAATTGATATTACTATTGTTATCATTTATCATCCTTTGGATTCACCCTAAGCTTTTACTATGGCTTCATTAATTAATTTCTGTTCACTTACAAAATCAACAACTTGGCAACAGGAAGTGGAACTGGACCGGACATACACTGGGAAGACCATTGAGTGTCATCCTAGGCTAGGCCTTAGAGTAGGACCTGAATGGGCAACGACGAGTTGAGCGTTCGAGCACGGAATTGAGGAGATTGTGTAGGATGCAAACGAAAGCTTGTGGACAATCGTCGAATCAGTTAAAAAGGAATGCAGCACAATGTGCTTTTGAAGCTCAGTGTTTCACTTGAAACCTAAGAGAATAATAATAATAATATGAATGATTATAAACCTTGTTATCTCAATAATTAAGAAGGTACTATAACAGTAGAAAAAGGGGATCTATGTTGTTCTAGCAGCTTTCAGTATACAACCATGTTTATAAAGAAGAAACACACTGAAATAATTGAGTGTTTTTCGCTACATAGTATAATACAACTCATTTCTTACCGGTCAAGTGATCGTATGACATAGAGAGCCCAAATGACTTTATCAACTCAATGCCGATGTGATACATAAAGACCTTATGTGTTTTAAGCACAGTTTATATATATATATATTCTTTTCTAGGTGTTTGCCCCTTAAAGCTGTCTACAATTTATTTGTTTTCACACAACTTCGACTTATAAGTGTCTTACAGCCTATCTTTACTGGTTAAATCCAGGAAATAATGGCAGAGTTTTTGTCAGAAGTGTATACATGTTCACAGCTATGGAATCTATGAGAATTCATCACTTGTTGTTTAGCCACTGTATGGATAGTTAACATTCATGTGCCTTTTTTCTCTCTTTCTCTTAGTGTACCAGAATGGTAGATTTCCTCTTAAAGCAAAACTGCTTTCAAATTTCTGCCACTCTTCTATCGTTTATTTTAATATACTGCAATCAATTCGCTTAATATTCGTATTGTTCAAATTTTTCTATTAATATCTCACATTTACTTCATTTACTTGAATTCGCTCTAGTGTTTGTTTTTACTGTCTTCCCGACTTCAATAGAAACTGGATAAAACCTGGCTCTTCTAGATTTAAAGTGAACTTTTAAAAGTAAAACTTGTGTGCAGATAGACTCACTAAGAAAGGGTTTTATGTGTTACACTTTCATTGTTCTATAAATTGACGTTTTCTTATTAAGTCTTGCTTCTAAATTTTAAGGCTTCTCTTGGCTTTACGTGCATTGGTGTGTCAGAGATAGAGTGCTCGCCAACCATCCACATGATCTCGGATTCGATCCCTGGTTGAAATTCTTCTGAACCTAAGCCAGTAGAAGGGCCAGTAAAGGCGGATAGTTGGGCGTGAGGCTGTCAACCCCATCCTGCCAAAATAAAACTACCGTTTTAAAACAAGCAGCAAAGGTTAATAAAGCAGGATTTAGTGAATTCATCAAATTTCGGTGGAACTCGTCGGCTGAATGCCTTTCATACAGGGATGTATATATATATATATATAATATATATATATATATATATATATATATATATATATATATATATACCAATGGAAATACATAGGGAGATTTAAAATTGATAAGCACAAATAAACTACACTGAATTAATCATTCAAAACGATAGGTATGAATGTTTTTCGGGTCATGTTCACAGAGATAAGAGGAAGGCAGAATGAGAGATCAAAATTAAGATAAGATGTATTACGCGTCAATTACATCACTTAGATAAATAATTAGTCATTTAAGAAAGAACTTAAATATAACAATTGAGAACTGACTAATATTAATAGTAATGGTCATAAAAATAATGTTGAAACGACTTAAGATAATGCTAATGATAAAAGATAGTTTTCGATGATAGCAGATGGTTGGAGGCAATCGGCTACAGGAAGCCATGAACCTAGGTTTCGTGCTAGTTGGCACTCACCAGTCAGTAAAGCGTATCTGCAACCTTGAAGGAACTCATGTTCCTCCTGAGATTCGAACCAGAGTCACCCAGTGCTGCAGTCAAAGATAGTTTCAAATGAATCAGTAATAATGAGAAATAAAATAAAATATATATAATAATAGTAATAAGTAAAACGCATTACCACGAGAGATGTAGAGTGATAATCATTTTTTTTGTACACAGAGACTTGGTTTATAAACTCGAATTGCACAAGCCTCCGTAACTGCAGCATCTTCCTGATTTTTTGTCTGCTGACAACAGTAAATAACTTGATAGTGTTGATGTCAAGTTCATAGTCCACAAGATGCTTTGTTATTGAACTTTTTGGCACTTTGAATCCAGCTGTTTTCAAACACTTGGCGAAATGCACCACCATGCTAGTAGACAATCTATTTAGACACGAAATGAAAAACATTCACATGTGTCGTTTAGCATAAATAATTCAATGTAGTTTATTTGTGCTGATAAGTCTTATGTCTCTCAATGTATTCCCAGTAGTATATATATATTCTTGTATGTAGAGTATTCAGCTGAAGAGTTCTACCGGGATTTCACTAATTCATTAAATGCCACTTTAGTAACCTTTGTTGCTTGCTATAAATTTGTATCGGGAAATAAATGTCTCCCTAACCATTGTTACTTTAACTCCGAAGCTAAAACTTGAAGATCTATGTTCCACTCGGTACGCAAAGGAATAAAAGAAACTGTACCACATATGAATCTGTTTGTGTCTTCTATTCATATTACAATCGTAAGTTAGGTACTACTACTTTTGCATGAAGATACATGTTAAAGTCGCAGTATAGTTGAAGTTGTATAGCGGGAAAAGTTTATTTCGATGGAGGTTTCGTATTTACTAGCATGAATCAACAAGATGCTACCCAACTACCAGGAGACTCTGCTACCTTAATATGTTCAAATTTGTCTCACTAAAAGATGAAATTAGAAACCTTCCTTACAGTCATGAACATCATGATTTACCGTCGTAAAGAATAGGAAGTAATTAACACACAATTGGTTATCCTTAACTATGGATCGATTCGCCTATTTATGCCATCAAAATAACTGTGATACGATGTCGTGATACACTTCTTTTCGGTGTTAATTATTTAGAGTTTATAAGTGAATTTACTGTTTGCATACTTTTACACATTCTTGTTATGAATACTATTTTAGCAAACCCGTGATGAATGGTCACAAATACTTTGGAAAGACTTAAACATAACAATTTTACAAAATGGTATTGAAAAGTACTTGAAAGAATTACGTAATTTACCGAAACCTGTAAGAACATCACCAATTGGACGTGTGGTATTTGAACAGATTCGTACTTTCCGTGATTCACTCCCTCTATTTACAGATTTGAAAAATGAAGCGCTTAGAGAAAGGTTAGTGAAAATAAAAATGGATTTTTTTTTAAATGATAAATGATTTTGAGAATTAATATTGGCAAGGAAGATGCACTCATGTTTCTTCTGTCTCTTTTGTCCTGTAGCAGAGTATTACCTTTGATCATAATATCTGCATTTCTATTGGTTCTTTTTTCTACCTTCTACCTGACGCAGACATGAGATGTGACAGTTTCAACTACAGTGGATCAGCGGTAAGTTCTGTGTTGATACTATCTGCCCGCTGACACAGTTTGATGACAGTATGAACCAGATGTGGTCATATCGCAGCAACAGAAGACAAGAGCCAGGCAACAGATCGTTTGTTGGGAAAATCAAAAGATTTATATATTTTTATGTACATTATTATTAGCGTTATTGTTAGCACAGACGTAACGGCTCCTGATTGGTTGTTTCCTTAATGAAGGTTAATCTGTGCTACTTGTGATCGTCCCTTAGAAAGTTAAGCCACATATCTACGCATCGTATTTGTACACGTTAAGTCTGCTGTGATTGGTTGGTGATTTCTTCAAGGTTAAGCTTTGTTATTTTGTTTTTTCTAATGACCCCGATTCGAGACGTAACATTGACGTAAATTGGTGTCTAAAATTTTGGCTTGCAGACAGCTCTCACCACAATTTATAAGAATTCTAAATGCCTGTAACGATAAAATTGAAATTTTGATGTGGGTTTTGTCATCTCATAGGACGCTAAATCTCCACTGTCGCCAGTAACCTTATGCATAAATCTATACCAGACCTCTGAGCTGCATTACTGTAATAAATATTGTCGTGAATTTCTTATCTGATGGCAAATTATAATCCACTCGATCAGAATAACTTGAGTTATTTCGTACATTCTCTGTTTTCTTTTCTTTACTATTTTAATAGACATTGGAATGAATTGATGAGGAGAACAGGACAAACATTCGATATGAATCCAGAGACATTTACATTAGCTAATATTTTTGCTATGGAGTTGCATCGATTTGCGGATCAAATCTCTGAAATTGTTTCATTTGCAATCAAAGAATTAAGTATTGAAAAGGTATGAAACGTACGACTGTCTGTGAATAACTGTCAGAGTGATTTTTATTCTGATAATGGTGTAATATATAATCACTATTATATGGTAATGTAAATAAACCAAACTCTTGGCGATCGCAGTAGGACGATATTCTAGTCAGTAGTGGTGTTTCCCGCCACAATCTATAGAACCCTGACCTCCTGAGATAGATTCTTTAAGTTGGATTCTTGTCGGAGCCCAACTTCCCGACTCATGATGGACTACTATCTGTTAAATCGATTATTACTGTGTTATCCAGTTCATAGTACCGACCATATTTGATACTGCAGTAAAGCTGAGCTATTTTGAATCTGATAGGTGATTAATAATAATAATAATAATAATGATTTACTTTATTCCAAAAACAGTACTTGTGATACAGATTGGAATTTTCAGCATTAATCACAATATTGCATCTAATTTCCTCAAATTATAAATAAAATTAATCACACAGAAAAATTTTCACATTTACAATAGAGGTAGTGTCAAAAACATGCAGCATATAAAATGGAAATAGCAATAATAATGATAACAGCTAGGGTAGTAATAATAATAATAATACAAGTGAAAATTGCCGTTGGCTTGTGTCACACAGTATTGGCAATGTGGTATAGAAATCCTAACATGTTTAAAAATATTGAATATAATGTTCTTTCTACATGATATGGGGAAGGAAAAAACATAGATTACAGCCGTCATGGAGATAAGTTGGTGTTTGCAATTATGAGAGTAAAACAGAGAATTAACAGGACCATAAATATAATAGAAGTAATAAAAGTAAAACTTGAAGGTATATAAGGATGGATGGAGGAAATTGTTTATTTACTAGATGAAAGAAGGTTAGTTAATTCTTGCCTGACACTATTTTCATCACATAAAATACGTGCCAAGTATGGTATCATAGAATTCTTATACTTAGACGTGCGAGCATACAGTTTTCTGAAGTTACTCCTTGTTCTACCTGAGGAGATGCAAGGTGAAAGCTGAGGGTAAAGCGGATGCTCCAAGTCAGACAAAATCCCTTTAGCAAATTTATTGCACGAAGTCAAATGCCTATCGACAACGACGTTAACTATGTGGTCCACTGGGACACCACTCACTCTACTGACAGTCTTCAGTATTCTACGAATTGTGACATAGTCTTTTTTAAGCAAACCAGGAAAGAATAAGGGTGAGCAATAAAGAAGAATAGGTAGGATGCAAGAGTTTACGAACTGTAGGATGAGGGGTTGAGTTATACCCGAGTGTCTTAACTTCTTAATGTAAAATGTCAAGCGGAATATTTTACTGGAGATTGCTAAGACATGGGAAGACCAGGAGAGATCAGAAGAGAGAATGAGTCCAAGATACTTAATTTCTGATTTGATTCCAATATCATTGTCGTCAATTTTACAAGTGTCATGAGAATCGATGACTTCTTTTAACTGTCGTTTACATCTTAAGCTGAAATCAACAGTTTGACACTTAGAAGGATTCAGTTTAAGACCGTTAGACTCAGACCATTTGCTGACTTCCGATAGAAAGCTATTTATTTTAGTACAATCTAGCTGGGAGTTAACAGCCATTGAAACCGTTAAATCATCAGCATATTTCACAAAGTTTATTTCATCAGAGTGAGGCAAGTCGTGCAAGAAGAAAGAAAAAAGAAAAGGAGAAAGAACAGCACCTTGAGGGTTATGCAGGTTACTGCAGGCCACCATCAGACAGGTAATCAATTTCAACATCTACCATTATAGACCAAAAAAGTGTTATGCGCATACTTCTGTTTTACTTAAAGCACATCCATATGTTATGTGTTTCTTTGTGTTTCTGTCGTCTCTCATTTATCTCCACAACCCTGTATCATTTGCTTTCGGTGAGATCAAATCTATTTCTCAATTATTTAATATTTTTGCCGACGAACTTCTCTTTATATACTACTAATAAATCTTGTCAGGAGCACACGCAACACTACGTCATTATAATTAGAGATATCTGAGGGAAATCTGTGCAGATAAAATTTATCCACTGAGGGTATTTGATTCAACTCCTGGTGGAAAAAGTGTATACATCTTATATTTGTAATTTCCTATTTATATTTCTAAACTTTCTAAATCCTCTTCTAAGTAGTTCATAGGCCGCTTGAATGGATACAGCGATATCCCATTATTTTTTAACTTAAAGCTTTTCTCTCTGTGGTAGCCGACAATGAAGTCTATTGACACTATTATTCCCTCAGGTCTACAACAGTACACAGTCCATTACACCTTGTTCAGTACAGTCTTCTTACGTTGTCCCTGCTACTGCCCACAAGCTTTCATATCCTCTGTGTTATCCTCAGGTTCACGCCCAACTTGTGGTTTCCCACTGACGCGTGATGTAATCTAACGGTCTCTTCAGCGTGTTTCCGATCCGTCTTCATTTTCTTCAGCGTATATGTTGAGTAATACGTTATTGATTGGTCCTTTCCAGGAGTTTCTTGTTGTTAATTCTTTCCAACCGACCAATGAATCGTCTGTATGGAGCAAGCGAAGGCGGCTGTTCATAATACACATGCACTCCAAGTTTTTAATCCATTTAGAAAAAATGACTTAACAGTGGTGTTGAAAATTTGAATTACTCTCTTTATGCTGATTTCAGATTGATGAAGGATGATTATGGTATCCTGGATGTAAATTTTTCCCCACCTAGGATTTGTTATGTAGATGCAAGTGTATCCCAGTAAGTTACTATATCTCCACTGATGCTTGAACCTAATACCCATCATCTCCTATACCGAAGTGTTATCCAGTAGGCTGTTAAACCATTGAAGCCATTTATTGTTCAACTAGTATGATCTGTACTTATGATTCCCAGGTGACTGGGTGAAACGAGCCCCTACTGCAGGCCACCATCAGACAGGTAATCAATTTCAACATCTACCATTATAGACCAAAAAAGTGTTATGCGCATACTTCTGTTTTACTTAAAGCACATCCATATGTTACAATCTAACCGAACATAGCACTACTGTACCAGCAGAAGACGAAAGACTTGGTAAGGGACATTTATTAGGAATTTGATATCTCTATATAGCCACATTATGAACACCTTATCTTCAAAGTACCATTTGCACAGATCTTTCATGTTGTGCTACTTCTGCCGTCCCTTCGTTATGTGTTTCTTTGTGTTTCTGTCGTCTCTCATTTATCTCCACAACCCTGTATCATTTGCTTTCGGTGAGATCAAATCTATTTCTCAATTATTTAATATTTTTGCCGACGAACTTCTCTTTATATACTACTAATAAATCTTGTCAGGAGCACACGCAACACTACGTCACTATAATTAGTACGCTTATATCTCTGTCAACACCACGATTACTATTACAAATATTAATAGATCCTAATGATTTACTAGAGGTTTTTACTACATAACACTTATCAAAGAATCAAATAATTTACGACAAACTGTAACCTTATATGGATACATTGCCCATATGATTTACGGACTAATCGGGATAAATTATTATTTGATTGAAGCAAATTCAACCTAATACCTTTGACTACTTATAAGTAGGCTAACTATGTCATATGAGTTTTTCACGAAAATTATTCTTAACCCGTTTCTTTCAAACAGGGTGTTAAAGAAGTCGAAGAAACATGGCAAAATCTTAACTTCAATGTGATTAGTTATGTGAAAGCAGGTCAGAATAGAGGATATGTTCTAGGAGCTTTGGATGATATCGTTCAAATACTTGAAGACAATTCAATGAATTTACAATCAATGGCATCCAGTAAATTTATTGGTCCATTTTTGTCTACTGTACAATTATGGGAGAAAAATTTAAGTGTAATCAGTGAAATAATTGAAGTATGGTTAGTTGTTCAACGTAAATGGATGTATCTTGAAGGCATATTCGTCGGTGGGGATATACGCTCACAGTTACCAGAAGAGGCGACAAAATTTGACAATATTGATAAAATCTTTAAAAAGGTAATTGTAATTTTATTATTTTTTCTTTAATCTATCAGTTAACATTGATAAATGAAGACTACTCACTTTCTATAAGTGTAACTAATAATCTCATGAAGTTATCTTTTTTACCATTTCATCAGTTTGGGGACAAATTTAACCATGATCTAGAATTGCACTAGGACTTCGTCTTTGTCATGAGTATGAGTAGTGATGAAAGACAAGAAGGAAATTGTGGTTAAAGAGGCTCATCTAAGGTACATTAGGCCTTGATTAGACACTAGGTAGCAACTAATATCATGTGTCTAGTCCCTAGTGCTGGTGCAGACTGAATGCTCTCAGTCACGTTCGCATTGTTGCCGCCATGCTAGGCGGCTTGACATCACCGTGTACACTGAATTGTTGTTAGATAGCCGGAGGCAGTCAGCGAGAAGCCTTGAACCTAGACTTCATGCTTGCTGGAAGTAACTTCTATTCTCCTTTCCTTTTTCACTTCTCTACGTTTCGAATAGAAAATAGGGCATTAAGCTTGAGTTTTGAAATTTCAATAGCTGCAGCGATTTTTCTTACGGATCAGGATGGATGAACATACACCGAATCTTCTCTCACTGCCGGATGTACTACTTACCAGCTAAGCAAGGTTTAGGAGAAGTACGTCGGCCAAAAAGCTATCCAGGACTTTTTGCATAGTTGATCAGCATTTCACTAGTGAACTATTAACACTATATATATACGAATTTATTATGAGATTCCTTAACAACACTTAATGCGAAACTGAATTATCACCACATGAAATGTTAATAATACAGCCGATTATGATGGGCAAGATTCCTTTCTCTCCAGAATATGTATGTATTTATAATGATGCTACCTAGTATGACATCAGAACGTCTACCGACTGGATCAATTTAAACTAAGCAATGTGAAATATTTCCATATTATGAAACCAAAGTTAATCTGAACTAAGAATATTCTTTTCAGTAAATTCTCTTCAGGTTCTTACACTTATCAAGTGTAATATTTGTCATCGTTACATTGATGACCAGTTATGCAGAGAATAAATTTTTTACGTGAAATAACAAATTGGTCATAGGGTGTTTTGTGTAACAAACATCCTAGGCTGAATTCAGTTACAAATTATCTTGAAATAAGAGACGATAATGGTGATTAGTCAGAAAAGACTCATTCTATGTGGAGAGGAAGACTAAAGAGTCAGTTCAAGGTTTTAAAAGGTGTCGGCAGAGTGTCTAGCATAAAGTAATATGCATTAATTAGGAGATAGTACGAATACACTGAGAGGTTCATAATGAAATAACCAATAAATGGAATGAAACAGGTGGCGGTATATATTGAGAAAAGAGATAATACCACTAGTAATAAGTCTGGCTAGTATAAATGGAAAATTCGATAGTATTGAGAGAATGTTAGAATGAACAGTATAAATTATATTAAATAATAATTATAATAATAAACTATAATAAGCAAATAGATAGATACAAGATTAGAGGAAAAGGCACTTGTGTCGAGAAGGAAAATCTCAACCAAAGTTTTAGCGCAGTAGGAGCTGCGCCTGAACGTATTTCTTTTGGATACAAAGTTCTAGTTTAGTCGATCTTATTGCAATAGCTTCACATATATACAGAAGACGTGGGCGAACTGTGTTTGACAATAACTTCGAAATATTATGTTGGCTTCGATGTGTGAGTGATGAAATCGAACCTTCTATATATTTGATTCGATCGTTTTGGAAGTTTTGAATGAACCTGCCTAATCGTACACCCTATATAACTTGAACCACAGGAACAGCTGAAACAATATATACACGAGAAAGATCTAAGGTTAGGTAAGAAGTCTTTCAGTTTCCGGGTGAACACTGGCCGGCCACTGAAGGATAGAAACATATGTGTAGATTAGAAAGTCTTCTTTATAGCTCTGGTTAGAAGTTAAGATAGAATCTCCACAGAGCATCTCCCTTAAATCGTAGACATGAAAATAATGGCCTTTTCTCCACCACTGCTAGTTTATGTTTGCAACTATTATAACCTATGTTGGCTATTATATACTTCTCTGGACATCCGTTCTGGCTTAGAACATCCATGATGACCTGGAGTTCTCTCTCTACACAGTCATCGTAGCAGACTCACCCCCACTCTAATTACAGATATTCAGTGTTTATTCACCTAAATAAAAAAAGTAAAAGTACCATAGCAAATAAATAAATTTCTTTTCTGAAGGTTTGATTATTTGTCTTGGACAACTGATCAGAACAATCATTCTAACCTAAAAGTTCGAATTTTTTTTCCGAATTTATTGGAAAATGTCATATTTAACCAAAATATTTTTATTCAAATTTTAGATTATGGCTGAAGCAAATAAATCACCGAATGTACAAGCATGTTGTTTAGTCCCTGGAAGATTGAATGAACTAACTACACTTGGTGAAGGATTAGAACGTTGTCAAAAATCACTGAATAATTATTTAGATTCAAAAAGGAATGCATTTCCTAGATTCTTTTTCATTTCTGATGATGAACTGTTGAGTATCTTGGGATCAAGTGATTGTGAATGTGTTCAAGAGCATATGATTAAGGTAAGATGGGATGTTTTTTTCTATGGAGGAACATGTACAAACTGTATAGATAGAAATATATTTTCGATAAGAATAGTTGGAGTTTAAAACTATGATAATATATTTCTAAATAACATGACAAAAGAGAATTGTATCAGAGGAAGAGGGGATGTTATTTCTCAAATTATCAATAAGTAGTGCTGAAAGAGCAGAATTCATTTAAATGATTAGCTTCACACTAAGATATCTCGTTAATTTAGGTCATGTCTGACTGACTGACTGATTTCAACATAGAACTTTGCATCGATGTGCAGCAGTTCGAATCGCCACACTCCACTCAGCCCACAAAGCCAGAGAAGAAAGTAAAAAGAAACCTTAAATAGAGACAGTAAACAGAGATACGAGGCAAAAAGAATAGTAATATCGAAGAAAAATATAGTTTTATTGGAAATTTAAAAAAATCCACAAGGAGTGGATGCATCTGCGCCACCATCGAGAACGATCACTTTGATCCATATCACCAACTTTCTCCAGCCTTCATTGGTGTTTACCGTCCCGAGGATCCCAACCAACCAGGAAGTCTGCATCTTCCTACGTGGCTTAAACTAACTGTTGTGGATTTTATTGACTGATGAAGCCATGTTTTGGCTTGACCACCACTGGCTCTTTTCCAAACTGTATGTATTTTCAGTGTACGCTGAGTACTACTGAAAGAGTTGAATAAAGTGACTTGTGAATAACTTAGTCAAGAGGTTAATTACCTGAAGTAGGTGGATAATACTTGATTCTGTAGACCTTCCAAATGACTGGTTACGAAACAGAAAGACAAGTGTTAATCACCCACAGTACTTTATTACACGGAAATATATACTATTCTTCTAGTGAGAAGACTCAAAAGGCTCGTCCAGGAAAAAGGCGAATGACCACGTATTATAGCTAATTATTGAGTCAATTTATGGGACCAATAAATTATAAGTTGGATATATATAACCGTGTTTCAGACAATTATCGATGGACTAGTAAAAATTCAGTGGAACACTCCCTGATCCAAGTTAGGGGCAAGTGCTTAGCTCTAACTTTCTCACTGGTGCACACAGCCTGAACATGATGTAGAAGCATATTCAGTTCCAAATTTCAACATGGCTTTAACTTGACTCGTTTGATTTATCCAATTATTTTCAAGTGTTGGTTTGCAGGGATTTGATTGATTTCAAATTTGACCATGAAATGACTTCATTTAGGGAACCAATGAAAACAAGTCAGTGTCTGACAGCTCTTTCGTCCTTTTTTGGCCCTCCTCACCAGTATGCGCCCATGAACCCACCCGTTTAATATTCAGTCACCGGAGCGGAATCAACTGGCCCATTAGTTCTAACTTCTGTCAGTCTGCGACATATATGAAGAGCAGCCACCAGCCTATATGATCAAACAGTATCTCTCCTCACACTGAACTTGGTGAGCTCAACAAATCTAGGAAGAGGTCATGACCAGTGGTAAAGGTCTTACGTTTGATCTCTGGTGGAGTCATCGATGTGTGTCGTTGATGAGTCCGAAACAATTTCTTTCTGATTTCCGGTAGCTCCCTCAATGAAGTCAGTTCGCGATGAAATCAACGCACTAATGTTAATTGTATTGTGTTCCTTATTTGTTTTTCCACCGTCATCACATCAGTGAGGTAAACACCTGAACATCTTCCAGAATGTTGAATAGGAAATTGTCACTTCTTAATTCTGTAGTTTTTTTCATTATCTCAATCCTTTTCAAGACCAGTGTTTAATATTCATTACTATAAAACTTAAAAAGACTATTTCCTATGATTTGTTATGTATATTGTGCTGTTATAAAACTCTTCGTATTTACCAATAGAATAAAAACCAGAAGATGTTGTTTTCCGCTGAAGCTCAGCTGTTTAGTACTAGTATCTTTAACATGACACTTTTTTAATACACCTTTCCGTGTTGAACACAACTGTTCATATCATGCTTCACCACTATGTTCACAACTTTATAGGCATTCAAGGGAGAAGGAGAACACGGTTACATGCTTGTAACAAAGAGCATTTTAGCTCTGCTAATACAGATGTAGTAATTGGAATTGTTTCGCTGAAATGTGTATATTGTTTCCATTTACAAATTAATGATGTGTTGCTTCAGACATCACTCAAGGATGAGGTGGTTAGTGATGGATTATGTATAACACATGGTTTTATCAGCCGGCATACATCGGCTTTCATCTACAAAGTTTTAACTTTGATAACTTTGATGTAATGGTTTTACAAAATGACAGTGGTTCTTTTAAGAGATTAGTGATTCATTTTTTTCTTTCACGTTCCCCAGGTGAAACATAGAGCTTCAAGCAAGTGACTTGAAGCTTCTGTAGCAGTGTTTATTTTTTTACAGGATGGGGCTGCTAGCCTCATGCACAACTTTTCCTCTTTACCAGCATTATTTCTGGCTTAGCCAGGTAAAGGAGTGCGTCAGTGGCCGGGATAGAACCCTGGACCATGTGCATAGTCGGCGAGCGTCCTAACCGCTATGCCACCGACTCACAGTGATTCATTACATATAGCTATATATACTGACTTTCACCTTCGACACTAATATCTACAAGTATACTGACACTTTCCGTAGTTTCTATTGTTAAAATTATTTACTCTCAAACTTTGGTCTTTTATCATTGAATGAAGCTCAGATATTTGTTTAAAAATGTTTCGTCTCACAAACAGATCCCCGGTAGAATAATGGGTACCTGATGCTGAAGAGTCCCAAGTTAGGACGAGATAGCAACTCAATATTCCTAGCTTTTCAGTGCTCCTTTAACTGATATCAACTCTTGGTCTAACTTGAGAAAACAGATAAACTGCCTACTAATCAACTCAAATTTTCTCTCACATCTTTCTTCTTTTGTCAAAACATAAATAAACTACAGATGTTTGATAATATAGCCTCGTTGAAATTCTCTAAACAATCAACTAAACCTGGTTCGAATTATATTGAAATGACAGCGATGATTTCAAGTGAAGGTGAAATTATGGAATTTCGTCAACCACAACCAGTTACTGGTAATGTTGAACACTGGATGACTACTATGGAACAAGAAATGAAAAGAAGTAATAGACTGATTACAAAAGAAGCTGTCTTCTATTATCGATCAAGTAAATCAAGGTAAGATATGGAATAAACACTGCTAAAACTTAGGAAATCGTGTTTTCACGGGAGTATAAAAGTAACAACTTGAGTTGATGCATTTTAATGCTGAATTTTGCCTTTCTGACCAGCTGACTGTTTGTCTGTCTCGTCTTTTGACAGGCTACTAAAAATTTTTACTGAGTTCAGTGTTTCTTTTTCAAGAATTTGTCAGACTAATGTTGTAACGTTTGGAAAAGTTATAGAAATTGCTGTGTCAAACTGTGGCTAGAAAACTTATCAGTTACAGCCTCACCAGTATTTTCACTGCTACTCATCAGTGTCTGAATATCCGTGTGAGTCATTTAGGGAGGTGTATAACAAGTGACTGAAATTCTTTGGTTGTTATGCATTATCTCATCAGGCAGAACCAGAAGCCTACAAAGAAAACTATATGCTCGCACTAGCAAGTACAAAAACTCAACTCAATCATACCCTACTTAGCTCGTGTTCAGTGAGATAAAGAAAGCATTAGGCGTGATATCTATAACTTATTAAATAGTCAGTAGAACAACTGGATCTCGTCTTTCTAACTCATATCACTTATAGGTACAACGTTTTCTTTCTTTCTTTTCTCTCTCTCTTTTTTCTGTTATGTGCTGCTTTGTTTCTTTCTTCCTTACCAACTCTACTTAAAACATTCTTCTTCGTTCTTTCACACTCTGTATATCTCCACCTTTTTGTTACCTCTTACGCCCGTAAATATGCTACCATCTACTTTTCTAACACCTTCAAACACTCTGTTCACTTTTGGCTTTGCTATCGACATGTCAATATGCTGTTGTCAAAAAGCTAACTGAGATTACCCTTAATCTATGTGGAATTTTATTTATTGTTAATGTACTAATTGAATGCAATACTGTAGTAAAGTGCTTAGAATTCCATTCTGTATCACAAGTACTGTTTTGGAATAAAGCAAATTACTGTTATTATTATTATTATTATTGTTAACTGGATGTTATTGGTAAGATCCTTCTCTTTATTCTTCATAGTCCATCCAAATGTCATGTGTGAGGATGGATGTCCCACCGACGACATTGGTTGAGGCTGCGCTAGTTCACTAATTGATAGAAGTTAGAATTCATGGGCTGGCCACTGAATCGAGTCCCAGTGGCTAAATGGTGTACGAGCTTGCCTTGTAACCAGAAGGTCCTGGGTTCGAACCCTGGCAGTGGGTGCGTAGTGCCGATGATTCCCAAACTAAGCGGATGAAACGACTGTCCAGTACTACCTAACCGGTTTTAAATGGTTCTCTAACTGATCAACTCGTGTAAACCTGTACTCATTTATTTATTACTCAAACAGTTCAATTTGATCTCTTCTTTATACTTGTTATTTCAGTGATTCAGTATTATAAAAGAAGCGTGCAACTTTGCCTCCCATTTGTTTTTGTGTTTTTTTTTCTATTCATTTTGTAGAGTTGAATGGATGTTTGATTATCAAGGTATGATAGTGTTAGCAACAAATCAAATCTGGTGGACCTGGGAAATAGAAAATGTTTATCAGAAAATATCAACTGGTAATAAAAATGCAATGAAAGATTATTCACAAATGTTACAACAACAATTAAATGATATTGTCGTACGTGTACGTAGTCCATTGAGTAAAAATGATCGTAATAAGCTGACAACAGTACTCATAGTTGATGTACATGCAAGAGATATTGTCTCTGATTTTGTCCGGGATAATATTACAGATGCAAGTGAATTTCAATGGGAATCACAACTACGCTTCTATTGGTCAAAGTCAACTGATAATTTAATTATTAAACAATGTACTGGTCAGTTTGATTATGGTTATGAATATATGGGATTGAATGGTCGTCTTGTTATTACACCGTTAACTGATCGTATCTATTTAACACTGACTCAGGCACTTTCAATGTATCTTGGTGGAGCACCTGCAGGACCAGCTGGGACAGGGAAAACAGAGACTACAAAAGATTTAGCCAAAGCATTAGGCCTACTATGTGTTGTTACAAATTGTGGTGAAGGTATGGATTATAAAGCTGTTGGTAAGATATTATCTGGTCTGTGTCAATGTGGTGCATGGGGATGTTTTGATGAATTCAACAGAATCGACGCCTCTGTACTATCCGTTATTTCAACACAATTAAAAATGATACAAACAGCTTTAATAAATCATGTTAAAGAATTCCTCTTTGAAGGGATAAATATACGTTTAGATTCAAGAGTTGGCGTCTTTATCACTATGAATCCTGGTTACGCTGGGAGAACAGAACTACCAGAATCTGTAAAGGCTCTGTTTAGACCAGTCGTAGTCATTGTACCTGATTTACAACAAATCTGTGAAATTATGTTATTTTCACAAGGATTTTTATCAGCTAAAGTGCTAGCTAAAAAAATGACCACCTTATATCGTTTAGCACGTGAACAACTGTCAAAACAACATCACTATGATTTTGGTTTAAGAGCGTTGAAATCAGTTTTAGTCATGGCTGGTGATTTACGACGTGATGCACCTGATCTGCCTGAAGATGTGGTACTGATGCGTGCTTTACGTGATATGAATTTACCAAAGTTTATATTTGAAGATGCACCATTATTCTTAGCCTTAATACAAGATCTTTTCCCTGGATTGAATTGTCCACGTGTACGTTACCCAGAATTGAATGATGCAGTTGAACTATGCTTAAGTAAAAAGGGCTACACCGAAAATCCTATTCAATCGGATAAAGTTGTACAGTTATATGAAACAATGAAAACACGTCATACAACTATGGTTGTTGGACCAACTGGCGGCGGTAAGACTGTAGTGATTAATGCCTTGTGTGATGCTCAAACGTATATGGGAATGCCTACAAAATTATATGCATTAAATCCAAAAGATCGAAGTGTTATTGAATTATACGGTATACTGGATCCGAATAGTCGTGATTGGACAGATGGTTTATTATCGAATATATTTCGAGAAATAAATCGACCAACAGAAAAGCAGGTAAACTATGTCATTTGATCTCATGTTATCATACATTAATCATACTGAGAATCTACATGGTATAACTAGCAATTAAACTGTTAACCAAGTCTTATCAAGTGTTGGCTTGCAGAGATTTGTTTGGTCACACGTTTGACTACGAATTGATATCAGTTAGGGAACCATTGGACAACTGTTTCGCCTTTACCTAGGACTATTCAACAGTACTCACCTACCTCTTGGGCTCGAACCCAGGACCTTCTACTTACAACGTGACCTAGTAGTTCAGGTTCCGCTGCCACTATAAACCGAATAAGATGGAGTTAACTTAAAAGTATTGTCGAAATGTCAGTAGGGTACAGCAGGTTGAGGCAGGTGAGGCGATAACTCATCGAAGAAGATATTGCGAAACGGTCGCACTATGTCACGAATTGGCAAAGGATAGAATCCATGGGTTGGCCATTGAATCGGGTTTCAGTGGCTCAATGGTCAACGAGCTCGCTAGCTTTTTAACCAGAAGGTCTTGGGTTCGAACTCCGGCGGTGGGTGCGCACTGATGAAGAGTCCCAAATTAGGACGAACCAGCTTTCTAGTACTCTCAGGTTTTCCAATAGTTATCTAACTGATATCAGCTCATGATGAAATCCTCCAACCAAATAACTATATTTCTTTAACTATTATGTTCCTATCAATGTAGACCGTCATGACGAATTTATCGAATAGAATATTCTGTGTTCACTAATCAATCTTTTCAAATTTCACCAGCCGATTGAAATCACTGACTCAAAAAAACAAAATCGTTTGATCCACCTAATGCCATGCAATGAGGTCTAATACATACGTCACAGTGGTAGACAGAGGCGAATTTAGTTATCGAAGCATACGAATTCACCTAGACCTGAAAAGGCAGACCCCACTGTGATATGTAATCTGGAAAAAGAACCAACTACTTCTGTGCAAACACATGTCTGTGATAGTAAAGTAAAGTGGGACAGGTTAGAAGTATTAAAAAGTAATTCATACAGTTAGGCACAGAGTGACTCTAAACTGAGTCTTTGGTTACTGAATCAACACCCAACACACGTAACAGAATCGATGCAACAATAATCGCCAGTACACTGGAAAATTGTAGCAGAGGAAAACAGGAGTGAGTAGGACTGCAGGTAACATCGTTAGGGACAATCCACAGAAAGCCTTCCAACTAGGCTGCAGAAGGGAGATGATGATGTTCTGTCATATGAAATTGTATTGTAGTTATAGCAGCTGGTATATTTTTATGATATTTTTTACTAATTATGTTGATTTTTATATTCAGGAAAGAAGATATATCCTATTCGACGGTGATGTTGACGCATTATGGGTTGAAAATATGAATTCAGTTATGGACGATAATCGACTGTTAACCCTAGCCAACGGTGAACGCATTCGTCTACAGTCACATTGTGCATTATTATTTGAAGTTGGCGATCTACAGTATGCTTCACCGGCAACTGTTTCCCGCTGTGGTATGGTATATATCGATCCAAAATATTTAGGTTATGAACCTTACTGGAAGAAATGGGTCAGTCAACGTATGACACAATATGAGAAAACCACACTGAATGAATTATACTCAAAGTATATACCATCAATTATAGATAGAATTGTTGAAGGTATTGCAGACGGTGAACAAGTGGAAAGACTTAGACGAGTCATCCCATTGACAGATCTTAATCTATTAGTACAATTCTGTGCCCTACTCGATTGCCTACTTCACAATATCAATGAAGAAACAGAATACGCCTTTATTGAAAGCGTATTTCTCTTCTGTATATATTTCTGTATCGGTGGAACTCTGATTGAAGATGAACGCCAAAAAGTTGATAATTATGTAAAATATTTAGCCAGCCTACCTGGTCCAGCTGTAGAAGAAACACCAAGTACACCAGCGACTGCTGGAACTATACCAACTGCTGAACCGACGCTATTCGACTATTACTTTGATGTTGAAAAGAAAGTTTGGATAGCATGGCGTCACCTAGTCCCTGCATATATACATAATAAATCACTTAAATTCTCTGAAATATTAGTACCAACTGTAGAGACTGTTCGAATCAACTGGCTTATTGAAAAATTAGTCAGAATTCACAGACCATTATTATTGGTTGGTGAGACTGGAACATCGAAAACTGCAATATGCCAACGATTTCTACGAGATATTGATCCAGACAGTAATGTAAGCAGATTTTTGTAAACTGGATTTATCTTTGTTTGTTATGATTCATGTCACTCCTAATTTGCAACTATCTGACTCTAATTTGAACAGAGGAAAAACAAGTGTTTGTGCAGAATGACACAGTATCATCATTTATTTCGTCAGCTTCTCATTAACTCTGTACAGGCTAAGAAATTAATTAAGCTTATATACAAAGCAATTTGAAAATACTTATGACTGTTACATAATGTCAGTTGACAGAAGATTCCAGACTTACTAAACAGTGTTCATAAATCACAATTATATAGCTTATATACGGGTTCGAGCCCCGGGGGTGTGTACTGCTGAAGTGTCCCAAACTAGGACGAGACTGTTGTCTAGTACTCCCAGGTTTCCCGGTGGTTCACTAACCGATGTTAGCTTATGATGAAATCCTCCATCTAATTCAAGTTTAAACAAAAATAAATGTATAGATACAAGGGTAAAGGAGTCACGTAATTAAGACTTGAGGTGAATAACGTAATGGGTAACTCATCAGTTGAGTAACAGTGTGGTAAGTTCGACCCAGATCATAAGAACAAGAGACAAGAAAAGTTCCGCTGTATCAAAATGTGGACAGGTTAAAGTCAAAGATTAAGTAATCAAATGGAAGAGCGAATAAAAACAATCAGCCACCAGGATAAGGAAGAAACCGTTATCTTCTTTTTTTCTGAACACATTAGTTAGTTTTCAGGCATTTGATAGCGATTGGTTTGTGAAACTTGAAGACGATTGAACTGTTCTGTCTACTGATAGTTTTAAAGGATTTTACGATGTTTACCTTATGACCCTTATCGATGAGACGTCTGGCAATAGTACTGTTATTAACGTTTGTTCCCTTGAGACGTAGACTTTTCGATACACTTTCGGGAAATCAAAGGTGTGACCTTCTTTATAGTTTCCCAATGTAACTGCTATCGCAGCTACGCGTATATTTGTATATACAGTTAGAGTTCACATGAGAAGGGTATCCTTCGCCCCTTGATTGAACCAAAGAGCATATCGGATAAACGGGAACCAAATTAGCCGCAGGACAGGTTCTGGCTATCGAGGTATTCAATCTTCTGTTGACCATTCCTGTAATATCATCGCTGTTCATATCGAGTTGAACGAAGACAGGCCCCTTGCCCACAGTGATCTTTTTGGTATTTGAGCCTTTGCATCTTCCGTACCTATTGATGAATTTCTGAGGGTAAGCGTTATTCTCAACACCAATTCAAAAATCATAAATTCTACCTCTAGCAACTTATACACAGAAGGTTCAAGTTTAAACAAAACGAAACTGGATACAACCACAAATTTTCAAGTATTAGTTTTGTTGGGAATTTTTTTTCTTGATTTCATCATGAGTTGATATGAATTAGAGAACCATAAGAAAACCTGAAAGTACTGGACAGCTGTTTCCCCAGCCTAGTTTGAGACTCTTCAACAGTATGCACACACCGCCAAGGTTCGAACCCAGGACCTTCCGGTTACAAGACTAGCGAGATCATAGACCAGTAAGCCACTGGGACCCGATCCATGAATTCCAACTTCTGTCAATTCACGACATAACGCGACCACTTTGCACTGTCTTCTTCGATGAGTTAATGCCTTACCTTCAACCTACTGCACCTTACTGGTCACGGCTTTCCAACAGAACCCCAAGTCACTGCCTGAATAGTCACAGTCGCTAGTGAGCGTGAGATCAATTCTCAAGTATTGGTTACTTGTAGGGATTTTGTTTGATTAGTTGGAGGATTTTCATCATCAGCTAAAGTGTCACTATTTCATGAATTCACAGAAGTCAAAATTCATATGCTGGCCACTGGATCGGGTCCCACTTGGTTAATAGTCTACGAGCTCGCTAGCCTTGTAACTAGAAGGTCCTGTGTTTGAACCCCCCGGAGGGTACTTACTGCCAAAATGTCTCAAACTAGGCTGGGGAAACAGCTCTCCAGTACTCCCAGGTTTCCAATGGTTCTCTAACTGATGTCAGCTCGTGATGAAATCCTCCAAACAAGAATAAATGTTTGGATACAGTAGAGAAGGAGTTGCGTAAAACAGAGGAAAGGTGAATAAAATGATAAACATCTAATAAGTTAAATAACAAGATGGTGAGTTCAACTCAAATCACAGGAATAAAAGACAAACGAAATTACATTATACTGAAAGGGGAAGAGACAAAAGCCAACTCTCCTTTCTCATTGTATACAGGCATCAATCTCTGTTTAAACTTAAACTTTCTAAGTATAAATTACATAAGTGTAATTTTCTGAACATTATTTATTAAGTTTGAAGTCTCTTGTCAAATGAAATTATGTAATACTTCCAAATGTGTTAAAACTGTTCTCTACATAAATTTAATAAACATGTGTATGCCTTACGGAGGAGCTGATAAAAAGCTGACGAAATAAACGACAGCATCATCTTATTCTGCACATAATGTTAGTTTTGCTCTATTCAAATTCATAAAGTGGAATAGGTGCATTAAGTGTATGACTTTAGGTGAATGCATTACATAAAACCTTAAAACTATCATACCTGACGATGGGCACATCAGAGAATGAAGAATGTTGGTTGGTGGATGGGGAATATCTAGACCTGGGTACAAACGTGAACACTTACATATTTGACCCAAATCTAGAGATAAAATTCTTAGTCATTCTACAGTTTATTTTTTAGTAACCAATAGGACTAACTTTTAATGACTACAGATTTTCAATTTTAAAAATTGGGATGCACCAAGTTGGCTGTGAGGGCAGATACTTATTGGTAGAAGTTAGAATTGATGGGCCATATAACCTGAAGGTCCTAGGTTCGATCCCGGATGAGTACTTGTGAAGAGTCCTAAACTGGGCTAAAACACTTATCCAGTATTCTCTGGTTTCCAGTGGTTCTCTAAATGATGCCGATTCGTGATCAAAATTAAAAGATTCCCACTTGATACTCAAATCAAGCACAATTTGAGTGAACAGTCGCTTTTTTCAGTTTATACAACTACAAATCCATAAATATTATGGTACAATAATAATAATAGTAATGATTTAATTTATTCCAAAACCAGTAATTGTGATACAGAATGGAATTTTCAGCATTAATCACAATATTGCATCTAATTTCCTCAAATTATAAATAAAATTAATCACAGAAAATTTTCACATTTACAATAGAGGTAGTGTCAAAATTATGCAGCATATAAAATGGAAATAGCAATAATAATGATAACAGCTAGGGTAATAATAATAAGAATACAAGTGAAAATTGCCGTCGGCTTGTGTCACATAGTATTGGCAATGTGGTATAGAAATTCTAACATGTTTAAAAATATTGAATATAATGTTCTCTTTACATGATGGTGATGGTGAGGGGAAAAACAAAGATTACAGCCGTCATGGAGATAAGTTGGTGTTTGCAATTATGAGAGTAAAACAGAGAATTAACAGGACCATAAATATAATAGAAGTAATAAAAGTAAAACTTGAAGGTATGTAAGGATGGATGGAGGAAATTGTTTATTTACTAGATGAAAGAAGGTTAGTTAATTCTTGCCTGACACTATTTTCATCACATAAAATACATGCCAAGTATGGTATCATAGACTTCTTATACTTAGACGTGCGAGCATACAGTTTTCTGAAGTTACTCCTTGTTCTACCTGAGGAGATGCAAGGTGAAATCTGAGGGTAAAGCGGATGCTCCAAGTCAGACAAAATCCCTTTAGCAAATTTATTGCACGAAGTCAAATGCCTATCGACAACGACGTTAACTATGTGGTCCACTGGGACACCACTCACTCTACTGACAGTCTTCAGTATTCTACGAATTGTGACATAGTCTTTTTTAAGCAAACCAGGAAAGAATAAGGGTGAGCAATAAAGAAGAATAGGTAGGATGCAAGAGTTTACGAACTGTAGGATGAGGGGTTGAGTTATACCCGAGTGTCTTAACTTCTTAATGTAAAATGTCAGGCGGAATATTTTACTGGAGATTGCTAAGACATGGGAAGACCAGGAGAGATCAGAAGAGAGAATGAGTCCAAGATACTTAATTTCTGATTTGGTTCCTATATCATTGTCGTCAATTTTACAAGTATCATGAGAATCGATGACTTCTTTTAACTGTCGTTTACATCTTAAGCTGAAATCAACAGTTTGACACTTAGAAGGATTCAGTTTAAGACCGTTAGCCAGTGAAGGTGAACTTATAGTTACATCAGAAACGATAATGCTAATAGTGATTTAAATGTTGACAAAATATATCGACAGTGAAGATATGCCATAATGACGACTAAGTGTGACAAGTGTATGAAATTTGGGATTCAGGTTAGATGGATTCAGTTATAATCAGTGTGGATTGAGCGATAATTCGAATACAATGAACAAACAGGATTGGCTGGATTAAGGTTAATCCAGTGATGATGTGATGTAAAGTGTCGAAGGGGCAGACAGACGTATCAGGGAAGAAAATTTTCTTTCCCAAAAATTATTCTTGTAAACTGTGCAATCGAATTCATTAAAAGTTAGACTGAATTCTCCTCATTATAAAATATTATGAAGAGTAAAGAGGTGTGAAAATAGATATAGATCAAGTGAAAAGGACATAAAATATGATACTTGTTATCATTACAACAATAGCCATTTAGGCGGCGGATAAATTTTTACAATAGATTGGTTATCATAGGGTGACTTGCTACAGGTTGGAGTTTCCTGAGTTCTAGTGAGAAGTCGTGACCAGTGAGGTCCAATTAGATGTCACATGTGTGGATGGATGTCCCACCAACGACAATGGTTGGGTCGCGCTAAATCACGAATTGGTAGAAGTTAGAATTCATGAGCTGGCCATTGAATCGGATCCCAGTGGCTGAATGGTATACGAGCCAGCTCACCTTGTAACCGGAAGGTCCCGGGTTCGAATCCCAGTGGGTGCGTACTGCCGATGATTCCCAAACTAGGATGAAACAGCAGCTGTCCAGTACTCCCTGGTTTTCAATGGTTCTCTAACTGATATCAATCCGTGATCAACCCGTAAAAAGAAATAGTATTAATATCAGTAAAAAGTTTGAGCATTGTGGGTTAGATCAAATAAAGGCATAATTATATTTCAATAGTTTACACACAATGATAAGTTTTGTTATTGGTAATATTTCGAGCAAAATTACCAATAACAAAACTTATCATTGTGTGTAAGCTATTAAACTATAATTATACTTTATTAGAAATAGTATTTGTGTGACAAACGTGCTGGGCCTAATCCAGTTATAAAATATTGTGGTATGTGAGATGACGATAGTGATTAACCAATAATAAATTCATACACCGTGGGCTATACCCATAGGAAGGAAAACTGACAAGTCAGTTGAAGGCTATAAAATATGCAGAAAATCAAAACAAGTGATTCAGAGAAGAGACTGCTCTCAAAGAATTCATTATCAAGTATTGGTTTTGTGGGGATAGTTATATGTCAGGTGGCAAAGCCAATAATATACATAGAATAGTTCGTAGAATGTATATATATATATATATTATGTTGGAAGGCGGTGTAAAATTATACGAATAGTAGGCAAATAAAAAAAACCTTACATAACATAATGTCGAATTTAACAAGATAAAATTCAGTATTACGAAAAATTTCTGATTTAGAATAACAAGTGGGACAAGTGATATAATACCGGGAACACTTCAGGGTGAGAATAACAATAATAATAATAGTAACAATGACCATAATTGGGGGGGGGGAAGTATATACAAGTTGGTGTGTCGGTGGTGCAGCGGTTAGGACGCTCGCCGACCATGCACATGGTCCGGGGTTCGATACCCGGCCACTGGACGCACTCCTTTACCTCGCTAAGCCAGAAATAATACTGGTAAAAAGGAAAGGTTGGGCATGAGGTCTAGCAATCCGACCCTGTAAAATTAAACTCTGCTACAGAAACTTCAAGCCACTAGCCTGAAGCCCTATGTTCCACTGGGGAACGTGAAGGAAAAATTAAAAATTTAATTCACTTGAAAATGAATGAGAGTTAAGTTAATAAGCTGAGTAGAATTCACTTAAAAATAAACGAAAATCGAGTTAGCAACAGTCGTCATGAGCGTAGAGACTTAATAGAGGGTGGGGGTAGAAAATAATACAATTAAGAAATAGACAAACAAGAAGAAAGAGGTAAGACAAAATTACGTATTTGGTGTTAAGATAGATCAGGACCATTGTAGATTTAGTGACTGAACAAACTTCTTTTGTATGCAGAGTTCAGGATTCAATATGTGAATTGCCATTGCTTCTGCAGTTTGAAGAAGTTTAATTCGTACTCTTTTGGCAAGATTTCCACGTATTGTGTAGATAACTGAGAAGTTGTGGAAATCTTGCCAAAAGAGTACGAATTAAACTTCTTCAAACTGCAGAAGCAATGGCAATTCACATATTGAATCCTGAACTCTGCATACAAAAGAAGTTTGTTCAGTCACTAAATCTACAATGGTCCTGATCTATCTTAACACCAAATACGTAATTTTGTCTTACCTCTTTCTTCTTTGTTTGTCTATTTCTTAATTGCATTATTTTCTATCCTCACCCTCTATTAAATCTCTACGCTCATGACGACTGTTGCTAACTCGATTTTCGTTTATTTTTAAGTGAATTCTACTCAGCTTATTAAAAATTTAATTATATACTACTGAATGAGTTGAAAAAACTTTTTCTGTATACAGAGATCTGGCTTTCCTATTACGGCAGACAAAGCTTCAGCTGTACAGATGGATCGGATACATAGTGATATGAGCAATTTATGATTCGCCTTGAAGATAACTTTTAAGGAAAAGGTTGTAAAAATAAGGTGACAATTATCGACCAGATGTTCATCTGTTGCCCTTCTTATAGACCCCGCTTACAACTTTTCGTAACCATATATATATATACGGTTGTACAGCTTGATAATAAATTCTTTGAAGAAAGCCTCTTAGCTGAATCACTTATTTCGATTTTCTGTTTGTTCCAATGAGAATATTCCACAAATATAAGAGAATTCAGATGAATGGCCAGTTCAAAGTAGTATGCATTTAAGAAGAGATAGTGAGGCTGAGGTGACTACTTCATTCTCTTTAATACACACTGTTCTTGTATGAGGTGCTCACCTGATAAACAAATAAACAACTATATTAATAATAATGATGACAATAATAAACATTGATAACAAAATGAAACAAAATTATGTTAAGTTAGCTTGGCCATGGTAAGTCAAGTGACTGCATATATTTGTTTAGAACACAAAGGTCGAATTTAAAGTCACAGATGACCAGTGATTCATGAACTTATAAGTAACGTGTTCAAAGCCTTATTGTGTAGTGTTAGGAAACCCTGTGGATATACAGAGTAACCGTTTCCATTTCCTAATTTCCACTTGTTCATTCCCTTCTAGAAGATTCTGCATATTGTGTAAAATATTTTCAAGAATAGAATTACCTGTATCTGATTAGCTTTACCATTTCTTCTCTGCTGAGAATGAATACGAGTGTACCGCTTTTTAAAACGACTCGTTGAAAATAAAATTTTCTCCCCTATGGCATCTTTTTTCTACTCTTCAGGATAGGAAATTTCTGTCCTCAAGAGTTAATTGTAAGGATATGATTTGCTTCAAGTTTGATCACGGTTAGAGAATCGTCGAACCCTGGTGAGTACCTACTGTCTGTTCATTTCTACCTGGTTTTCACTGGTTCTCTAGCTGATATCAATCTGTGATCAAACTTCAAACAAGTTTCTATTCATTAGAGGGAAGACTGAGAGAAGGTGTAGAGGAACGCGATCAGACGTGACGATATCATACGATTCTTTTTATGTTGACCTTAATTGTGGTACGACAAGACAGACATGCGCGTTGTTTCCGTAATTGTACCAACGGAGGAAAGATGTATGGTATCTGTCCTACCTTAGAACTAGTCGAGATTAGCATTTAGTACCCGGTACATAGTCAGACATGTCACATGTTTATGGTGAGATGATGATCTAGGTCAGCTGAATGTTTTCTCTCTCGCCTTGGTCAAGTGTATATCCATTTATGGTCATTTATATATACTGATGGCGTCATAGGTGCGAATTCTGAACTAGGGCGAAGCAGCTGTTCAGTACATCCTGGTTTTTGGTGGTTCCCTAACTTGGTGATATAACATGAAATTCATACAAACTAACACTTGTAAATGGGTAAAATTATGAATACATTTACAGGTGATTATTAATCACATTTTTATATACAAGCAAGATGAATAATCATTTGTAAAGTAAAGCTAAATTTGGTCTAATTCAGGATTTGTCAGACATTGAATGCTATAACATCAATCGGCTTAGTTCTATGTCAGAAGAAAAGTCTGCTTTAAAGACTACAAGGTACTCTGTAACACAGTGACTTCAGATAGCTAACAACAGGCCATGCGAATGTCTAATTCGTTCCTTTGCTTTTTCTGATAGAACATACAGGGTTTCAAGCTTGGACTCTAAAGTTTCATTAGCAATGGGGTTGTTGTTTGCACTTGCAGGCCTACCGCCTAACCTCCTCTCTTTACTGGAAATACTATCAGGTAGACGAGGTTCAGAGAATGCGTCGACTGGGAATCAAATCTGGACTATATTCGTGACTGGAAATCATTCTACTACCGAAACACTAATAACGGAAAATGCAAATATATATAAACCGTCTTATTATTTAGCTGGGACACAATTTTCCATCAAACAACATTACACATCTGGTTTGAATTTCAGGTTTTTCTAGCCTACTAATTTTTATAATCCAATATATTTCATTTTAACACTTTCTGACATACAGCTTGTTTTAACAATCAACTTTTCATTTCGTACAACATCGTTGGATGTACAACGGAATCTTGAAGCCAATGTTGAAAAGCGTAGCAAAGATACTTATGGTCCAGTGTCTGGTAAACAATTAATTATATTTATTGATGATATGAATATGCCACAAATTGATCAATATGGAACACAACAACCAATTGCACTATTGAAATTATTGATTGAACGTAAAGGTGTCTATGATCGTGGTAAAGATTTGAACTGGAAACGTATGCAATCAATTGATTATCTAGCGTCTATGGGTCGTCCAGACGGTGGTAAACAAGATGTAGATCCAAGATTTATTTCTTTATTCTCTGTAATTAATATTCCATCACCATCTGAGAGTACATTATACAAGATATATAGCTCTATATTATCTGGACATACAAGTGAATTTGATAGTGGGATTAAAACCTCTGTGGATTGTGTTACAAATATGACATTGAAATTGTTTCAGTAAGAGATTTCTTTGTCTTTATTTGTTAATTTTCATTTTCTCTGATTTCAAGGTAGTGAATAACCTATTTTTTTTCCTTCACATTCCCCAATGGAACATAGGGCTTCAAGCTAGTGGCTTGAAGTTTCTGTAGCAGTATTTATTTTACAAGATGGCATTGCTAGCCCTCATGCCCAACCTTTCATCTTTACCAGAATTATTTCTGGCTTAGCGAGGTAAAGGAGTGCGTCGGTGGCCGAGAATCGAACCCCGGACCATGTGAATGGTCGGCGAGCGTCCTAACCGCTATACCACTGACGCACTGAATAACCTATTATTGTGACTATAAAACAGTTAATTGTTTCACATTATATAAATCATACTTAATTTTTACTTACGCAGAATATTTCTGAGACATTTTTGACTTGATAAGATAAGCACATTATGTGTACTTGCAGACAGACATAAAATGTTGTGTTCCTGAATAATTCTGTAGTCTTCTCCTCCAAACGAGCTTCCGGCTGAAATGACGGTGTTAGTATTCATTGGCCTCGGTGAACGAGGGATTCCGAACTATGTTAAGTGACTAGCCATTTTGCTAGAATACAGTGCAATTACATTCTCCAGTCACTCCTTAGTTAGACTGTGATTTTTTGGACAACTTTAATGAATGTCTTTATTCATCTAAGTTAAACTTTAAGCACCAGTAACTACCAATGGAGTGTGACCGCACCAGTGACCTTGAAACGGTTAGTGAGCAAGTTAGGGAAACTTGGTAAATAATACTGTAATCATGTATAAAATATGCTTAGTGGAATGCTACGTTCTTAAATACGATAACTGACTAGTTTTGGGTTAGCTTTGGGGAAGATTAAGTTAAGATTTAGGCCAAGGACAGGTTAGGGTTAGATTAACCTAATGTGGGCGACATTAGGCTTGGTTCAAATTAGATTAAGGTTAATTTACGGATATTTTCAAGTTAGGGTTAGGTTAAGGAAAGGTTAGTGTTATTGTTAGGGTCGAAACACCTTGCAGAGAATATGGTTAAATTACTCTATTGATACTCCAATCCATAACTGAGAGGTATTTTTGTGTCACAAGTCAGAGAAAGGTATCCTGTGTAGCAGATTTATGCCTCTTACTTTATTATATCCATGAATAAAATTGCCTTTATCATGTGGTTGGCGAGTTCAAGGTCATTTATCCGTTGGTACTTACTGGTGCTTAAAGTTTAACTTTGCCCTTTTTATATATAGTATGGAATATGAACTGTATTATGGTGTGTTTTCACCACCCTTATTTCCAAGCGTCTGTTTGCTTATTCGCCTGAGTATTTAGCTCATTAAAACTTGCTTCTAAAGTTTCATTTTTACATTTGATCACGGACTGATATTAGCCAGAGGACCATTAAAAACTAAGAAGGACTGGACAGCCATTTTATCTTCGTTCCAAATTCTGCAGTGATACGCACTCACCAGCTGTTCAAACCCAAGATCTTCCGGTCACAAGGGAAACTCGTAGACTATTCAGCCAATGGGACTCAATTCAGTAGCCCATGAAATCCAACTTTTACAAATGCGTCATTTTATCACGATCACTAGCCAATATCATCCGTAGCGAGTATTTCTCCCCATACTCAACCTGGTGGACCCCACTGGTCACGACTTCCCGCTAGAACTTCAGGCGATTCCTGTAACTAATCACTGTCGAGCTGCAGATGAGTCCCAAACTAGTACAAAACAACTGTCCAGTTCTCCCTGGTTTTCAATGGCTCTCCAAAACGATATCAATCTGTGGCCATAAATCAAATGTCTTGTATTCAGAACTTTTAAATCCATGGCTAAATTTGCAATTGTTTTGTCTACTATAGATATGTCAGCGTTCAACTACCGCCAACACCCTCACGATTTCATTATGTATTCAATATGCGTGATCATAGCAGAATCTTCAATGGTTTGTGCTGTATGACAGTAGACAGATTTAGTCGTAAAGAACAGTTTATACGTTTATGGCTTCATGAGGTTTATCGTGTTATTATGGATCGTTTAATAAGTCATTCTGACAAACAAATAGTTGAGGTGAGTTGATAAATAACTTTTAACAACTTTAAGATGAAACTCCCAGTTTAAGTTTATGGGAGAAACTCATGACCCTTGAGTTCCAAATGGAATATAGGGCTTCAGAAGAACCCCGTCTATTTCATTCTGTTCTTGCAGTCTTCTTTAGCTGGCTCAGTGATTGTTTCCAAGCTTTCATTTCCTTCTAACACTCAACTGGTCATTCCCGCTCAGGTTCCTCTCGAAAAGCTGGAGCGCGATGTCTCTCAGTTATCTAATTTGGAACTTCTCTGCACTCCCTACCCATGATCCTGCGAGGAACAAAAAGCGGTGGTGATATATCACTAATTAACGAACTCTAGGAAGCGTGGGCCACTACGCTTCAGTCAAGTGACTCTGTGGCAATATGATTTCCACTCTACCTTCAGCGTACAGGTTATTACCCTCTGGAAGCTACAGGCACACACTACTGAAGAGTGCTAAGGACAAGAGAAAAAGTTATCTATAGCTCCTTGATTTCCAGTAGTTAGTAGCGGAATCTACCCTGAAAGTTTAAATTAGACTGAACTGTAAAGCCTTAATGTTTACCTGTTATTATTTATGAGATAGTATTTCATTAAAAACAAGACCCAACTCAGGTAAATTCATTTTTTATGGTCTACACACAATATGAACATGGACAAAAAACCTATTCACAGTTGTGCTATGGTCTTTACTATCTCTAAACAGAAATAACAAAAACGCATGTTTAGTAATTCATAACGACTCACTCATCAACTTGTTGGTTTATGAGTGCTACATTCAGCTTTGACTATCTGAATGAAATTAAATACTGTGTTACGATTCCACCATGTATGATGTATCTGAGATCAATTCAAATAGAATAAAACCAACTCGTGCCAATCGAGCCTCGGTTAAATAATGTTTACAGATTGAAACTGTGTCATTTTAGACTTTAGTTAGATTCATTTTCCTATTGAACATTACATGTCAGACATCAACATTTAAACTTGATGAAGTCTTGTTTATGCATTTATTATTCTTTAGGTTTTGAGTGAAATATAGGGGGATTCAACAGTACATTCCAATTTTGCCTTGTTCTTTTCAGTCTTCTTTAGTGGGGCCAACCATTGTCCATAAGCCTTCATGTGACTCATAAATCCACGTCCAACTCGTCGTTTTCCGCCCCCCCGCCCCTCAGGTTCCACTCGAAGGAATGACGCGTGGTGTTACCTGACGTTCCCCTCAGCATGTACTCAATCCACATGTATTCCCTTCTGTATGTTTTTTGACCAGTAGATTGTTAATCGGTTCGTTCCCAGAGTCCTTGTTGCTAATCCTTTCTGACAGACTATATGATCTTCAGTAGGGAGCTAGGGGAGCTGCTGATAAAAGTTTGCAGTAGCCTGTTGGAAATGATTTTCGTGATGTGGGCGTCAATTCCTTGAATCATATAGCGACACCAGCTTAGCACTGGTGTTAAAAATCTAAATTTGGTTCTTTACACTGATTGCAGAAGATCTCCAAACTGATTTCAGGGTGACGTAGGTCTGTCTTACCTCGCCTAGTTCGTTAGACTGCTAGTTTTCTATGCGATGTTAATTCCGGGAGAAGATGGAAGGAAGAAATTCGGAGTTAGAAACCCTATCACTTTGTTCAATTTTCTGCCGTCCTCTTCAGATGGGTCCACGACTGCCTATGATTCGTCATCTCCTCCTCGCCACGAGATCTCTTCCATGTCACCGTCGCGCCAACAACTCACTCGTCGCTTCCCATTGAAATTCCACGAGATCGATGGCCTGCATTGCATACGATGTCATTTAAATACCTTATCAACATGTCCCCGATCCATCTGCCTTTTCTTCTACATATTTGTTGAGCAATCGGCTCTTGGTTGTTTTGTCCCACTGCAGAGTTCCTTGTTCCGAATTCTTTCTGACAGGCAGCCGTTTGATCTTCAGTATGGACCACAACAGGGCAAAGCAGTTTCGAGTCAACTAAACTAGTCACCACACTACACATTTACTCAATATGCTTCAGTTAACACTTAAGGCTAGACAACTACACTGGTCAAAACTCTATGATCAAATAGTTATCTGAAGTAAACAGTATCATTTACAAATTTTTATGTTAATTTTTATTTTTGGCTTCAAAATGATTATCTTCATAGAAATATATCGATGGATTATTGGAAGAAAACTGTAAAGATATTAAAGAATATGTGAATGCCATGCCAATACTCTTTGGTGACTATCGTACTGCAATGGATGAAACAGAAATTCGTCTATATGAAGATATGGCTGACTATGATAACTGTCGAACTATAGCTGAGGAGGTAAGTTCAAATGATTTCAAAGAGAGAAGCAAAATTTTCAAGTAGTGGTTTTGTAGGGATTTTGTTTGATTGGTTGGAGGATTTCATCATGAGCTTTGTCATGAATTGACAGAAGTTAGAATTCATGGGCTGGCTGTTGGATCGGGTCCCAATGGCTTAATAGTCTACAAGTTCGCTAGCCTTGTAAACAAAAAGTCCTGGATTCGAACCCCACAGTTTGGGTACGTACTGACGAAGTGTCCCAAACTAGGCTGGGGAAACAGTTGTCCAGTAGTCCCAGGTTTTCCAATGGTTCTCTAACTGATGTCAGTTAATAATGAAATCCTTCAACCAAGAAGCAAAATTCATCGCTGTCATTACCACTATGCGTCTTCTATTTTATACCTTTCTTTCAAAGTCCTGACATTTGTAAACGAATTCTCTTTTTTTTTCTGCTTCGTTCTGCAGTTGTATAGTGACTGGGTCTTTGTTTTAGTACATAAGAATTAGTTTATTAGGAGTTTGGCCCATTTCTCACTGGACATAGAATGCCTGCCATAGTGATAAGATTTTACTCTCGTATTGTAACAACACAAGACAAGGGCCAGGCAACAGATAGTTTATTGAGGAAATCAACACATATTTATATATTTTCATGTACGTTATTATAGATTATTTAAGCAAACAAACACAATCTTTTGATTGGTTGTTTCTCACTGAAAGTTAATCTTTATGGCTGTTTCTTGAATGTCAGATCACCTATACGCTAACTGTATCCGCCTACACAAAATCAGTCTTTTTTGATATTTTCTCACGACAAATACTGAGGACGTAAACATTGGCGTAAAATACTGTCTAACAGTTTTGGTTAGTAGCCAGCTGTCACCACAGTATTATCTAAAAGTCATCAGCTATGAGAAAGAACTAGTGATCTTTTCTAGTCTCATAAATGGGGATAAAAGATATCTGTGTTAATCACTAAAATTCATTAATACACAGTCGACGAATGGATCAAGGGACAATGGACCAATGACATGCTAATCTGTCAAACTACTAAAAAGCAACAGCACGAATCAAGGAAAGTTATGGTTTAGGATTCTTTTGAAATCATAATTATCAGTATAATTAATTAGTTTATACCTAAGATGTCTATTGTTATAATATTACTCATCCTTTAGGTTCCTAGTGGGACATAGGACTTCAGCAGCACACCTCCATTTCACTATATTCTCCACCCTCGTTGTAAGCCGACCCTATAAATGTTCGCAAGCTCTAATTTCTTCCTCGGATGATCTCCTCCATCGTTTTGATGTGGTTGTGTTCTCTGAGCTGGGTAGTTAATTTGCGAAGCTTTCATCGTCCTACTGGGTAACATCTTCAGCGGATACTCCAATTTGTTGAAGTGACCTCTTAGATTTCTCCACGAATTTATTAATCGTCTCTCTTGGTGACCCTGGACGTGATTGGTTGTTTTTGTGTGTTTTCACACTCTCTAGTCCACTTGTATTGTTTCCTTGACCTGATGTTTGACCATTTGTGTGTGAGATTTTCTTCTTATCGATTGGTGAATTTTGTCTATGTCAGTGTGAAGACTTCAGATGGAAGTATGAGCTGAAGATGTTGCCTAGTAAGGCGATGAAAGCTTCGCAAATAAACTATCCAGCTCAGAGAACACAGCCCCAACAAAATCACCCACCTGAGATACAAATCTTCTCTATCATATCTTGATCTCCTCCATGTCATCCTCGGATACCTAACTGATTGCTTTTCGTTTGGGTTCCGCTTGAAGGTCTGGCGTGTAGGTTTACTCGAGGGTCTTCTCAGAATACTTCTAATTTACCTCTATTTCTTTCAGCATATTTGCTGGTTAGTTCGTTGTCCGTTATTTATTGCCTGTTCTTTCTGGTGGACCATCTGATATTTAGGACTGAGGGAATGTCTCAGTGGCCTGCTGGAAGTGCTTCGGTTACACGTACTCCCAGTCTCTGAATCATATTAGATGTACCAGTTTGCCATTAGTGTTGAAAATTCGTATCTTCATGCTGATGTTATAGCCAAGAACGCGCCTATCTCGCTTTAATGATCCTACCTTTGACATCCTAATTCTTGCCATCTGTAGTTAAAATAATACTGCTCAGCTAAGTGAAACGAAAGACTTGCTTTGGATTTCTCCTTTTGATAATGACAGGTGATTCTCTGTACTCATAAGGAGTCCCGTTTTTACTACCTCTTCTGTTAACTTGTTTTTTCGCTTATAAATCTTCGAAATCTTTCTAAAAATTAGGACGTTGTAAGATCTTTTTGTCAGTCCAAAGCATGTCTGTCCTTTCATTCCTCATGATCTATTCGATTTACAAATCCACATGTGAATCAGGAAAATTGTCAATAATAGTAGACAGCTTTGTCCTACTTCTGTTTTCAATTTAAATGCTTAGATAAGCTTTTTGTTATGAATCAACGGAGTTCATTACTTAAATGACATCAGAGCCCCTTAAAGCTAAGGAGTATCAGGAAGCTATTCCAACCTAGCTCAGAAACTTTCTGAATTGCAAATCCGTGACAGAGTTCGAAAATGAATCTAGAATGTTTGGATTAACAAGTGAGCTGGCTACATATTGTTCACTTACTAAATGGGAACCGAGCATCGTATAATTTCCTCTTTTACCAGTAATGTAGCTATATCACATAATTAAAGGCTAAGCCATATAAAAGCTGCGTTTCAAGTAACTAACAGATCAAAGTACAACATCTACAAGTAAGAATGTATGGTAGAACACAGCTTACACTTGATGCAGGCTGATTATTTCCGTATACCAGTGAGTGATGGTGTTTCCACTGAGACTCACACCAAGTACTCATCATCGCAAATTTCCTACTGACAGAGATTAGTAAAAATAAACCAAATTAGTTCAGAATGTTTAATATTTTTATAACTAAGTATTGCAAAACATTTTAAAATAATATCTATTATTCAATATATTATAACAGATATTAGAAAATTACAATGAAAATGTTGGCCAACTGCAAATGATTTTATTTAACGATGCAATTGAACATTTAACACGTATTGAACGTGTCCTGAGAATGGAGAATGGACATGCTCTTTTAGTTGGTGTCGGAGGATCCGGCAAACAAAGTCTTACTCGACTAGCAACATATGCTGCTAATAGTAACCTGTTTGAAATTCAACTATGTCGTGGTTATGGTGAACGGGAATTCCGTGAAGAATTAAAAGCGTTGTATCTACGTCTAGGAACTGAAAATAAATCAACAGTTTTTGTGTTCACTGATCAACATGTTGTTGAAGAAGGTGAGTATTTCTAGCTGACTACAAGATGAATATGCCTAACTTTATTGAACTATGTGTGTTTAATGTAAATATGTAGCAAGATAAAAGTCAATATCAAGATTGAGTATGAACTGACCTAAGTTAGAGAACTACTGGAAGCTAGCAGGGAGTACTGAACAGTTGTTTCATCCTTGTTTGGTACTCTTCAGCAATATGCGTCCATGTCCCTACCAGTCATCGAACCAAGGAACTTCAGGTCACAAGGCGATCTCGTATGCCATCAATTCTGAATTCCACTTATTCGAGATTTATAGAGTAATAACCAGCAAATGCCATTGACGGGTAATTGTCGTGACACTCAACTTGATAGACTCTACTGGATACGAATTTCCACTAGAATCTCTGGTAGCTTTATCCTGTAGTGAACCAAAAGTGAGAGATTGGATTGATTTGAAACTAACTAACTGAAGTCAGGCGCTGATAGAACCTTAAATCAGTCGAATCCGTGCAAACCTTTACTTATAAGAACTAATTGTCTCGATTGGGCTTACCGACATGGCTTTATTTTCAGCCATGCTGATCGGATCATTCGACGTTATTTCATACAGCCGTTTAAGAGTTTTCAGGAAGCTTTTGCACTGAATTATGAAAACCAGTTACATCCACCTAATGTAGTTACTATTATTTATTTATTTATCCTATTCCTTCATGTTTCTAGTGCAGCATATGGCTTCAAGCTAGAGATATGAAGTTCCGATAGCAGCAGGTTTTTTTACTGGATGGTGTTACTAGCCTCACGCCCAACCTCCTCTATTTGCTGGCCTTACTATCAGCTGAGCGGGGTTTAAGATTGCACCGGCCAGGGATCGAACCCCGGACCACATGCATGGTTGGCGAGCATTCTTGCAATCACTTAATCTATTGAAGATTCTGTGATTTCAACAAGTTAGGAATTAACTTCCAACCTTTAGACGATTTAGTCGAGGAGACAAATGTGAACAGGCAGCATAATCTTGTAGGATGAATAGCTATACAAAGCTGACACACTTTTAAATATCAGAATTATTTTCCCCTCCATGTCAGGTGTTAGATTAGCCTACATAACTGATATATATATATACATATCAACTCTAGTTTTAAGGTCGCCGGGTTGAATGATAGATTATGGTAACCTGTTTCTGCATGAATTTGTTTTGTTGAGGAATCTGAACGGAAAACGAAAAGGAAAATGCCTAGTTGCTAACAATTTGGCGTTTGAAACAATGGATACTGATTCGAGTTCTAAGGTGGCCAACTCTAGTCGTTAGAGCAGAGGTAAATATAGATGGCCAACCGGATGAAACGGATGAAACAAGCGTTCTGAATTCCACTGCTTAGCCACTACCAAACAAGTTGAATATTTTCTTGCTTTTCTCTTCTTTTTCTTCTTCTCTTCTTATTCAAATAAGGTTTCCTTGAGTTGATAAACAATATGCTGACAACTGGTTCAGTGCCTGCTTTATTCACCGACGATGAAAGAGAGTCTATAACAGGTCAGTTGAGAGATGAAGCTGTGGCTGCTGGATGTGCACCAACTCGCGAATCTATTTGGCAATATTTCATACAAAAGTCTGCATCAAATTTGCATATAGTTTTATGCATGAGTCCTGTAAGTAATAGATTATGTAGTGACGGTTGTTTTATGACGTAGTCTTTTTTTATTTCTTTGATTTCACTTTACTGATGTTAATGATAGGAGAATAATTCGTAGAGTCATGGAAGAGTCAACACCAACAATTGACGTTTAACCTCCATAGGACTATATCAGCCAGGCTATGAGACTGATCTACTCAACTATCATTATTTATATCTTTATTACTTAGGATTTTGTTCAGTGATTACGTATAGAAGTAATATGAAAGTGTCTACTGATTATCTTGTTACTGGTTATTGAGTTTTCAAGCAGAATCCAACGTTTTTGGAGAGGCGAAATAAGGAAATATCATCTGGAATACAGGGTAACCTTAGCTATCACTTCTTTGAAATGAAAACAATGGTAATATTTTGTAAGAAAATTCATGAAAAAGTAAACATTATGTTCACAGGCAAGTAACGAAACTGTCCAGCTTCGAAAATTTTAAGTTTTGTGATAAGTGAGCTGACAGGGTGTAATAATAAGATGGAAATTTTGATTTCAGGTATTGTAATTAAATATTACTATTAGATATGATGGAGACGATTCGAAGCTGAGATGGAGGATGTTGATGTGGTTCTGTTCTCTGAGCTGGATAGTGGTTTATTTGCAAAGATTTCATCGCCCCATACTAGGCAACATCTTCAGAGCATACTTCAACTTGAAGTCACCTCTTAGATTTCTCCACGAGTTTATTAATCATCTGCCCTGGCGACCTTGGACATGATTCGTTGTTTATGTGTATTTTCACACCTTCTAGGCTACTTTTATTGGAACTGATTGTTTCTTTGACTTGAATTTCGACCTTTTGTGTGTGAGGTTTCTTTCTTATCGGTTGATAAGTTTTGTCTATGTCAGTGTGTCTATTGACTGACGATTAACCGGAATACCTGGCTTCTAAATATTCTCTGGCATTCTTGGTGTTTTCTCTGCCGAATATTTGAACGTTGTCCCTGTCGAATTGATTTCCGTAGTAGTTTGTATGCGGCAATATGAGGGAAAGGGTGTTATATCTTTTGACGGCTAGCTTATGTTCATGGATATGAAGACGAAAGGGACATCCACTTTGACCAATGTAGTGTTTTTCTCAGTTGTTACCATTTATTTTGCAGATGATGTTGTATTTTGTCGATGTTGATGTATCCAAAAGAATGGATATCCACGGAATTTCATCAAAAGACATATACCCCCAAGCCAACCTATCAAACCAAAAGCACCCAAAGAAAGGACAAAGCAAAATCACCCCATCATATATAAAGGATATCTCAGTAATCACTGCAACAGTCTTCAAACCTTTAGGAATTGACGTCACACATAAACCAACAAAGTCACCTCACTCAGTTCTATGTCAACCAAAAGCCTCAACAACCAAAGAAGATAAAACCAACATCATCGACAAAATAAATTGTAACAACTGAGAAAAACAGTACATTGGCCAAAGTGGACGTCCCCTTCGTCTTCGTATCCATGATCATAAGCAGCCGTCAAAAGACATGACATCCACTCCCTCACATCACTACATACAGACAACTATGGACATCCATTCGACTACGACAACGTTCAAATAGTAAACAGAGGAAACATCAAGAACCTCGGAAAATTTTTAGAAGCCCGGTGTTCCAGTGAATCGTCAGTCAATAGACACACTGACATAGACAAAACTTATCAACCGATAAGAAAGAAACCTCACACACAAAAGGTCGAAATTCAAGTCAAAGAAACAATCAGTTCCAATAAAAGTAGCCTAGAAGGTGTGAAAATACACATAAACAACGAATCATGTCCAAGGTCGCCAGGGCAGATGATTAATAAACTCGTGGAGAAATCTAAGAGGTGACTTCAAGTTGAAGTATGCTCTGAAGATGTCGCCTAGTAGGTCAATGAAAGCTTCGCAAATAAGCTATCCAGTTCAGAGAAGACAACCACATCAGAATGTTACTGTTATTATTCTCTTGGATTCCGACTGGAACATAGGACCACAATTCTGACATTGTGGATTCAGTAGCATGGTGATTACAACAAGCGCAATGAAAATCAAATATAGCATAGAAATGTCCTATTAAATTAACTTATATGTGTAGAAAAACATTTGTTTTCAGCAAATTCTAGAATGGAAGGAAAAGCGAAAACTGTTTTGCCGTTTACCTGGTAAAATGAACCTTGATCAGATATCCCATCCATTAAGATGTCGATCATAAAATGAAGCAAACTTCTACAAAACTGACAAAGAATATCTATCTTTCTCTAGTTACCAGATAATTTCAAAGCGAACTTCTAAGTCGAAAATGGAAGCTTTGATGAGTATGAATAGTAATGTTATGTTTGAAGAGGTTAGCTGCAAACACTATTTTACAGTAATCCTAGGTAATAAGAACTGGAAACGATGGACTGCTAGAAACCAATGAAGTCAATGAACCGTAAGGTTCTTTTTGAAATCAATAAAAGTTCTAAGTTTGAATTCGCATGATATAGCGGATTTATATGCAAGAAGGGTCTTTAATTAAGAGCAGAGAGATGCTTTGAGTTACTTGGTCTTCAACAGTTTGTCAAATGGCTTTGTTTCTTATTAAAATTCACTTAGAATCGCTAAGTTACTTAGGTCGTAAGTGAAGACAACTTTCTGGATGGTGAGTAACAGTGGAACCCACCAGAATGCTCATTCCTTCCTGTTTAGGACTCGTCAGCTGAATGTAATTGCGTTCTTCAGTCAGTAATGGTATTCCCAGTGAGGTTCAAAACCAGCACCGATAGTTTCAAACACCAAAGCATCATCCACCTGAGGTTAAAAACTCAGACATCGTCGAAGCATCTGTAAAAGTAACCAGCATTTCAACAGAGGCTGAGCTCTTTGGTCCATTCAGTCAGTGGGAAAGCCAAAAATGAATTAAATAAAACTAATAGAAGTTTAAAATGAATCGCTGTTAGGTGGTAGGGTCAGCTGAAGAAAGAAAATAAGTACTATACACACCCATATTGTGACTTTTCTAGTCTGTTTCTGGTAATTACTCAAAATAAGGAGATATACCTCCAAGAGGTCTTTATCTACAGAAATATAAGCACAGTGATCAGTATAGAGTCATAAATAGAGGTATACGCGTCTAAATTCCTACATATCAAAGTAATATACTTGAAGACAGAGAATATAATCGAAACGATATCACAAAGGGAAAAAGTTCCGTAGATGAGTTACACCTTTCCAGTGTTACTATTTCACAAGTTTAACATCGTAAACTCTCGCCGATCATGCACATGGTCCGAGGTTCGACCCCTTTCCGGCGCACACCTGATATCTATGGTCGGCCTGCAAAATTTAGGCTACCGATATCCATGCTGAAAATTCCATACTTGTGCTAAGAATACAGTGTGGAATCAAGCTGTAAATCAAAAAAAGTATCGGCCTTACCACTAGTATCTTAGCATTAGTTTTTCTTTCGACAGTATTATATCAAAAAACTGAAAGAGCATATAATAAAAACTCGAAGGAGTATTTTCTATCAGTCTACAATTTTATGTGTCTGCATCGTCCTTTGGTTGTAAATGAATATTTCTGGAATGGTACGTTTTTGTAATATCATAAAGCTTTTGAAAATTACTAACTGTAACCATTTTCAGTGTATTGAAAGTTGATAATTTCCTGCACTGTTCAATTTATTCTAGGTTGGTGATACACTGAGAACACGTTGTCGTAATTTCCCCGGTGTTGTTAACAATACCACTATTGACTGGTTCTTTCCATGGCCTGAACAAGCGCTGTATGCTGTTGTCAATGTTCTTATCCCAGAACAATTTACTCTTGTACCTCAACAGCATCGTAGTGCTGTAATTGATCACTTTGTCGCTACACATCAAAGTGTACACAAGTATACAGAAGAATTTGCTCAAATGCTTAGACGAGTGAATCATGTTACTCCAAAGCATTATTTAGATTTTATTAATACATACAAAAGGTTTGTTGATTGCTGTAAATTAATTGAGTTTTCAAGTGTTCGTTTGTAGAGACATAATGATTTCGAATAACATCACGAAATGAAACCATTTAGTACACCTTCGTGTGCTTTTGGAAGTGTGTGGGCGGTTGTTCATTCCGGTTGCCCACGCCGTGGATGTTGTCGATTATTTCTCGGGATTGCTGAAACAGAAAGAGAATTAGTAGTGTTGCAGAGCCCAGGGGACAACAGCTTGAGGTCGGTCACACATGGCCTGTCTAAACTAGCTTTTTGGTTTGCCTCCATATCAGTAACTTACCACCGACTATGGACCACCGTAGGGTAAGTTGGGATAAACAGTTTTTGGGGTCGACCTTTTCTAACCCCCTCTCTCCAGGGTGGAGACACAGCATAACTGGCATGCTGGTCATCTGAGGGAAACACTTTACTGCTGTTACATCCCTGTTCTCCGGCAGAACAAATTCGTCCACAGACCCCCAGAATAGTGTAAAAAATAAAAAAATTTACATTATTCCGATAACTGCTTTTAGTTTAATCGCTATCCTAACAACCTTCCTCGCATGGTATGACCTGCAGGAACATTAGTTCCAGCCATTGCAGCTTGTTGGGTCATTGCGATGAGCAAGCCCGACCACCAAGTCAACGTAGCAGCTATTGGTTGGGATTTAGCTCAGCACTAGAAACCAGGGTGTGCTAAACAACCGTTTCATCCTAGTGAGGAACTCTTCATCTACCTGACCATATAGCTCCCCATGCAAACTGTGAATCGTAGGTTCAATTTTCCGTGGGACCATGTATGCATACAAATGAAAAGTCACAAAGTAGTACGAAATATTTAAGTGTTGGTTTGTAGGGATTTGGTTGGTTTCAGGATTTCATCATGAGCTGACATTAGTTAGAGAACCATTGGAAAACCTGGGAGTACTGGACAGCTGTTTCGTCCTAGTTTGGGACTCTTCAGCAGTACACACCCACCAGGATTCGAACCCGGGACCTTCCGGTTACAAGGCGAGCTCGTATACCATTAAGCCACTGGGACCCGATCCAATGGTCCTTCCAATGGTTCTCTAACTAATGTCAGCTCATGATGAAATCCTAGAACGAAATAGCTGTCCACTACTTCCCCTTGGTTTTCAGTGGACCGTTAAATGATGTCAGCACTTTTCCTAACTTGATGGAGCTTTACTTTCTTTCTTCTCCATTTTTGACTTCATGGCTTGATCTAGGGAATATAACTGTTTCCCTAGAAAAGTTGACAAAAGTATTTTAATGTTTCTGTTTTTGAAACCTATTGAATTCTGGTGACAAAGGAGATGAAATAGAAACTAGGTTCAAATGAAAGTATCCATTACAGTCCTACAGGAGGTCAATCAGTGGTAACGTCTCTGACTGCAGCATTCAATGGTTTGGATTTGATTCACAAACGGGACACGAGTTACTTAAAGATTACAAACATGCCTTAATGACGAGTAATAACTAGCACAAAACCTAAGTCCAAGGCTCCCTACCGATTTCCTCCAACAATCTAACAAAGAAATAGAAACTTTGTGTCGTTTATCAGTGGGTTTTCACTTCAAGCAAAAATTTGTGTGAATTGTAGATAACGTCTTGTTCCTATCGAATTTGATAATATGTTTGCTCCTACATTGGTTTTTTATGATAAGCACTTTTGGTAGCTGACGTACTGACAGTCGATAAAGTTATCCTTTGCAAAATTCTTGAATTCACTTGAGTAGTTTCATAATGTCCTCAGTACAACTGACACTCTTCCATAATAACGACATAAAGGCCTTATTCCTACAAATTCAGTTCCTCGGGGACAACATCAGAGAGATACTAACACAACGTCTTAGAAATGCGGTAAGAAGAGCATTCCCTGATGCTGAATTACGCTGTGTTTTCAAAACCACCCACCCCCTATTTTGCGTTTGGGAGCAAAAGACAAACTGCCCAATTTCTCCTCTTCCATGTGTATGTACCAATTAAACTGCTCCTGTGGAGCCAGTTAAATAGGCCGCACAATTAGGCGTGTTTCTCGTAGGATTTCCGGACATTATCCTGTGTGATTAAGCAGAGGACAAACAAAATCTATTTGTAGTGCTATTCGATCTCATCTTCTGGATACAGAACTCAAGATTGACGTTAATCATGCTTTCAGGGTCATTTACCGTATACCAACAAATCTTAATTTCACCATAAGATTTCGACAACTAAATACTGCTGAGGCTGTTGGGATCCACATTAAGAAGCCTAATTTATGCGTCCGAAAGAAGCTGGTTCAGACACTGTCCTTACCTTGGACATTTAGGTTTGAATGATCCTCAATTTTAGTGGAATTTTCCTAATTCTAGTTGATATTCTATTTGCTACTATATCAATATTATTATTATAATTCAAGCATCTTTTTTTTTCTTTCACTTTCCCAGTGGAACATAGGGCTTCAAGCTAGTGACTTGAAGTTTCTGTAGCAGTGTTTATTTTTACAGGATGGGGTTGCTAGCCTCATGCCCAACCTTTCCTCTTCACCAGCATTATTTCTGGCATAGCGAGGTAAAGGAGTGCGCCGACCGGGCACCGAGCCCCGGACCATGTGCATGGTCGGCGAGCGTCCTAACCTCTATGCCACCGACGAACCATTAAGCATCTTTAATGAACTGTAATTCCATTGATCTTACTTTACAAATTGATATTATTTAAAAACACTAATATTTCTATTGACTACTATTCTAGAATATTCTATGTATTTAAATATATATGTATATATAATATAATATAATTATATATATATATATATATATAACTGTAGAGCCAGAAGAGGAATTTATTGAAAAGAATATTCTTTGCTCAATTATTTTGTGTTTTATAGATGTCTGAATGAATATTTTCTATATAAATAGTGTAAAAATATTCTCTTTTTGTCTTGCTAAAGGTCTCGACTTCAGTTTGATTCATCGTTGTAAGCAGTATTGCTGTTTCTATCTGAAAGGCTTTCCAACGGCTTTATGGAGCGTTCGGTCACTTAAACTAAGTGTTCATAGCCCAAGACAAAATATGGACTAGTAGTTATACAAGATGACAACCGTGTTGATAGTAAATCACTATTTGACTAACACATGGAAACAACCGATATAGTAGTGTAACGACAGAAGACAAAAACCAGGCAACAGATCGTTTATGGAGAAAATCAAGAGATATTTATAGATTTCTATGTGCATTATTGTTAGCGTTATTGTTAGCAGAGAAGCAACGTCTTCTGATTGGTCTTTTTCTTGCTCAAGGTTATCCTGTACTACTTGTAACCATTTCTTAGAAAGTTAGGGCATACATCTGCGAATCATATTTGCACACGTTAAGTCTGCTGTGATTGGTTGTTGAGTTCCTCAGGGTTGAGCTTTGTTTTCTCTCATGGCGCCAATTTGGGACTTAACATTGACGTAAAGTGCTGTCTACAATTTTTAGGTTGTCTACATTTTTGAAATTATCTGATAGACTGACGTGCCTCATCAACTTGTTTGTTTGCTGGTTGATTCTCCTGACCTTGCGTACATTTGAACATAGTATCATCTAGCACACGACTGATAGCATCGCACAGTGGAACAAATGTGTTCTCATGATGATGATATTGATGCTTGTGATGATGATTAGAGATAGTAATATTAACATTCCCTATGTTGTCGTTGATGAAATTGTATTCACAGAATCTGTATTCAATAAATTTTAAGAGGGTTAATTTGCATTTCTATAGGCAGTTAAAAGAAGCAACAAAGATAGGACTTCAAGTGAACATCGAGAAGATGGAGGTGGTGAAGTTAACAAAAACCAACAACAACAACAATCACCGATCACTATCAAGGGAAGCAATTTGAAAGAGGTCTTTTCCTTCACTTATCTAGGCAATATCCATCCAACTACAAACAAAGGCATTGATAATGTTAAAACTTCAAATTCAGTTTGAAAATCTTCTGCACCCAGCATAAACAACATTCGGATTTTCAACACCAATGTAAAGTTATTTCTCCTATATGGATCGGAAACTTGACACGCATGTCAACAAAAGCATGTCGGACAGGCTAGTGCAGACTTTTTCAACAGCTGTCTTGATTGGCTTCATAATGAAGATGGGATGGCTACAAGGAGTTAGCAGCAAGAAGCTCTGGGAACCAAATAAACTAGAATCTATTGCCCAACAAATATGCTGTATAAAAGAGATGGATAGAACATACGTTGAAGAGACCATCGGGTGACATCGCACACTAGGTCATCGCTAAAGTGAAACGTGAGCGAGTAACGACAAGATGTGGATCCGATAGTGACATGGTTGAGATCATGTGAGGAGGAAATGAAATATTATGGAAAATCGTGGGATCAGCTAGACAGTATTGCAGTGAAGGGGATGAAATGAAGATGTACTGTCAAAGCCTTACCTTCCACTCGGAAGCCAAGAGAATAATAATAAAGGCAGTTAAACTTCTTTGCACATCTGATATTTGCATGAGTACATTGCGTGTATCACATACCATTATGTCTCCTTTCACTTATTCCGAAGTTAATCAAACAGACAAGCATATCTTTGTGTTTTGTTCCCTTCAGTTAAATCTTCTTTTAAGAGCTTCATTTCATTTTGTTTTCGCTTTCTGCTTTTTTTGAGTAATCGTTTGAAATCCCTCATGTTGGATAAGTGCATAACTACGTTGTATTTACAATGTTATACCTCCCTGCATACTAACTATTTTAATGTACTAGAGTGATCTAGTTGGTCAGCATTTGTAGCTTGTGGTACCAATGTTCTCCCTCAATAGTCAATGACTTCATTAACGGGTGCGATACTCTGGTCTAATTCGGTTGACATTTAGTCTCAAGAAGGGCAGTGGTTTCGCATGCATGCAGCGTGTTTAAACTACCACAATCTATAGGACTTTACAATCTAATCTACCAAAAGGAACATGAATCTGGATTCATGACGAATTGTTTGAAACCTAATGACCTGGCTAATGATGAACACTTCAAAAAAATAAATAAATAAATCTGTAGAAGGATACACTACCAATAAAACTGACATTTCTCTCAGAAGACATTCTCTTTCAGTACATATTTTTTTCTTTTTTTCTACGTTTATAGATTACTATCAGAAAAAGACGCTGATAATGAAAAACAAATTAATCGTTTGAAGAGTGGTCTACAAAAATTAGCTGAAGCTTCTATCCAGTTGGAAGAGTTGAATGCAAAACTAGCTGTACAACGTGTTGCTGTAACAGAAAAGACACAAGCTTGTGAAAATTTGTTGCAAGAAATTACAGCCAGTAGTCAGTTGGCTACAGAGAAGAAAGAATTAGCTGTTACAAAAAGTAAAGAAATTCAAGTACAATCAGTTGAAATTCAACAAGAAAAGGTGACTGGTTTTGTTTGTGTGTGTGTGTGTTTACACACACATTGTTATTCACTTGTTCAATGCACTAACTGCGTCAGTGATTTCATCAGTGTCTTTTGAAGTTTGAGTTTAACGCATTAATCATAATAATTTTTAAAACAATTAGTTCCCTTATTTATTTAAATTTTAGACTTTCCCGTCGATCGATTGGACAGAAGTGCTCGGCCTCAGGTCGACATGTCGGCTTCTTGTACAGATGTTTCGACGACATCTTGGCATGTAATTAGGATTTAACTGGTGTGTGATGACCAGCATTGGAATCCAGGATGCGCATTTCGTTCTGTTTAGTTCCCTTTATGAATTTAGACAAAGCAATGAGATGTAATTTGTCTGAATAGTGTAATGTATTTGCGCAACACATCTAGAACAATCTGATTACACACGAACTTATCATAGGAATACATATGAAATTAATAAAGAGTTAAAAGGTGAGAAAATAGACTTAGGTCAAGTTAAAAGGACATATTCAAGGTCAAAATAACAATGAAGATCACTAAACGAAATAACAGAGGTAATAGTGCAACAACAGATCATTTATCAAGGAAATCAACACATATTTATAGATTTTCATGTACATTATTATAGATTATTGTTAGCAGAAAAACACAGTCTTCTGATTGGTTGTTTCTCGTTCAGAGTTAACCTTGCATCTCGTTGTGGCTGTTTCTTGAATGTCAGATCATCTGTATGTTAACTGTATCCGCCTACGCAAAGCCTTTCTTCTCATTTTTCTCACGAGCAATATTGGGAACATAAACATTGACGTAAATTACTGTCCACCAATTTTTACTAACAGTCAGCTCTCACCACAATAGTACGTCTACTCTGACCGGTATCAAAACAAAGTTTACCAAGGAAGGTTTCGTGTGATGATGAATTGTTTGTGATGAACGCGTAAAGGTGATTTAAACTTCCAGATTGCTAGCTGGGGCTTCTACAAACTTTAGGATACGCCCCAAACAAGTTTTATAGATAGGTTTAAAAGACATGTGTAAACATCAATTTTATGTCCTGTCTCTATAATATGTTTCACAATAGAGGAGCTAGGTCTACTGTTCTCACCATTAATGGGTTTTTGGGATTCTATTTGCTTTTGGAGCCATTTAGAATATGCTCTGAAGCCAGCCCTTACTTGCAGAGACCGATGAGTCCTCCCTATGTATATGTGTCCACACATAGATTCAAACTGGTAAACACAGTGGGATGTGACATCACTTTTCGCATATTCAAAGGGCTTAGATAGATACATTGGCTTTACATTCTCAATTATTATGATATTAGCTGCATAAAATAATCATAATAATGTGGTAATGTAAGTAAACGACAGGTTTAAAACATGATTCAGTTATTCGATTTAGCTTACCTAGAGTACTGTAAAAGTAACACTTGGACATTGTGTTATGGTATATTTCTGCTAATGCACTACAATTCTTATTGTAGCTTTATTTTCCAAGCTGAATGGTCTAGTTCCAAAGCCTTCATTGTCCTTGTTTTGTAACTAATCCTCTCACTGACCTAATATTTTACCAGTTGATTTGAGTACCAGGTTTCTAACGATTCTCTGACATTCTTAGTGTTTCCTTAAACTAGAAGTTCTACTTCATTAAATCATTGTCATTATTATTTGCCGTATGGGGATTTGAATATCACTGTTCCTTTATGATTAATTTATACGAACATTACTTCATGAAGGAAAGAAAATATTATTTTGACAACTTTCATTCATATGCTACAAAATGGGTCATTGTTTTTATCACAGGGATACAAGGCAGCTATTAGAATTTCATTACTGGGAAGTTTGACTTTTAGAGCAATATTTACCGACATTAAAAGAAATGGAAATTATAATATAGTTTCTAGAAAGGTCAAAAACGAATCCTTACGAATTTTTATCATATTCCTAATGCGATGCAGTCACCATTGATACGAACGATAGGATAACTAAAGCAGCTAGGTAGCATGATTTCGTTAAACTAACCTGCAAGGCTCTTATCCATTAAAACAATTCATTCATCCCCTACTTTACTAATTTTTCCTGTCATCTATTTCTCAGGAAGATTGGATGATAATCAGCAGGAAAGTTGGCTAGACGAAACGCTTGATTCTTTGATGATATTAGATGGTTGAAGGCAATCAGCAGGAAACCTTGGACCTAGGTTTCGTGCTCGTTGGCACTCACCAGTTAGCAAGGCGTATCTGCAATCTTGGAGGAACTCATATCCCTTCTGATATTCGAACCCACGTCACCCAGTGCTCAGCTATTCAGGCTTGCGACTGAACTCCTGTGGGACTGTAGTGGATACTTTGATTGGACACTAGTAAATAGTGTGACGTGTCTAGTCCTTTCGCTGGTGCAGACTGAATTCTATCAGTCAGGTTTGCAATGTGGCCATCATTCTAGGTAGCTTGCCATTATGGTGCACATTAATTTGATGACATTAGATGGAGGCAATCGACAGGAAGCCTTGGAGCTAGGTTTCGTGCCAGTTGGTCGATTGCCTCCAACCGTCTAATGTCATCAAATCAATGTGCACCGTGATGGCGAGCCACATAAAATGGTGGCCACATTACAAACCTGACTGATAAAATTCAGTCTGCACTAAAGAAAGGACTAGACACATTACACTAGTCGTTGTGCCCAATAAAAGCTTGACTCTTTTTGAGGCATGTTTTTATTTCTCTACATTCCCAGTGAAACATAGGGCGTCAAGCTAGAGGCTTGAAGTTTCGGTAGCTGTGGTGATTATGTTTACGGGATGGGGTTGCTAGCCCCATGCCCAACCTTCCCTCTTTACCAGTCTTATTACTGGCTTATCGAGATAAAGGAGTGTGTCGGTCGGGATTCCAACTCCAAACAACGTGGGTGTGGTCGGCGAGTATTCTACCGCTATGCCATCGACGCTTTTAAGCATTCATGCCACTATTTTGAGATGACCTATCATTTGACTGAAGAATTTCATCATGTCTTGAAAATATATCCCACCAAAATTTAGAAGTGATATAATGCAGCAGGTAATGCATTTTCCATAAGTAACAGTTGGTTGAAAAACTATTAAGAAATGGACCTCAATCAATCAATGAAATCGTTTATTATGTATGTTATGCATTTAATGCATTCATTGTTCACTGTTGATCTGATTGCCTAGTCTAGCCTAGATATTTGAATTGCCTCTTATATTCTCAACTGGGAAACTTTGTTACAGTAATTGACAAGGAATAAAGTTATCTATACATATATGGGAATACAGTCACTTAACGAATTTACCGGTCTTACTGACGCTTTACTACGGCTGACTGCTCAAGTTTATGTAGAAGGTACTTGGTGGTAACTGCTTCAGCTTACTGTTTACCTTGTATGATATCAATTTTGCTCATTTAACTGTAAATCTGTTAGTTTTCGTTTGTTTTGTTTTTTACTTTGCACAGACTGAAGCTGAAACAGCCCTAGCTGAAGCCTTACCAGTATTGGAACAAGCACGTTTAGCTCTAGACGATCTGGATAAATCAGATGTAACTGAGATTAGATCATTTGCTAAACCACCGAAAGCTGTACAAGTTGTCTCTGAGTGTATATGTGTTTTTAAAGGTTATAAAGAGATTAGCTGGAAAACAGCTAAAGGAATGATGTCTGATACAAATTTCTTACAATCTTTACAAACAATGGATGTTGATAATATTACTGCGAAACAATCATCAACTGTTAGAGGTAAGTGAATATCATTTTTTGAGTGGATTGTATGAGATGATTAATGCTGTTCTACAGAATAATTTTCATGTAATAGACTTGTAAGGAATTGGTTGTGCAGTCAATATGTTATACCACACCAGCCTTACTGAATGTAATTTGCCTAATTACCTGACTTGTAGGTAATGATAACAAAACACGCATCAAAAAGACTCAGTTATTTTGAAATGTGTTCTAGTGAGCAATATGATTAAATAGTCTGTCTGTCTGCTTTCGACATAGAACTTTGCACATATGTGCGGCACTTCAAGTCGCCACACTCCCTCCTTGTAGCACACAAAGCAAGAGAAGAAAGTACAAGAAAAGCATAATAGAAACAGTGAGCAGAGGTGTGAGACAAAGGAGTAATAAAGAAATACAAAACAGTTTCATTGATCATAAGTCACAGGAGTGGATGCATCTGCACCACTGAGAACGATTTTGAGCCATGTCACCAATTGTTTCCAACCATTGTTTTTACCGTCCCGGGGACCCCAACCAGGAAGTTTACACCTTCCTACGTGACTTAAACTAAGTGTTGTAGATTTTATTGACTGGTGCCATGTTTCGGTTTGACCTCCGCTAGCTCTTTTCCAGGAAAAGATTTTAAGAATTATCTGGTTAGTCTGGTTGAACCATGGACCGTAAGGATATACGTATTACTGGAGTAAATGAGAAGCAGGAAATGGCGTCCGAGCTTGGTTGGATACCTACCCGTTAAAACAAAACTTAAAACACCTAAAACATCCACTGACGGGAGGGAGTTAAACATTTATTTGATTAATATTCAGTCTGATTTATTTACATTAGTCTTGTGTTAATTTCGCTGCCACAGAAGTGTCATAACTGCACTGAACTGTACTGAATAAATCCGTTACTGCTTTGTTATGTTTGCGCCTGTTAATTACTATAACGGCAACGAACTCGGCTGGTACTCTAATATGTCTATTTGTCCGTTGTACCTTCCGATTTACTGATCCGCGCAAATATCAAAAGACTAAGGCTGGCCTGTGACTGGAAGATATTGTGTAACACTATTTTACGAACAACACATGCTACTTAAACATTTTCTTTAACAATAATAAAGTCGATTCACAGGCGTGAGAATGGATTGATCTTATTGTCTGGATATGTCTATTCTGATTGGTTGATGATCTGGCAAGGTCAGACGAAAGACAATGAATTGATCACACACTAAATCACAATATGCGTGAGAAATGTTACATTAACATGGTAAATCCATCACAAGATAATTTACACTATTCGTAAGAAAGGATGATATACTAGCTTATGCTGGGTCCTATCAGGAAGGTGTACTAGAGACTAATAATTGAAGGTGAAATGATGAGAACCTAATTCGTTATGCCATTAGAAGGAGGATTCTTCGGATAACCAGTCCCACGCTCCACAGGCTGACTTGTCTGATGTAGGTACTGGTCATGTCTTAATTCTACTTCTGTCAAATATGGTATTACCTACCTACAGTATGAATGACGTATAAATGACTATTCATCCGTATTCATTTAACCATCAATATATAACGGGTAAACGAAAGGAAAGGCAGAGGGTAACAATTGAAAAGTAAAAACAATTACATATAAAATTTGTTTATCCGCCTTATTTACTTTAGCCATCCTTAAATAAATGGATAAACTGGTCATTGCATGAGGAATGCTATTACGTATTCGGTGATTTTTATTATTATTATTTCCTTTAATTCCTAGAAGAACATAGGGTTTCAGCCGCACGTCTCCATTGAGTTCGGTTCTCTGCCAACGTTTTCACCAGGCTGCACGTCTACCACATGCTTTCATCTCCTCCTCACATGACCTCCTCAATGTTACCCTCGCATTGACGACCAACCAACTCGCCACTTCCATTCGGGTTTCACTCGAGCGATGGCTTGGCATGTGATGTCACTTGATGCTTTTTTTCCCAGAGTATGGCCAATCCACCTCGATTTCTCCCTGCATATTTGTTGCACAATCAATTCCTGTCTGCTTCGCTCCTAGAGAGACCTTACTATTGCTGATCTTTTCTTACCGGCCATCTGATCTTGAGCGAAATACTGAGCGAAGACAGCTGTTGATGAAGGTCTGTAGTTTGTTCGGAGTGCCGTTCGTGACGTGCGCCAAGTCTCTGATCCATATGGTAGCACTGACTTCACATTGGAGTTTAAAATCCGGATCTTATTTTTGATGCTGAGTGCTGTTGACCTCCACACAGACTTGAAAGTAATGAAAGCTAGTTTTCCTTTCCTGATTCTCGCCTTAATATCCTCTTCAATGGGAAAATTAAAGTCTATATTGTCGTAGGATTCGAACCAGTGGCCTTCGAATTACTAGTCGGGTGCTCTACCTGCTGAATTACGTGAACCAGTCATCCTTGGTTACGCCTATCTGCTATGTGAACAAATGGAACCACACTGTCCGCTTATCCTCACATTACGAGGATACAACAAAATTTATATGAATTTAGTAAATTCTTATTCTGGGTAAGGTGATCTTCCTGTTAAGCATCTCAATTAGTCGTCATTCTCACATCATCAACAACGGACATGTCTCACACCTTTCTCAATTAATATTTATACACATTTAAAGATGCCTTGTGACTACTATCTCTTAGAGTTTTTCTTCTGTTTGTTTCAACTTCATATTGCTTAGATTATTTGGATAAATCAAAAGTTACAATGGATGAGATGAAAAGTGTTAGTAAAGCTGGTACAGGTTTACTGAAGTTTGTTGTTGCTGTACTTGGCTACAATGAGGTGGCACGTGATATTAAGCCTAAAAGAGATAAAGTCGCTAAACTGGAGAAAAACTTTATGCAGGTTAGTTGACTTGCTTTTCTTTCACATTATCAAGTGGAAAAGTAATTCAGTGAATTGAATTATACGTTCGTTGAAATACTGATTAGTGGTAAAAAAAAAGTGTGTTGATGACTCAATAATGCCAAGGGCACAAGTGGTCTGGGTTCGATTCCCGGTGGATGTATTCCTTAACCTCGATTAGCAGGTATAATGCCCCGTAAAGAGGGGAGGTTGTGTATGACGCTAGCACTCCAACCCTGTAAAAAAACACCAGAACCACTGAAGCTTCAAAGCTCAAGCTTCAAGCAAGGAACTGAATACAGAATGATTTTAAATATACAGAAGCATAAAATCACCCACTGTTATTGTATGATTCAAAAAAGTTTGTCGCTTGATTTCGTTATTTTATTTGTTGTTTTTTTCTCATGAAAACGATTCACCTTTCAAAGCAGTAGAATGATGTTTATGCACAGGTCAGGAAAAGTCGTAACATATGTCAAGGTGAATTTTCTCACAACCTAGAAACAATTTAACAACCTCCAAGGGCTGATATTTACCAGACAGTTTTCTGTCTACTGAGTGAAAACTGAAGATCAGTTCAATGAACGTTAAAGTCTATCCTCAAGATAAATTTCTTAATGCGTAGGTTTAACCAGTTCGAGTGTGATGATGAATTCAAATGTGTTACCATGATAAATAGTGACGTTGTATGACTTTATTAAACACCCGAAACTACTTGGAAAACATATTGAATTTATTGCTAGAAATCTGTAAAAAGAACAAATTGCGTCCTAGGTGACCATGTCTCCAAAGTGGATCCTGATTACGCATTTAGAATTCAAACGGAATACAGTGGATGAAGTGTGAAAGAGTCGTACATTTTATCGTTTGAGATTCACTTCTACCTCACATTTTATATTCTCAAGGTACGGTTTGATTTACTTTCGTAAAATAAGAGATTAACGCCTCATATCCACGATTTTATATGGTCCTGTGGAACTGACTATCTTGAGGTTGGTAAATACTCTTTTTTAATAGTGAAACACATTTGTCATACATCATCTTTTTTCAAGTTTTGATTCAAAGGACTTGACAGATCACAAGATGGATCCTTGCAAACCAACACTTGAAAATTAATCTGGCGTTCATTAGTGACTGACTATAGGATGAAGTTATGGGAGGTTCTAGTAGAAATTCATAACCAGCGGGGTCTACCAAGTTGGATGTGAGAACAATCACTCTCCGATGATACTGGCTGGTGGTTGCACCAGATATCTAAGACTGGCAGAAGTTAGAATTGATAGGTTATCAGATTCCATTCTACTGGCTCAGTGGTATAAAAGTCCAGCTTGAAAAATGAAGGTCTTGAGTGGGGTCATGGACGCGTGTTGATGGAGAGCGCTCGAACAAGTACAAAACAAGTGTCTAATAATCCCTAGGTTTCAGAGGTTCTCTAAGTGAAGTTTATTCGTGAATAAAAATTAAAATCGACTGAACCCCTGTAAACAAACACTAAAGAATGCTTTTAAACCCTAATATAATTACCTTTTTTATGTTCAGCACAACTGAGAATTGAACAAATGAACCAAACCCTTAACTGATTGCTTATTTTCTTAAAATGCATATTTCATTTTTACATTACAGGCTAAGCGAGATTTGAATCGTATTAACACAGAATTATCAAATTTAGAATCTGAATTAATCAGTCTTAATCGTCGATATGAAGAGGCAATGAGTGAACGACTTAAGCTACAAGAAGAAACAGATATTATGGAGCGTCGATTAATTGCTGCTGACAAACTTATCACTGGTTTAAGCTCAGAAGAAATACGTTGGCTTAAAGACTTGGAAGTGTTAAAAGTGAAACGAGTTAAACTGTTAGGCGATTGTTTAATTAGTGCAGCATTTTTAAGTTATGTTGGAGCATTTTCATCAGAATTTCGTACACGTATGATCTATGATGATTGGAAGACATGGTTGGACGATAAAGGCATCCCATTAAGTGAACACTTTCGTCTGGAGGATATTTTAACCAATGATGTAGAAGTATCAAAATGGAATTCAGAAGGTCTACCACCGGATGAATTGAGTGTACAAAATGGTATATTAACTGTACAATCGTCTCGATTCCCTTTGTGTATTGATCCACAAGAACAAGCACTTAATTGGATATGTCATAAAGAAGAAGTGAATAACTTGAAAATTGCTACTTTCAATGATCCTGACTTTCTTAAACAACTTGAATTAGCTATACGCTATGGAATTCCATTTCTGTTCAAAGATGTCGATGAATATATTGATCCAGTGATTAGTAATGTATTGGAGAAGAATATTAAAGGTGATCAAGTAAGTGAATGTGTTATTAGTTTATCACGGCTCTTTTTTATAAGTAGGACGAAGTCAGACTATCGTAGTCAAAACCACCCTGACCTTGAACAACCAGTCAGAATTCACATGCAAAAAGTCTCATAACTGTTAGAAAAATTGTGCTAGAAAACATTACAAACATAGTATTACTCTGAATAATTGTCTCTTATGTGTCGTAAGAATGTCTCCCAGTTACTCTAAGAATAATCCGTAGATAAATCATACCATATGTGACAGGCATGTTCATCCGGGGGACTTTAGATTATGGTACATTCGGATCTAAACTCAAACCTTTCTGGATTGATGTCGTACACAAATTGACAGAATCACTTCAATCAGGTCTGTGACAACCAAAAGACTCAACAACGAAAGAAGATAAAACCAACATCATTTACAAAATAAATTGTAACAATTGCGAAAAGCACTACATTGAACAAAGTGAACGCCCTCTTCGTCTTGACATCCATGAATACGAACTAGTCGTCAAAAGACATGATATACACTCCCTCATATTGCTGCATACAAACTGCTGCGGACTGCTGGGACAACGTTCGAATATTAGACGGAGGAAACAGCAAGAATGCCAGAGGATTTTAAAAAGCTTGGTATTCGAGTGAATCGGTAATTAAAAGTTCATTGACACAGATAAAATTTACCAATCTATAGGACGAAAATCTCATGTACAAAAAGTCAAACTTCAGGTTAAAGAAACAATCAAGTAGACTAGAGGGTGTGGAGACAGAAAAGAGTAACTAATCACGTCCAAAGTCACCAATATGGATAAATTAAAATCTAGTGAAGAAATTTAAAAGCTCACTTCAAATTCAAGTGTGCAATGAATATGTTGCCTATTCAGCCGATGAATGCCTCGCAAGTAAGCCATCGGGCTCAGAAGACACAACGACATCAAAACTTCCGAACCTATTGATATTCCTGACGCTGTTCTTAAACCTAACCGAACCTCTAAATCTACCAGCAACCCTAAACCATAATCCTAACCTCAACCCTAAAACTACTAAACCTACCTGACAGTGTCAATTTACAGAAAACAGTAACTAGAAAATAAGTAGAATAGTGTACCTACCGTCACTAAATCCATAAAGTCAGACAGGATTTCGTAGCGTTCTCTAAATCTGATTAGCTATTCAAGGTCAACTTTTTATAAACCTTGATTTCGGCTATGATTATTTAACTTTGCCATAAATAGATTGCAGTACAATGTACGGATTATGATGTCTTCAATGCATAACCTTAAAAGTCTTGGCCTTGGCTGTTGGTGTACTATTCTCGCGAGTTTCAAATAGAACAAAATGACTGCCCATTGTTTCTTAGCTTTCAGTGGTCACGGCTACATAGGACGATTAAGATGCTATCCAATGGTTTGGACTTAATTGGTGTGGTCACTAAAGCCTTCAGGAATCAAGAAGGAATTAAACCAACTATAGTCGATACTGGTGGAGCTAAGTATCATATATAAATGTGTATGCTAACTTTATTTTTTATACGTCCTATTAGAAGAGTGTCTGGAAAACAAAAAAAATAAATTAATAAACAGAGTACTGAAGTGAGCTAATAAGTAGTATGTAAAACGCTATTAAAATTAATAGGTATATCAAATTGGAATAACTAATTTGTCTCTGGATGCGATCTTGATAGAATTCCAACCAGGATTATTTTCAGCAGTGATATCTTTTTCTGAGCGAATAACTTTTTTTTCGACAATTTCCTAATCAGGCGCTACAGTTATTAATCCTTGGCAATCAGAATACAAATAGACAGTAAAGGCGTGTGAAAATTACAACAGAAAGTGTATTGGAGTAAAAGTGTAAAATGGAATGATACTCCGGTGGTTAACATTGTCAACTGAACTATTTACTAGGTAAGGTAAAATGGCACTATTTACTGGTTGGATTATTCCTTTTCTAAGCTAAACTGGAACATGTTCATATGTACGTAAAGATAAATTCCTGTGAGTACGACCTATATGACTAGCTCTGTAGGAACAGTTAAATTTGTATACACACACTGATTTGGTCATCACTGGTAATTTATCTTCAGTGCACTGTGTCAGTGTCGTTCCGATCGAGTAGGTGAGTAGCAGTTCTGAAGAAGTGAATATATAACTCATCCCCTATCCTAAAGCTTATTTTCTGTTGATTATAAACACATTAGTATGTGACTCAGTTGTCTGTTCACATTTTATCTCATGTTCTGAATGATTGTTTATGTCATATGCATTCAGTTGACAATGTTAACCAACACACTATCATTCCGTCTTATACTTGCAGTTCAATACACTTTCTCAAGTAATTTTCACATGCCTTTATAGTCTATTTGTATTCTAATAGTCATGGATTAATAACTGTAGAACCTGAAGTAGAAGTTATTGGATTATATACTATAGGGATATTTAAATGAATAATATCTTTCTACACAGAAGTTAAAAACCAACTGATAGTGTTCTCAAATCACTCTATATTTCTGTTTGTGTATACTTTCAACATATGACCACCAGATATCAGTGGATAGAGTTATAAATGAAGTGAAACAATCGGTTTACTGGCTGTAGAAATAATACAGCTGACTGCTTATTAGAAATAATACACTGATTTAATGACTGATTAATACTTGGGTGTCCATCAGCCTATTTTTCGACACTTTTGTGCATAATGTCCACTTAAAAGAAGTGAGGAATAGAATTAAAAGACAGTTTAACTTGGAATATTCTCCTTAATAAATTCTCTGTCTCGCTACCATACCTTCTGCTAGACTGAAAGACGTAAATGGTCAGTACGTAATGGTGCTTTAGATTTATGATAGACCAAGGCAGAGCGGTAGAATACTCGCCGACCACTCAGGTGGTCCTGGGTTCGATCACCAACCGATCCACTCCTTTACCTCACTAAGCCAATAAAAGGACTGGTAAAGGGGAAGGTTGGGCATGGGGCTAGTAACCCCATCCCGTAAAAATAATCACCACTGTTAACGGAACTTCAAGTTTCTAGCTTGAAGTTCTATGTTCCACTGGGAACGTAGAGGAATAAAAAAAGAGGTGGAAGTTATACTATCGTAAACATATAAAACCCATTGTTCACCAAAGTATTCTCCTCGGAACACTTGACTTTATGCCTTAGTAGCCATCCAGTGATTAACTCTAGACTTGCACATCCTTTGCTTAGTCTCAGCCCATGCAAGCTTTGAAGTTCCAGTGCCAGTGATGTTGTTCTCCCCCGGATGGAGTAGCTAATCTTACACTCAAAATTCCCTGTCTTCCGCACTTACTACCAGTCAGTAATCGTCCAGTTCAAACTTTAAACACCCGAAGAGTGAGATTGCACCAATGACCTTGGAACACTCCATGAGCAAGTTAGTAAAGCCAAGTAAACAACACTATAATCATGAATAAAATATACCTAAGGAAGTGTGATGGTATTAAACGGGTTAGTATAGGTTAGTTTTGTCAAAGATCAGGTTAAGGATCAGTTTGAAAAAAGGTTAGGGAGAGATATTAGGGTTAGTTTAGAATTAGGGTTAAGAGATCTAGATGAATTGATTGAATTACTTTACTGACACTCCACTTCAAAACTGACAAGCACTTATGTCACACGTCAGAGAAGCGTATACTGCGGGACATTTTTATTCCATTTTTTTCATCGTTTCCATGGATGTTTGTATTTTGTAAGTAAAAGTCACCTTTTTCATGTGATTGGTTCGTTCCTGATTTCTGGTGCTTAAAGTTTCACTTATTGGTTTCGGAGTATGTTGGTCAGGAACCGAACCCAAACCTCCTGCATAGCTTGCGAGCATTTGACAACCAAACTACCTACGCATATACCCCTGGCGCCATCGACTGGGCTTGAACCACCGCTCTTCCAGTTAACAGACTAACTCTCTAACCTACTTCACAACAGAGGCACTCATTACATAAGTATAAGGGACTGAATTACTTCCGTGGGTGAAATTATACAAGATCGGAGGTGACGACGAGTACCCTTCAGAATTCGAAAACAATTTCCTGTCTAATTCGGAAGACGACGAATTCAAATTTCATTCTAGCATATCTAGTGGATCCAGGATTTCATCTGGAAGCTAATATCGCTTTTAAAGTAGTATCTTATGTCACACAGAATACTGTCGCACAAAGTCTGTGATGGTCTTCTACATGTAGATGAAGTTGAAGCAATAAAAAAGATCAAGCTAGGACTTTGCATGAACAAAGGATAGGTTCAAGAGCTATTCACTTCTTGACTCTTAGTATCTTTTCTAGATTAATCTTATCTCAATGTTTTTTACTTTATGTGTTCTCCATGTAACAAAACTAATATTAATTACCCATAATTACTTGCTAAGAAGAATCAAGAAGATCTAGACTTTGCAGGTAATTTATCTCTAATGTCACACAAACTGGAATGTCTGCAGGAGAAAAACAACAAATTGGTAGAAGAAGTAGCAAAGGCAAGAGTCAAAGGCGATAAAGATAACCGACCACCACCAACAGCAAGCACTAATCACCTTCAACGGAATACATCTGAAAGAGATCACTTCGTGTATCTAGAAAGCATCAGTTCAACCACAAGCAGTCGGCACGCATGAAGATGTCAAAACCAGGATCGGAAAGTTAAGATAAACCTTCATCACTCTGAAATCAGCTTGGAAATCTGCTGGACTCAGCATAAAAAACAAAATTAGAATTTTCAACAACACTGTTAAGTCAGTTTTTCTATATGGATCAGTCAGTTGGCACACGCATTATGCCTTCAAACTATATATATTGAAGACCAGATGGCTGTCCAGGAGAGATTAGCAACAAGAAACTGTGGGGACGAGTCGACCAAGACTCTATCATCCAACAAATATGACGAAGGAAATGGAGATAGATGGTCTGAATTCACACTGAGTAAGACCGTTAAGTGACATCACGTGCTAGAAGACCTTGAAGTGGAACCGGAATGGAAAACAACGAGTTAAGCGTCAGAGGGTGATATAGAGGAGGTCGTGTGAAGAGGAGATGATAGCTAATGGGTATTCATAGAGACGGCTAAAGAGAAAACACTGAAAAGAGCGAAATAAGGATATGCTGCTGAGGCCCTACGTTTCACTCGGGACTGAAGGGAATTAAAATAGAAAACAATCAAATAATTAGTCATTTTCAGGATTTCATCATGAGCTGACATTAGTTAGAGGACCATTGGAAAACCTGGGAGTACTGGACAGCCGTCTCGTCCTAGTTTGGGACTCTTCAGCAGTACGCACCCACCGGGATTCGAACCCGGAACCTTCCGGTTACAAGGCGAGCTCGTATACCATTAAGCCAGTGGTCCTTGAATTCTAACTTCTGCCAATTCACGACATAGCGCGACCGCTAGCCAATGTCTTCGGCGAGTATTTGTCCTCACACCCGACCGGCTGCACCCTACTGGTCACGACTTCCCACTGGAACCCAGGTAACTACCTACCCGAATAGGGTCAGTCGCCAATGAGCATCTCATTGGTATTCAAATGTGTTGGTTTGTAGGGATTTGATTGGTTTCAGGATTTCATCATGAGCTGATAGTCCTGGGTTCGAATCCCGGTGGGTGCGTACTGCTGAAGAGTCCCAAACTAGGACGAAACAGCTGTACAGTACTCCCAGGTTTTCCAATGGTTCTCTAACTAATGTCAGCTCATGATGAAATCCTGAAACCAATCAAATCCCTACAAACCAACACATTTGAATTAGTCATTTTGATGATTATTATAACTCTAAGAACCGGAAACGAGTTTTCCTAGTGCATGTTGACTTTTAATTCATGGCATGGCATGTGAATATTTAAGACTGAAATGTATTTATGGTATAATAGAAACAGAGAGAGAGAGAGAAAGAGAGAAGAGTTAAATGGGGATCATTCAATACACTTTCATGACTGTGAATCATTTCAGCCGTTCTCGCCGAGATGCTCCGAAAGTCAACTTTAAGCAATCTGATAACGGGTTAAAAATGCCCATTAAAATTTTTAAAAGAATGAATACTGAACAAAGAATACTCTTTTCGATAACTTCATCATCAGACTCTATAGTGAATGAATGAGTTAGTGTTATGAACAACATTAATGTTGTTTAAATAACATTGAATCAATAATATTGATAGATTACAGCTCAATAGCATCAACATAACAATACACTGAATGTCAGAAAAATCAGGAAAGATAACATTACAAATTCTTGAATTTCTAGTCTCTACTGAAGGTTGGCCAGGGCATTAGTAGTGGCTGGACTTGTTTCTTTTGAACACAGAGCATTGGTTATTTAAGGTGAATTGCAATAGCCTCTGCTGTTTGGAGCATGCGATGCTTCGATAATTTTGGCAGTTTATCAGGCACTTGGTAGATGATAGAGAAGGATTCTTCCACGCTGGCTTTGTGGACAGTTAACCCCTACAGACAACTTTTATCAGACTGTATTATTATACTTCATTATGCTGACCTATTCTGCATAACAATACTACGTAAATAAAAATAAAAATATGTATGCATCCCACATAAGAATGTTGGAATGAATTTTCATCTGTGCTGCTCTTAACCTTTTCCATATACCTTTAACAGAATCGAGCTTATGTTGTTTTGGGAGACAAAGAAGTTGACTATGATCCTAATTTCCGACTTTATCTCAATACAAAGTTATCTAATCCTCAGTATGGTCCAGATGTATTTAGTAAAGCCACAGTTATTAATTATACTGTAACAATGAAGGGGTTAGAAGACCAATTGTTAAGTGTTATTGTGAAATCAGAACGATGTGAGTTAGAGGAACAAAGGGAATCTTTAATTAGAGAGACAAGGTGAGTTATTCCTTTGATATTCATATAGTCAATAATGTTATTAAAGTGTATAGTTATCTTTGTATATAGAAAATCTCAAAGCTGAATTTGTTAATGTATATTTCATAGAGCTGCTGAAATAGTCACTGTTCATGCCAAGTTAACATTTAATTTAAGGAGCTATGCCAAATGACCTAGACATACAACTCTAAGAGTTGATGCCCTATTGAATAACTATTTATCAGGACTAGGATGTATTCAGTTGACACTTTGAGTTTGGAGAACTAATGTGATGACTGAAATTCAAATGAAATCCTTTGTCATATGAGAATTGGAAATAATGACATCTGGGTCACTGGTTATCCTTGACAAAGTAATGGGAGTATAATTCAAGGTCTAATTCACTTAAACTCTTCTGTGATCCAAGTTCCAGTCATTCAACTTAGGTCATTACTGTTTATTATTATTAATCACATAGGCTCTAAGTGGAACACAGACCGTCAACAGCATATACCCATTTCATCCAGATTTGTGTAATTCTCACTAGCAGGCTCCACGGTTGCCTATAAGCTCACATCTCCTTTTGACACAATTTCCTTCACATCATCTTTGGACTGTTGCCTTGCATCTTCGGCCAATGTTAGCTTTGATATCCTCGTCCGTGACTCCTGTAATTGAAAGAATTCTTTTTAGATAGGTGAAATTTGTGACCCCTTTCAGAATTCCTCCACTAATAGTGCTGGTGCTTGTTGTTGTTGGCTGGTTATCTTGATCACCTCTGTCCTCTCCATGTTCACTTGGAGTCCTGTCTTCGCGCCCAGCCTCTTCCCTCAATTCGTTGGTTTTCATCTGTGAGTCTTCTAGTTTGTGTGGCATGCGACATGAATCATCTGAGAAGACCAGATATTCTAGAGTCTTCTTATCCGTCGTCCAGCGTATTCCTGTCTCCTCGCTCTCCACAGTCTTATGCATAATCCAGTCCAGCGCAATTAAGAACATCATCGGTGGTAATACGCAGCCAGCCTTGTCTTATTCCTGTATGTACTTCAGACGCCTCGCTGAGTTTTCCATTGTGGATCACTTGACATGTTGCATTGTCGTATAGCTAACTGTTGAATGAGGTTAATAAAGATTTATGCCACTCCACTCCATATTTCTGAAATAGTTTCCAGGTTACTTCGCGGTGAACGCCGTCGAAAGCTTCTCCAAAGTGGATAGAGTTGACATAGAGATTTGACTGTTCGATAATGATGTATAGAGTAGCTTTCCTTGATCCAGCTTGTTTTGGTGCATTTTTGCATCCAGATCATCATTTACTCTTTCCAGGATGATACGACTGGATCTTTTGCTTGATGTGGACAAGAGCATGTTTCCCTACATGCTCTTTTAAAGGCTTAATTCGCCATTCTTAGGTATGACATTCTTTTCTTCCAATCAATAGATACTTTTCCTTCCTTCCAAAATTTCTGCAAGGTTATCTATTGAGCTCTGTGTGTCAGTTTTCAGTGTTTTTTCAGGCAAGTTCCATCTGTTCCAGCTGCCTTCCTGGCTTTCAGTAACTTAGGTCATTACTCAATCTATAATGAACAAATACACAAGCAGAAAATTGGGCGGACAATCGACGTGCAATACCTCATAGTCAATTTCATGCCAAAATTAGAAACCAAATGGAATTTTTTCCTTTATTATTCGTCACAACCTTGTCTGAACCTTGTTTTATTGTCTCAAAGTGACTGAATAGACTGATGGAAATACAAAGATGGCTAGGATCTGAAACACAATGACGACTTACGTCTTAAAATCTGCAAATACAGCTTTCACAAACTGCGTTTCCTATGACAGTTGTCCATCTTTTCATAATGCTGGCAGTTTTTTTCTGAAAATAGTCTGAAGACTGTTAATAGCGAAAAAAGATATTCAAATTAATTCATTTCGAGATGATTTTAACCTGATATATTTAGAGTATCAATCTGTACACAAAGATTTATGTTATGTATTGGAATATTCTTTGCTTTCTTTTAAATCAGTCTTACTTTTACTAATAGATCATTTTCATTCAGAGTGGATAGTACCGTATGGCGTGCATCCCCGCCATATCATTCGGTAAGTGAATGTAACATCATTGACAGACTTATCTGTCTTATCTCAGACTCTACACCTAATCCTTCACATGGTGTCCACATGTGTCCTAAATTCTTGATAGGTCTATAGTTTATGAAAAGGAGCAGAAAATAACTCAACGCATTTTCTTTGTCTTCAATCGCTTTTATCGGATTTTCTAAATGATACTTTCCGTCCTTTTTTTTTCCCTCTTACTAATATAACAGTCAAAATAAAAAACTTCTCAAAGATTTAGAAGACAGTCTTCTACGTGAATTGGCTACAAGTACAGGCAATATGCTGGATAATGTTGAATTGGTCGATACACTAGAAGAAACTAAATTAAAAGCAAAAGAAGTTACTGAAAAGCTGGAATTAGGCGCTAAAACTGCAATCGATATTGATATCCTACGTGATGGTTATCGTCCAGCTGCTAAACGTGGCGCTATACTATTCTTTGTTTTATCCGATATGTCATCAGTGAATTCAATGTATCAATACTCGTTGACTGCATATCTTGACGTCTTTCAAATTTCTTTACATAAAAGTATGCCTGATGTTGTATTACAGAAACGTCTTAAAAATATTATTAATAAGCTTACATATAATGTATATACATATGGATGTACAGGTAAGTGATGGTTCATTGTGAGAATACAACTGTTCATTACACTGTTTTATTTTCTATTTGAAAATCTGTTTAAAACTAAGTAGTTTACTTTTTTAAGTGGTATTAGACTGATGGATTTCATAGAAACCCAGATCTTTTAGATTAGACACCAGCCAGTGACTAGTGTAATGTGTCTAGTCCTGTCTTTGGTACCGACTGAATTCTATCAGTCAAGCTTGCAATGTGGCCACCATGTCAGGTGGTTCACCATTACGATGACGTGGGTTCGAATCTCAGAAGGGACATGAGTTCCTTCGGTTTTGCAGATACGCCTTGCTGATGAGTGCCGACTAGCACGAAACCTAGCTTCAGCCAAGGCTTCCTGACAATTGCCTCCAACCATCTCATAAACCCACATCTATAAGCTTTTATCCCTTCTTAGCTAGTCATTGATTCAGACATAACTACAGTACCTTCTTGATAATATGAACGGTATTTCAGCACTCTGGCAGGGCATATTCCCATGACAGAATAAATTATTTGGTCTAACACATTTCAGTTTTGGGCGTTACAACATTCCTATTCGTGTAAGTTCGATAAACGACATTTCGGCCTAGTGGAAAGAAAGGTTTATCACTGATTTGACAGTAAACATGTACAATAGAATGATGTAACGTCGATATTGGAAACACGAAATGCATTGGGCAATCTTCTGTTGTGTCGTGAATTTATATTTTTGAGGAGTCCTAAAACAGGACAGAAAATTAATCCAGTTTAAAACTGTCTTGAAGTCACTTAACTTCTGACAAATAGCTCAACTTAATTGCTAATATGTTGCAAGCTTACGCTTTCGAGAACTTCTATTCAATAGCTGAGAAAAACTGTTGATTTGAATTCTGTTACAGTTTAGAATTTTGTTTCAACCTAAGTGTTGAATGCATTTCAATAAAATAGCAGTCGGATAAATTAGGCCTGTATCAAACAATCAAAGCTAAAAAGAAAAATTTGAAGGTAGTAACTTCTTTCCCTTATCTAGTCGTTTCAATCCCTGTCGGCACGGATGTGGCTGTCAAAGTGAGAAAGGATAGAAAAAGCAAGACGCACCTTCATAAACCCCAAATCAGTGTAGAAATTTGCTTCAGCATAAGGAACACAATTCAGATTTTTAATAATAATGCCAAGTTAATGGTTCTATGTGGCTCAGAAACTTGGCGGAGGCGTTCGCGAAAACATTCCTATAAGGCTGTAGACTTTTGCTGCATACCGAAGACCACATATCTAGAAACGATTGGCAACAAAGACTTCTTGCAATGAACCACGAACCTGTTGCGTAACAAATATGTCACAGGAAATTGAGATGGACTAAACGCAAGCTGGGAAGACAGTTGAATGACATTTCGCACCAGGCGGTCGAATAGAAACCAAATGAGGAAAAGTGAGTTGAGCTCCGGCTTCAGACAACAGGATGAAGTAGTGATGATCTGTTAAAGCCCCGTGTTCCACTTGGACTCATAAGGTATGATACCGACAGTAGTAATATCAGTAATAATCAAACAATCTCACCAACAGCTACTGTTTTTATTGAATTTTTAGATTTTCCAGTCGATTGATTGGACCGAAGTGCTCGGTCTCAGGTCGACGTGTTGGCTTCTTGTGCAGATGCTTCGACGATGTCTGGGCATGTTATTAAAGGACAGATCACTTGGGCCACGAGAGAGAGCACTGGGTTCGAGCCTCGGTGGGAACATCATCACTCACTGCGGAATGCAGGCACATCCAGCTGGCAAACGAGTCCCAAATAGGACGAAATGCGCATCCCGGATTCAACTGCTAGTCACCATACAGCAATTAGCTACTGTTTTTCTTTAATTGAAGTTAATTTAAACTAGAACAAGGAAGGTGGATTAGTTAACTAGTTTAACTGTGATGACAATTATGACAATAGATGATGTTATGGCTATCAGTCATCCACTCAGTAGATGAATAAAACTCTTGCTAATACTGAAATAAGAATCTTTTCCGAGTTGATCTCATCTTTTCCTTCATTTCTGTTGTTTGTTTGTTTTTAAATTATGCAGGTATATTTGAAAAGCATAAACTTTTATTCAGTTTTCAAATTACTAGTAAATTAGAATTGGATAAAGGCAATGTAAGCACAGGACAAATGGATTTCTTTATTAAAGGGAATATATCTATAGAGAAAGCAAAACTTACTAATCCACTGCCTGATTGGTTACCTGATTCTAGTTGGAAAGATCTTTGTCAGTTGATTGAACTATTTCCAGAACAATTTGCATCATTATCTGATGATTTAGTGAAAATGAATAAAGAATGGAAGAGTGTAAGTGGTTAATTATTTTCATTCATTTATTAATATCTCATAAAAAGAAAGCAATTTTAAGCAAACTGTAATTTTTTGCAATAGTAGTATTGGTATTTCGAGATGACCGAACTACAAGAATTCAACCAAGACACAGAGAGGGATGAATTCAGGAATTTGTATTTGGCGGAATTATAATTCAATTCATATAAGAAATATATTAACAAGCAACAGTAAGTATTTAAACAATACAGAGATAGAAATTGTCAATCACCACATCCACCACACGTCGAATATCTCCTTGCGTATTTATAATGACGTCTCGGTTTGCTTGCCAGTCTCTGCGATCTTCTAACTGATTCTCTGATATTATTTTCATCAGTATCATCTGGACTTATTTCTGAATTATCTACAAAATCAGGATTAGTAGCGAAATCATTAAAATTATAATCGGAACGACCTAATTCATTTATTTTCACTTGATCCAGGTGTCTGTTATGAACTGAATGATCTTCGATGTCTAATATCTTCACTATTCGATTTCCCATTTTTTGTAGTATGATTCCAACAGAAGGTCTATAGTCATTACCTCTGCAATAATGTACATCAGAAGTCGTGGACATCAGATGCTTTTTGAGAATTCAATATTTGAATAGTTTTGCAGGACTTTCATGGGTACTTGTATGCTCTGCATTCAACAGACGCAATCTATGCATATGCAGCATCCTCCATTTTAATCAGTTGTTCTCTCATCTCAGTCAACTGTTGACGAATGGACAACCAGTCAGCTTCCATTTCACTCGCTTTTTTTCGTGTTTTCGACAGTTCGCATTGTAACTCGACTATCTCATTGTTGAAAACACGTGGTACAGTTGACGCTTGAGTTGCTGAACTTGTAGTGAAGGTTCTCATTAGATGAGACTGAGTATTGGGAAAAGTTGAAAGAGACACTGACTCCATTTTACTAAACAGATTGGGAGAATTATAAGAATTCTGAGTAACATAAGTATTTGAACTTCTGCAAAAAAACGTGATGTGTCCAACTTTACCACATTTATGACACTTAGCACCCCGAAAACCGCAAGTGCTTCGTAGATGTAACTTTCCACAGGAAAAACAAGGTTTAATGTTTTTGATCTCTCGCTGCATTCCATTACATTTGGATGACAGTTTGGATTTCTTTCTATGACCACTTGTATTATCGACTTTGGAAAGCATGACATCAAATACTGACGTAGTGGGAGCTTGATATTCACTGTTGACATCTTCATATGTAATACATAGATCCTTAGCAGTTTGAAAAGTACAAGAAGGAATCTGAATTAACTCTTTTTCTAACTTAGGAATATTGATTTTAGCAATTAGACGATCACGTAGTTGAGTATGCAGCTGATGTCCAAAGTTGCACTTTGAAGCTTGTATTTGAAGTTGAAGTCTCTAATCTTCTGGTTGAGGGCACGAACCAGTTTGTTGAATTGAGCCCTCTCTCGTGTCTCAAAAGTAGTTATATGAGAGTGATCTATCAGAAGTTCGCGGAGCTTACCATATGGAAGAGAAATTGGTTTATCTCGAAACGACAGAGTCTTCACTAGGCTATACGTATCTAGCCCAATAGCAGTAATGAAATGAGCTGAAATTTTGTCATCCCAAACATTCTGTGACATGCACCATGCGTCGAAGCATTCAAGATAATCAGCAATTTCCCGCGGTGAACCATTTATAGGAAATTTTCCAAGGTTATTTAGTTCCATCGCGACGCCAAAATGTTGTATTTTTTGTAATAGTAGTATTAGTATCTCGAGATGACCGAATTACAAGAATTCAGACAAGAGACAGAGAGGGATGAATTCAGGAATTTGTATTTGGCGGAATTATGTATCAATTCATATAAGAAATATATTAACAAGCAAGAGTAAGTATTTAAACAATACAGAGATAGAAATTGTCAATCACCACACAAACTCTTCTGGTTTCTAAACGTTGAGTCTGTAGAAGCTTTGAATGTAACTATCTAATGTCATTGAAGAGTTATTCGTTGTTGGTTGTCACGACTTCATATTAGAACATCAAATGCCAGATGACATTTCAAGTTATATCGTAAAACGATATAATTCCGAGAACCATTGAAAACAACAAAGTAATGGATAAATGTTTCGTCCTTGCTTAAGACACTTAGGCTCCCATGACTCCAAATAGGATCGGATTCAGGACCTTCCGGTTACAAGGCTGTCAACATTCTATTCTTGTTCATAATCGTGTCAATCATAATCACACGACTTCGAAATTCTCGTTTTATAGTTTTCTTTACCCCTTCCTATTCGTCATAATGGTAGTAAGAATTTTCCAGATATCTGGGATAGGTATTGAATCATTCCAACTGCATGTACTTCCAGCTGATTCGATAACTAAAGCTTCAGTTATCAACCTCTTTCTCCACTCCGTTATGTCAAATTTTAAGACTGCAGTTTTATCCGCATCCCCCCCCCCTATTGTATGGTTGTGTGTAATTTCATGTAGTCCTATATCTGAGCTACTCTCCATATTTCTTATTTTATTACAGTCAACTAATCTAGGTTTAGGAAGGTTTTTGTGCTCCGCTAGTCTGAATGACCCCGTTTTATTACCTTATGACAGTCAGGTCGAATACATATGTCAGAGTCGTATAAAGGGATCATTCAGACTAGCGGAGCACAAAAATCTTCCTAAACCTAGATTAGTTGACTGTAATAAAATAAGAAATATGGAGAGTAGCTCGGATATAGGACTACATGAAATTACACACAACCATACAATAGGGGGGGGATGCGGATAAAACTGCAGTCTTAAAATTTGACATAACGGAGTGGAGAAAGAGGTTGATAACTGAAGCTTTAGTTATCGAATCAGCTGGAAGTACATGCAGTTGGAATGATTCAATACCTATCCCAGATATCTGGAAAATTCTTACTACCATTATGACGAATAGGAAGGGGTAAAGAAAACTATAAAACGAGAATTTCGAAGTCGTGTGATTATGATTGATACGATTATGAACAATACTAGATAGTGTTCTAAAGTGTTTCATCCAATAAATAATACTGTTTTACTGTGTGATATATTTCTAAGTTATTGCACTTCTTATAGCCCCACTTCCACCTCTTTCTATCTATGCTGTTCGTACTGTTCTAGCACCCTCTTTGACAAAACCTGAGTTGAAAAGCGACTCTTCGATGAATCAACTGTTTTGATCATCTAAATGTCCCATGTGCGTCAGTAGCACAGAGGTAGAGTGCTCTGCGACCACTCAGGTGGTCCAACTTTCGATCCTCGGCCATTGACATACTCCTTTACTTCACTAAGCCACTAGTAAGACTGGTAAAGAGGGAAGGTTGCGCATGAGGCTAGCAACCTCAATCCTGTGAAAATAATAACCACTGCTACAGAAACTTCAAGCCTGTAGCTTGAAGTCCTATGTTCCACTAGGGACGTAAAAAAAAACAGAAAAAGTGTCCCATAAGGAATTTACCACGAACTAAATGTATATTATATATTGTCAGAATAGTATGATGGAATACTATGCAATAAAGACGTAAAATTTTCATTGTAATTTCAATTATAATGAACACTAAAGCCTAAAAAAAAACTATTAAGAATTTCATCATTTTCCTTCTTCCAACTTCTCTTTCTTTACAGTGGTATGAATCTGATACTCCTGAAAGTACAACAATACCAGGAAGTTATGAAGAAAATTTGGATAGATTTCAACGTCTTTGTTTATTACGTTGTTTTCGAGTGGATAGAATCTATCGTGCTATTACATTATATATAGCTGATATCATGGGTGAAGATTTTGTCAGTCCACCAATATTAAGTTTTACAACAATTTATGAACAAAGCACATCAAGATCACCCATCGTTTTCATTCTAAGTCCAGGTTCAGATCCAACAGCTGATTTAATGAAATTCGCTGAAAGACAAAATTTTGATTTCAGTCGAATTAAATTTCTCTCTATGGGTCAAGGACAAGAGAAGAATGCTGAAAGTCTCCTTGAATTGTCAATTTCTCGAGGGCATTGGTTAATGTTACAAAATTGTCATTTATTAGTTAAATGGTTACAAGTACTGGAAAAATATTTAGAAAAATTAACAAAACCTCATCCAGATTTTCGTTTATGGTTAACGACAGAACCGTGTGATTCATTTCCAATCGGTATTTTACAACGTTCACTGAAAGTAGTCACTGAACCGCCAAATGGTTTAAAATTAAATTTACGCGCCACTTATCATAAGATAGCACCATCTTCTATGAGTGAATGTACGCATACAGCATTTCCTTCACTAGTTTATACACTAGCATTCTTTCATGCTGTTGTACAAGAACGTAGAAAATATGGTAAAATTGGTTGGAATATCGGATATGATTTTAATGAATCTGATTTTCGTGTTTGTATGCAAATATTAGTCACATATTTACAAAAAGCTGTAGACGAAAATGATGTGAAAATTCCATGGAATAGTTTAAAATACTTAATTGGTGAAGTAATGTATGGTGGACGAGCTATAGATGAATTCGACAGACGTATTCTACGTACTTATATGGATGAATATTTTGGTGATTTTATATTCGATACATTTCAACCGTTTTATTTTTATGCTAATGACAATTTCCAGTATGCTATACCGAGTGGAAATACACGTGATGAATTTAGTCGTAAGTTCCTGTGTCGTTAGTCAGTTGGTTAGTTCTTTTATTTAATGCCGAGATATTTTGACAAACAGAAGTCATAATTGAAAATTGAATGATATCATTCGTTTAAGTTCTATCAGGTGATATTTTGAACTGTTGAAAAATGATACGTGTTGGATATATCTCTCTTACCTTAGTTTAACATTGGTTATATTTATTAGAACGCCTAGATCTTCTTTTAACCAACTTTTTCAGTTCAAGTTTGACATTTAGAAGCTCATTATAGTATCTTCACACTTTGAAGCAGTAGTGACTTCAGAAATGAGTAATTTATGGCCTTACTCAAGTGAACGACAAAAGTAGTAGAGATAATGCCCAGTACCTACCTATTTGGGCTCATCAGATAAACGGTTGGTCAAAAATCTATAGTAATTGAAATGTCCTCCAAGATGGATGGAACTTGAATTGCTTTTCTAAAAAAACAGAGATGAGCAGAACGTTTGGCGAAACATTTTGGAAAGAAATTCATCTGACCTTCAATTACACAACACTTGTACACCATCCAACACCCGAATGGGTTGATATGGGCGTTGGTCCTCTAACTGTAGGTTAGGTCACAAAAAGACGTTTCATTGATGTGTGGAGGTGATGACTGTCTGACTATGGGGGTCTTTGAGGCTCTAAGAACCGATCCCACGAGACTGTTGTTAAAATGGCTGAAAATCGTTCTCAGTGATTCAGATGCATCGACTCTTTGTGAACAACCAAATCTCAACATTAATACCATTGATTCATATACTGGAAAAGAATTAGTATATCGCCATCTCTTATCGTGAAATCACAATTATATAGACAGAAAATTAACTGATACATTTGTTCTTGAGATTTGTTCGCCAACCAAGCTAATTAAGAATGTTTTGCAGATTGTTCTGTGTAGTTGAATTCCTTTTGAACTCATTTTACTCCTTTACCATTCTTATATGAGAGTGAAGTGAATTATCAACATAGAAGTTTGAACAGGTTACCACATTTTGAAAAAGCACACAATAGTAAAGTAGATAAGTGTAATGAAACTCTGATAGACGAAAGTCTCCTACTAGAAGAAGAATAATTAGACGAAAGTTAGTGAGGAATTTTAGGATCTGGATTAAGTGCGTCTTCTTGAACGCCATGGACCTTGAGTTACGTCACTAAATGTCTCAAACCAACAGTAAAAGACTTTATGTGTGGTGAGAGCTATCTGCTAGCCAAAATTTGTAGACAGCAATTTAAGTTAGCGTTTAGATCCCGAATCTTGGTCATGAGAAAAAAACAAGAACAAAGACTAATGCAACAACCGATCACAGCAGACTTTGAGTGGACGGATACAATTCGCAGATATGTAGTCTGACCTTCAAAGAAATGACCACAAAGAGATGACAGATCAACTTTCATCGGGAAAACAGCCAATCAGAAGACGCTGTTTCTCCGCTAATAATAACGAATAATAATGTACGTGAAAATCTATAAATATTTGTTGATTTCCTCAATAAACGATCTGTTGCCTGGCCCTTGTCTTCTGTTGTTGCACATGTGTTGGTGCTAAGTTTCTATCTCACCACCTTTAACTCATTTTCAATCTAGTTCTAGTTCAGGTGATTTCGTTCGTCACGGAAAGCAGTGGTTCAGCATTCTTCACAACCGCATCCATTGACTTACCCTCATTGCCTGAGATTCTACGCTTAACCCTATTATTCCTGACCATATTGATCCGCTTAACATGGCAAATTGAATGGAAGCAACTGTGCTCTAAATTCCACTGATCTTCTACTATCCTCAAATGTCAGCAGGCATCTGTGACAGCCATAAGGTAGGACAGGATGAACTGCTATAAAGTGTATATGCTGTGTGATGGATGCTCAAATGCAACATGTGTGAAAAAGAGGATTGAGGGCAACCGACATCAAGAACTAGCCTTTTGTATCCAAGTTAAGATTTCGTCAGGAATCAATCCATTAAGGCTTATGCAACTTCCCTAATAAATGTGTAACAACAGAAGACAAGGGCCAGTCAACAGATCGTTTGTTAAAGAAATCAACAAATATATTTTTAGATTTTTATGTACATATTATAGATTATTGTTAGCAGAAAGACACAGTCTTCTGATTGGTTGTTTCTCACAGAAATTCAACCTTGCATCTCTTCGTGGCTGTTTCTTGAATGTCAGATCATCTAAATGTTAACTGTGTCCGCCTACGCAAAGCCTTTGTTCTCATTTTTCTCACGACCAATATTGGAGACACAAACATTGACATAAATTACTGTCCATCAATTTTGGCTAACAGCCAGCTCTTACCACAAATGAAGTGGTTAACACAGTCAGCCATTTCGATTCTTGTCGTCAAATCTAGAGTTGCTACAGACCAGATGTCCAGTATTATCTTGTGTAAAACTCAGGAACTATTCTTACAGTTTTAATATCATTTAACAGTTAGACAGATTTTGTTCCATCATACGTATATATGATTAAGTTTTATTTTGTAATACTTATTAGGAAATAGTGTGTTAGTTATAACTGTTTATCACTTTTTATTGTCATTATTATTCTAGGTTATATCGAGTCACTTCCGTTAACAAATACTCCTGAAGTGTTTGGTCTTCATTCCAATGCAGAAATAGGATATTATACAAATGCAACTAAAGAGATTTGGAGTCATCTACTTGAATTACAACCACAAACAAGTAGTCAAACAAATTCAACGAATAGAGAAGAATTTCTTAGTCAGATAACTGATGGTTTACTGAGCAGCCTACCACAAGTATTTGATAGAGAAGCTTTAAAAAAGAAATACGGTGTTAATATACAACCAATTACAGTTGTACTATTACAGGTGAGCAAAATTTTCTAAATGGCATTTTATTTTTTCAAATTCACAATCTGAAAATTAATTTGCAATTGACACAATTTCAAGGGGATGAAATTTTGGATTTTCCGGGTTATAAACGAAACTCGTAGACCATTAAGTCATTGGGGCCGGGAGTTTGAACTCTGGGGTGTGCACTGTTGAAGAGTCCCAAACTAGGCTGACGAAACAGCTCCATAATGGATAAGATTTTATTTTTTGATAAGTCACACAGTTATATTAATTGATAACGTCTCAAGCACAAATTATTGCTCATAAAATCATATCAAGATACTCACACAACTTTTCCCTCATTTTTATACATGAGTGGAATTCAAGATTAGACATTTAAATAAAAATCAATATGTGATAATGTACATTCAGAAATAATAATACGAGTGCTACTGAAATTAGGCGGTCTGCTCAAAATCATTGGGCTACCGAAATTACTTTCCTCCAAAATGCTTAATTTCATCTGGATTTATCATTGTTTTATTCATCCAGTTATATCAAATGACCTATACATAAACTTGCGCAATGATTTAACTTGCTCCCAAGTAAACGCTGTACAATTCTTCAACGAAATGAAGATATACTTCAGATTATTACTTTACATGTGAATCCTGTGTGAAGAAAAAAGTATTTTGGAACTGAATACACTGGAAATTTTTGTACCGTATATTCGCATACTGTACTAAATAAAGCTTCACCATTATTATTATTAATTATAATAAGATGGAAAATAAGGCGAGTGTTTTTATAGTCATAATAATTAACTTGTTAGAATGTTGTGATGTGCTGGAATTGAAATAGAATTTTGAGGTTATTCATTATCCTCCTCTGATTTAACTGGCGGTAATAATATCTTCCATATTTCTGGTATTTGCATTGAGTTATTTCTGTTGCATGTGTTGAGTGTAGACTCAATGAACCAGGATTCAGTAATCAATCTCTCTCTCCAGCTACATAGATTACTTCTTAAAATCTTAAGCCTCTCCCACCCCATTGTGTGGTTGTGTGTTAATGAATGCAGTCTTATCGCTTAACTGTTTTCTAAATTAGTTGTCTTCTCAGGGTCAACCATTCTTACTCTAGCTAAATTCTTATGTTCCGACAATCTGACTAACCCCTCCCGATCTGCTAGTTTGTCCTATGTAGTTGACCTCATTCACACTCATTGCAAGGTATTTTGTAAATTATTTTGTTTTGTTTAATTGGGTCCACCGGGTCTTTTAGCCTACAGAGCTTGTCTCTGAGTAAGTTTGTAGGTTTGAATGCCACCCTAATTCCTGCTTTAATAATAATGATACGTAGGGTCTCAGATGTTCCCTCCTTATATGGTATAACAGTAGATGACTTATATTCTCATCTATTTATGTTATCACTACTAGTTTCATAATTATTTTTATTTTGCTTTTGGCCTTTTTCGATCTTCCTAATGAATTTTACAGGATAGTTACTTGACACCAACGCTTCTTCTATCTGTTTTATTTTGTACTAAGTAGTACAAGAAAAAACCTAAATGACTGTGTAACACTGTGTAACTTATCAAAATAAAATCTTATCTACTATAATGGAGTTATGCTTTACCACCACAGTGCCCAAGTTTCATACTTATATCAATGACGAAACAGTCGTCCAGTACTCCCAGGTTCTCTAATGGTTCTCTAACTGATGTGTCAGTTCATGATGAAACCCTCCAACCAATCAAACACAATCCCTAAAAATACCGATACTTGGAAAATAATAATTGCGAAAAAAAGTTTCAGTGTTCATCAAGCTTTGAAGTGTCTTTTTCAAGTTGCACTACAATGAAATAAGAGTGTAATTCTTTCCATATATTTTAATCAACTTTTAAGAGCTATTTCATCCAAATATCTTCATAAATATTTTACTTACAAAACAGAAAAAATGGATATGTATCAGCTGAAAAATCTATCTCAGATATAATGGAGAAGATGTGTATCTCAGGTGGATGATTTTGATGTAATTGTCTTCTCTGAGCTGGGTAGTTTATCGAAAATCAACTCACACCGATTAAATAATCAATTCACCAAAAATACCCATTGGGTCATGAAGAAAATAAAAGACAGATTCGGTGGAGAAAATTTTCTTTAACGACGAAATCATCCTCAGAGGCTGTACCCTCGTATTTATACTTAGAAAAATATATAGTGGTCTATTATTGAGTAATAAGGGGTGACATAATTGATATAATTACTCAGAAGTGGCTTTAGAAGTGAAAATTAAAAGTTGTAAACTACTTGGTACTCAACAGCACAAAGATAGAAATTTGATGAGGTTAAAATTGCTATTGAGTGAGAATAAAGGTATTTGAGTGTCAATTTAACAAGTTTGAAGAGGGTGTGAAAATATACAAAAGGAGCATATGAGATTGATGATAGTGAATTAATTATTGAAGCAGCAACAATCCAATAAAAAAACAAAAAGAGTTCTACACAAACACTGTCCAAGAGACCCAGGACTCATTGAAGCACTCCTACCTTAAGGAAAATTGAAGAGAAATTTCTCATGGACGTCTTCCAAAAGAATGGATATCCACAGAATTCCATCAACAGACATATACCCCCAAGCCAACCTATCAAACCGAAAGCTCCCAAGGAAAGCACAAAGAAAATCACCCTATCATATATGAAAGACAGCATCTCAGAAATCACTGAAAGACTCTTCAAAGCTTTAGGAATTGACGTCTCACAAAAACCAGCAAAATCACCTCACTCAGTTCTATGTCAACTAAAAGACTCAAAAACGAAAGAAGATAAAGCCAACATCATCTGCAAAATAAGTTGCAATGACTGCGTAAAACACTACATTGGCCAAAATGGACGCCCTCTTCGTCTTTGCTTCCATGAACATAAGCAGCTGTCAAAAGACACGACATCCACTCCCTCATACCACTATATACAGACAACCATGGATATAAATTCGACTAAGACAACGTCCGAATATTAAATATAGGAAACAGCAAGAACCCCAGAAAATTTTTAGAAGCCTGCTATTCCAGTGAATCGTAAATCAATAGAGACATTGACATAGGCAAAATTTTCCAATCCATAAAAGGAAAATCTCATGTACAAAATGTCAAAGTTTAAGCCAAAGAAACAATCAGTTCCAATACAAGTAGCCCAGAGGGTGTGAAAACACAAAAAAAGCAGTCAATCAAGTTCAAGGTCACTGGGAGGGATGACTAATAAACCCGTGGAGAAGTTTGAAACCTTACTTCAAATTGAAGCATGTGCTGAACATGCTGCCCAATGGAGCGATGAAAGCTTCGCAAATAAACCGTCCAGCTCAGAGAACACAACTACACCAAAATTCCTCTCAGTTTTTCACGTATGGCTTGTCATGATTAATCTTCAAGATATTATATACTCGTTATTGCAAAAATACAAGTTTCTTCGTATTGTTTTTTTCCGCTGTAGGAAATTGAAAGATTTAACTTACTCATTAAAAGAATGGATCAATCTCTTAGAACATTAAAACGAGCATTGAATGGGGAAGTTGGTATGTCAGCTGAACTTGATAATTTGTCACGATCTCTTTACAATGGTCAATTGCCAAGTATATGGCAGAGATTAGCTCCAGCGACTAAAAAGTCTTTAGCCAATTGGATGATTCATTTTCATGATCGTCATAAGCAATATACTACTTGGGTAAGTTGTAGATAAATAACATCTAGGGATTAAAACATCAGATTCTCCTAAATGTTTTATTTTCCTTGAAAATGAATATTAATTAACTGTATAACTGTTATTTATTTGTTTTACTGTGTTACAGAAAAACTCAAACAAATTGTGTTATAGTGTACAGCAGTGTCATTCTGCACAGCTGAATTAAATGACTAAATTTACTGCCTGAACGACAGATTTCAGTCAACACGATTCGGTGACCAATTCATGTATGATTGACTGATTGACGAGGTAGATTTACATATTCCGTTTACTGCCGAACGCACTGTTCTTCAAGCTCTAACGTTGTGCAAAATGTATTTCATAGATAAAGTAATATAACACAGTAAACCACTAAGTGACGTAATCCCTTACCGTCTGTCTTCAATCAGATTAGTCCACTAGAACTAAAAATGTATCACTGTTTATTCAGCAGTGGGCAATCATAAGAATAAACGAATGATTTTAAACCATATCCTGTCAAAAATGTCAAAAATGTAATTATGGCCAGTGATGTTCTTAAATTAGACTACATACTGTTCAAGAGTGAAACTTTCAGAGGGCTGGGTGAAGAATGTCTTCTATACAACTTATAGGACAGCATCCATTTTTAAATTCACACTGAGTATTGACAAATACCTAAATCTCAGTTAGGATTTCATCACAATTCCACACATCATTCAGGGGATCATTGAAAACCAGGAAGCAGAGGACATCTGTTTTGTCCTAGTCTCAGAGTCTTCAGCATTCCAACCACTATCCCACCAAAGTTCGGACAGTAATTAAAGATATGCATATGAATTAATCCAGATCCCTATAGTACCCATCATACAAACACGAATCCTTCGCTCATTGGCTACTACTGAATGAATGTCCTAGAACTTTAGTGAGGAGCAGGTGCCATTGGGGTCTGTCATCATTGCCAAGGTGAAGTGGGTGCTCATCAATAGTATTAGTTAGTGATAGCACTAAATCACGAAATGACAAAGTTAGTATTCACAGACCATAGAATTCGGGGCCAACAGCTGAATAGTCAATGACGTTGTTAGTGCGTACTATTTAAGAGTCCCAAGCTAGGACGAAACAGATGGTTAGTCGTTTCTGGGGTGAAGTTAAACAATAGCGTTATAGGGATGTGAACTCTTCAATGACCTATAAGGCATGCTGATCGTTGGCTAACGACACCTGTCATTATCACAGCGTAAAATTGAAGTCTATTCACCAACTAAGAAGCAAATCTCACCCAGATCACCTTTTTAAGTATTATTTGGACAATGTGTTACTAGGTAGTTAGCGTTAGGAATAAGGTTAGGGTCAGGATTATTCTTGGGGTTACGACTAAAATTAGATTTAGAGTTGATGTCATTTGTTTTAATTTGGTTTCTTATCCACATTTTCCTGGTAAGTAGTCGTCGAACCTCTTACTGGAAACCATAGTAATTCAACTGAGGGACTTGGGGAAGACTGCATAACAGGATAGGAGAGATAAACAATTCACTAAAGCAGCTCGTCTTTAGGACACCTCGGTTAATACGTGTACAGAAACTAGTCTAACTTAGCAACTGATACTCCTAATTATGACTGGAACGTATTTTTAAATCATATCAGAGAAAGACACCCTGTTTAATGCGTTTTCATGCATTTCTTTTGTAAACAGACTTCATTTTTTGCACAAAAGTCACTTATTTTTATGGTTGGCCGGCTCAAGGTCACTCGTGCGTTCGCATCCCTTGGGATGCTATTGTTTAACTTTACCATATCTGACTTTCAATGATTTCCAAGCTGATGGTAATCTGGGACGAAATCTATGTTGAAATTTATCCGGTTCCTCAGAAAACCTACAATCTAAGTATCTAAATCTCAGCTTATCTGACATTGTAGCTTTACCCTACAATAGCAGATTTCTTAAGTTTATTGTTTGTTAACAGGTATTGTATAGTCCATTATCTCCCATCACGGGTGGAAATTTCGAAAACATTCACAATGTTGAAATATGCATCAAAATGGCATAAATTCTTTTTTTATTTGGATTATGTAGGCGTAAATTAATATGTGATGAAGATCCTTTGTTTATGTGGAATAAAATATACCCTATGTATCCTCTCTCCCGCAGACACAAATACACACTTTTCTAATATTTATAAGATAGGGTTTCATTTTTCTTATTCAAAAGTAAACTGCCTACAAGCACACTCACCTGTCTAAATTAAACTAGTATATTCAGGTGTTGAGATCGTGGAGACTTCATTGATTTCAAGATGGATCTCACTATGAACCAACATTTTTAACAATGCAAGACTGGAAACCAGAAAGCATCGGGTAACTGTTTCGTCCAAGTGTAAGACTCCCCCACAGTACGTCAATTAATGAAAACTAGAATTCATGGATCTCTCAAACCCAGCCGAGGAGCTGGATTGTAATGTAATCGCCTGGTAACTTGAAAACCATCTTCCCGATAGCTGATCCAATCCTGGATCCTGCTGTTCTGTGAAGAGTTCTAAGCTCCCTAGTTTTCTGTGATCCTCTAATTGATGTCAGCTAGTGGCGAGAAATACCATAAACTGGTATTTTTGTGATGGAGGCTATCACTGTGATTCAAACGCCAAACGTGCATTTCATTTAAATATCAAATTTTCATCTGAATGTGTATTTATCCTGATGAAAAATAACCTCCAGAGTGAGATGACGTCTCATCACCTGGCCATTTAAACTTCACTGTTATCTATCAACTCGCTAAACTATGGGTGTCTGCTTTGTAAAGTAAATATTATCTTGAACTTTTTGTTTAACCTTATTAACTTTCAACCTTTTAAGTATACTCTGACTTATAAATCTATTCCAATTTTTTGTGATAAAGATTGAAAATGGAGATCCAGGTGTTATTTGGTTGTCGGGTTTGCATATCCCTGAATCATTTTTAATGGCGTTAACACAAACAACATGCCGTCGTAATGGTTGGCCGTTAGATAAAAGTGCACTGTTTACAACTGTAACACAATATACAGATTCATCTGAAGTTCAAGAACGTGCACATCAAGGCTGTTTTGTTCAAGGACTTTATTTAGAAGGAGCAAGTTGGGATTTAACAAAAGGTTGTTTAAAACGTCAAAAATCAAGACAATTAGTTCAGCCTTTGCCTATACTTCGTATCAGTGCTATTGAAGCGCATCGTTTAAAATTACAAAATACATTTTGTACCCCGGTGTATGTAACTTCAGATAGACGAAATGCAATGGGAGTTGGATTAGTTTTTGAAGCTTATCTTAAAACTGAAGTACACTCAAGTCATTGGGTATTGCAAGGTGTATGTCTTACTTTAAATACTGATTAGTGATGAACGTATCTTTCTAGTGATATGTGATTTTCAGTTGAACATTCACTTTTTTATTTTACTTTTTGCAAGTATTTTCAACTTTTTTACAAAAATAATTTCTACTGGTATTTGAAATATAACATAGAATTGAAATGATACTTACTTATCTTTGTATTACTTTCAGTAACTTCAACATACATTTGATCAAATTTCGCCACTTTAGATAAAAGGCAATACAATACAATACGATAACACTAACCAGTAAGGTATTAACCTTCATTGTTTTAGTGAATTATTTATGCATGAGGTATTTGGTCAGGCTCCTCGCTGTTTAGTACAATGTCGTGTCGCCCTCTTCTCCTTGTTCGTTATTCTTACCTGGATAAGTATTTTTGATGGTATATATGACAAAATAAGCTAAGAGTGAAGAACAGACACCTTAGTCGAACGACCTTGGACCAACCAATCAGATGGCTGGATATTAAAAATGAATGCTTTCATTGCAAGTTTAAGGCTGATTCAGCGTTACGGTTTGGTTAAAATTAGGGTGAGATTTGCAGCGAAGATTACGATTTGGAGGAAACTTACAACGATGACTATGGGCAACAACTATTCGAAATATTGAGCAATGTGACTATCATCATTAGATTATATTCGTCATATAGTCAATAATTCATTAGAATTAGTGGATCCTATAACTGATACTCATACAGATTATGGTTTGTTAACTATAGCCATTCCTGTGGAAAATTGAGACCTCTTTTTGTAGCATGTTAGAGACATATATCCTGTATTATTCATTTATGTTGTGTATATATCCAAGAAACGTAGATTTTATACTATAAATGGCACTTTTCACCTAGGCTGACTGGTTCATGATCATTTGATTGTGTTATCTATTGTTTACTGTGTAGGGGACTGTGAGGAGAGCTCATTAACATTACAAATGTGCGAATAAAAATCCAAGTTTATGAGATGGTAGAGTAACAAACAATATATTATCAAAAATTGCAGTAATGAGTTATATTAATGAAAAGGTTACTTGGATATAATGTTAAAGTTCGCTACTACAAATTATTAATATAATCCATGGGGGGCGTTCACTGTTGGAATTGCGTCTGCTGGTAGATGCTGTGGACTGGTTGTAGAGTTGTCTTTGGATAAGGATAACAGACTCCTGCAATAAATCCAAGGTATACAACACGGTATGAGTAGAACAAGTAAGCAGAAACGGCCAGAGAGAAGGTGAAGCTTCCAACAGTATAGTGTATTTCATATCGTACACGGAAGTTATATATAATTTAACATGAATCGTTTTAAACAAAAATCATGTACAATGTCTCTAATTTCTACAACTAACAAAACGTGTACAATCGTATTTTTACGTACTCCACAACTGTTGTTCATGTTAAATTATGAGCGATACAATACTACCGTCTATAATTCATCCACCAGTATTGTTGATCACAACATCTATTAACACAATGGCAATAACACTGGCATACGAACGCAAACATGTGAAGACAGGTCGTTGACAGACACCTTTAACTGTCTCAACAATAATCAATACAGTTTGTAGGAATTATGAATATCTACACCACAGTCCAATATCCAATATTGTTTTTATGAGCTAGTTTAAGCCAATTTGATTTCTTTGTGCTCGCTTCTTGATTTTAAGGTATAGATTCCTGATCTTCGGTAAGCTTCTGCGTAGCTTGTTCCGCCACTCGACTGTCGTAGCTTTGGTTGACTCCAAAGGGAGTAGTGCTGGGATTAATTATATGTGCGTCGGTGGCACAGTGGTTAGGACTCTCGCCGACCATGCACATGGTCCGGGGTTCGAGTCCACGCCGGCGCACACTTGATATCTATGGTCGGCCTGCAAAATGCGGGCTACCGATATCCATGCTGAAAATTCCATACTTGTACCAAAAATACAGTATGGAATCAAGCTGTAAATCAAAAATTTAAAAAATAAAAATAAATGTGGTTTGTAGTATGAGGTATGTTAAGACTGTTACTACTGTGATTGGAGTTGATCCTTTCGCCAGTTAGTCCTTCGGTATCGTCGACAAGAGAAAAGAGATAGTAATAATAATAGTAGATATAATTAGTGAAGTTATTTAGACTAAGAGACAGAAACGGAAATAGGAAACGTAACAGCAGTCAGCTCATTAAGTTTGAAGAATAATATATATATATATATATATATATATATATAGTAATAATAATAATAATAATAGTAATTATAATATTAATAAGTTGTCAGGAGAGTAAGACGGGAGAGAATGTAAAGAAGTAAAACGACGAGTTTAACTGTCTACCCCTGAATGGTATATGCGATTTTAAGGAGACAGACCATTTGGATGCAGTCCTTGTATCGCTGCATGGTTGTCCAGCCTTCGGTTAAAGGCGTCCAAAGACGGTGCTATAGCTACATCTGCCGGCAAGGAATTCCAGGGACGGCAAACCCGCAGTGAAAAGAAGTGGGAGCGCACCCGGGTCCTTGCCCTCTGGTGAGCTATCCTTCTGGGATTTCCACGTCCTTAAATTCATTGTTAAATTTAGACGGATCAGCAATGCATGAAAGTGTAGCTTTCAGAAAGAGAGGGAAAATAAAAGACTACTAACAGCACCGAAGGCAACTGAAGCTTACAATAAAGTTATTTTAGAGTTTTAGGCTAAACTATGGAGTATACTATCCATCAAAAATCTCAGTTTTAGCAATATCCACACTGGAATATCTTTCTCTTTTGTAAGTTCCCCCAGGAAGAGCAAACAAAATACTCTTATTCTGGATTATAGTCCACTTTATGTATATATGAAAAGAATTATATTCCCAAAGAAAATTGGGTGATCAATAAACAAAAGCTAATGTCTTTTGGCGATTGAATAAAACTATCCTATCGGTGTTTGTTTTCTATTCCTCATATAACTGATTTACCGGGAAGCCTACATTCCACAGCTCTTTTCTATACGACTTTGAAAGTAGATAACAAGAAAAAACGTTGAGCTAGGAAACCTATATAGTCATAAAGTAGGATATAGTTCTATCCTCCGACCTGAAACTAGAACACTTTGAATCCTGTGAATCAGATTGCTATTGGCAACATAAAAACACCAAATATGACTGTAAAAGTTTCTAGACAAAAGAAGACATAAAATAAAAGAACTATGTAGATTGATAAGTGGCGAAAAGACTTGTAGTTACAAGGCCTGATAACGGATCAGGAGTAGTTGTTTTTGGCATAAGTGATTATAATAAAGTGTAGTGCACCTTGAATGTCTGAACTTTTGTTTCAACATATTCACGTAATTTGGCGCCACATGGCCTTTATTCTTCCGGTGTGACTGCTCGCATCTGGCTCACTCCCTCTGTCAGTCAAGTCCCATGAACCGTTAATGCCCAGCTCTTGCTACGCTGATCCTCACGCTGTCCCTCGAAGATTTTCAGAAACGCTTAGTATTAAGCGAAGCAAAAACCATGACACTGTTTGGCTACTCAAGAATTCTTTATTCCAACGCCAACATATATAACCAGCAATACTGGCATTACAGACTAGGGTCTAAGAACAAATATTACAACAATAAATCACGATATTACTTCTGACAGCTTTTTGATCTTTCTGAACAGCGAACGATGAGACGATAACTGGCTGATTGATGCCTCCGCGAAAATATGGGGAAGTTAGGTTTGAGCAAACAACCATGAACTGATCGTTTAATCTTCAACTACATTGACACCCTAATTTTGCTATCATTAAGCGCACTCTTCGAGCCTGCTCCTCTAGCCAGTTAACAAATAAGTTGCACACTATTGCTACAGATTAATTTTGGTTTTCCGCTTATTACATAAATATAGTTCATATCCGGGCACTCAACAGTGCATAACCTTTTACTTGAATTCATTCATCAGTACATACACGTTAGGTAGTGGACTGATCAGGGTTAACCGAGGAAAGCAATTTTATAAAGTGCTGACGCCAAGGCCTACCGAGAGGTTAGCCCTGGGCACTTACAAGTGGTGAGTCCGAAACCAACTTCCCTTCCTCATCTCAAGCCTCAAACATTTTGCTTCATTTGGCGTCTTGTCGTAGTTTCTGCCCCACCCATTGATACTATTACTATTGTGTTTGTGTTATTTTATTTTATATAATATCCGTCTATTTTACTTTGCCTACAATTTATCTAAATGATGGCTGAAAACGGCTCTCTTGCGCAGATGGACAAGCACTGTAGATTCCGACTTTCTGGACAGACTGCCCTTCTGCATGGTTCAGTCATGTGAAGGCTCAGTTCGCTCTTAGACATATTCACTCAGAAGAAACCAAAGCCAACCTGGTTATTGTCAACCTCCTCGGAAACACCGTGGTGGAAGTTTCTGACATTCTTGATGATCCATCTGCAAACCTGCTTGATAATCTCAAGGACATGGTAGTGTCTCATAATGAGATCAGTGACTGGATGGTAGCAAGGTAATAAAGCCGGATGACGGGTCTCATATGACGATTCTAACATTTGTAGACGTCCACCAACTCTAGCGATCCCTTCGGAAACTATCGGAGATAATCTATCTAACCGCACCTTGAAATCTGCGAAATCAGGACTATCCTCCTTGGCAATCTCACCCCACGCTTCCCACTGAGCAGCCCTCAAAATCGCTAACTCTGCATTTCTAATATCTTCGACTCTCAAAGGCCCCACATTCATATTTTCGTATCCCGCAAGATGCATGACCTTTAAATACGTAACATATCGTGTCAACCACGCAACAGCTTTCAGTAGTTTGTACCAAGAAGAATAATATTTAAAAAGTGGATGTAAACCTGAATGTCTTTCTTGAGTAGATGTTAAACTGACACTTGTCTTCAACTCCAAGGCACACTCGTTTATCGGTGGTTCATCTTCTCTACGAGGCCACATACTATCAGCCCTTAGCAAGAACTCTGGACCTTTCCACCACTTATTTTTAACCACATTCATATCAATAACTCCTCGCGAGGCTAGATCAGCTGGATTTTTTCCAGACGGTACGTACCTCCACTGCTCAACAGTTGTTAGTTCACGAATTTGAGATACTCTGTTAGCTACAAAACATGCATATCTTGCTGACTCGTTGCGTATATAATATATCACAGACATCGAATCAGTCCAAAACGTTACGGGATACTTGGGGTAATCCAA